ATATTAACGTCCATAGTTTTGGAATGGGATGTCCAACAATCTCATTAAGGGTGTGATGGTCAGGTGTCCACATACTTCTGGTCATATAGTGTAGTTGCTGGATGGAATAATAATAATTTGATGGAATAATAATAAAAATTATTATTATTATTATTAACCTATAATTATTACTATACTGTAAGGGCAGAGCTTATGCATTTATAATGTACATCTGTCACACCTTACTAAGCTGATCGAAACAACTGTAGATTTACAAAGAGACTTACGATTACTAAATTAAACATATGTTGAACTATTCTGACACAGAATTTGCCACTGAACTTAACAATATAATTTTCTTCAATATACAAACACCACATACAGTCAATATATTACACTGTATATTAGTTATAGTTGTCTACTTGTACAGTTACTGTATTACCAATCAACAGCATTTTGGCTTACAAGGCAGTGAGCTGCATTATACAGTAAAGTCAATAACAAAAAACTACTTTTTCCTCTATACAGACTATGATTAGTTCACCTGATATGAAATTATGCTGTAGATTTAATCTTTTTTACATTCTGGTCCAAAGAAAAAAGGCAGAACGGATTTGCTGATACACCTTGTAGTTTTAACTGCACAATATATATTATTATGCTAAATCTTTACACTTGACATATTGCATTACTTGTTAGTACTGTGAGGAGTTAAAGCTACACTGGTGTGGAGTAGGTCAGGTTCACTAATTTTCTCTTTGGGACTACGACCAAAACAGTATCGGGCCAGCCTGAACCCTGGTCCAGTTCATTGTGCAGAGTTGTTGAATGTAATACTCTCGCAACTGCCACTATAAAGATTACAATGTCAACAAATAAACAAAAACAAATGGTCCCACATTCTGTGAAATTTCAAAAAACCTGTGAACCTTTCCATTTCATGTTAAAGGCCAAGTTGTCAAACTGTGGTAGCACAACTTTTGGGATGTACCAACAGTCCTTTCTATTTCTGTAACTGGTTTTAAGTAGGGGCCGATTGATATATCCAGTTTGGTTCAACACATTTATCAGTATTTGATGAAAATACTGTCAATACTGCTTTGAAGTAGCTTTTTTTAATGTACAGTAGAGTGCAAAAGTCAGAGACCACCTTTCATTTATTAATTAATTAATTAAACAGCCAATAAATTGTTTAAAACTTTATCTTGGCATTGTGTAAAAAAGGGAAAATTGCAATAAAACATACTCTATGTCTTATTTAGAAAAAAAAATTAGAACACGTGTTCAGTTCTTCTGCTCCTGGTGAACTCCGGCCATTGCATGGATTTGTTAAATTCCATTAATTCCATCAGCAGCCCTGATTTAATTTAATGAGGGACTGATAAAGCAGATGATGGATGATAACTGTAAATACTGGACTGCCTTGAGGCCACCTTTGGAAATGGTTAACAAATAAATGCTTACTGACCAGATAAATAGCTTTACATCTCATTTTCTCAGATGCCCAACATTTGCGCTGTACAGTGTTTCATACAATATGGTTGATTATCTGAATATTTTGCTTCTTAAAATCAGTATTGTGACAAATGTTTCATATCAGTCAGCCCTGGTTTTAAAATGCAGCTTCTTATTCAAACACTGTTGCTGTGAATCAGTAGCCATTTCCACAGCAGCTTGGAGTGGTCAAACTACTCTTGCCTTCATTCTGCCAGTTAGTGTACAGCAGCTAATGTTAGCGGTGAGTAAGGGCCCGTCCACACGTTATCAAATATTTTAAAAAAAAGGTTTATGTCCATTTTCATCCATACCAGAAGTGTTTTCAAAAATCTTTTACGTCCGCACGAGAATGCAAAACTTGAAAATGCTTAACCATGCCAGCCCAGTAGGGAGTGACAACACCTCATAAAATTTGATGTCTTATACTGCAAGAAGAACAGTGTGATTGCCATGAAGGTAAAGCAGAGATGGCAGTATTACAAATACAAAAATCTCTGTTTTCTGTGAATGAAAATGCCATTTTTGTGTAAACAGGAGGCCAAAACACAGAGAAGTCGTCTTTTCAAAAATATTTGCATATATGTGGACAGGACCTCAATCAAGCATGACCCAAGATCAGCTTTGAGACACTTTGTAAATACAGTCTCTGGCCTAAAAATAATTACAGCACATCACAGTTTATACCAATAAAAAATCAAACGGATCCATAAAAAACTAACCTTAGAGAATTACAAATTTCACCAAAGGAAGGAAAAAAGAAATCTGCTTGGAGCTCCGAATGAGACGGAGCAAGACTGTACTACACAAAAATGACAGCATAACTAACATTTCATCAGCGAACAGTCATATAAGCTACACACACAAACGTGCAGTAGGTACATTCACAGTGTAAGTGACACAACAGTGTGTCATATCATCATAAGAGTGTGTTTTTGGGAGCTTGGTCCTAATAACAGAATTCCACCAATATTTTCAAAATTCACATAATGATTAAGATAAATTCGTTCAGAGTAATTTGATGTGAAATGGTGCACTGTAGAGGCGGAATTGTTCACAGTGGTGGTGATAGGAACCAGATGCCCACTTCTAAAAGCTCCCTCATAAGATTAAGATTTTGAGATTTTTTAAATTCATGGTGGACAAATACATGCAGGGCGCTGTGAGGCAAAACAGTCCCCAAAGAAAAGTTTTCAGAATTTCCACTAGTTTACTATCATCAACATTCTATATAAAAAGTCAGAAAACACATGTATGTTCACTAGTGGTTTTGGATAGTAAATAAATTGGCTATATTTGTGTTGTAGACCTGGTGACCCCTGGTTTCTATCACCACCACTGTAAAGACATCTGAGTCTGTACAATGAACCATTTCACACCAAAACACTCTGAATGACAGTACATTTTAAATTGGAATTCACCTTTAAATTTGTCTTTTTCAGAAAGAAAGGAGGAGGCATTTAGAACATTGAGGCAAAAGGGACATCCATGAGTGCTGGTCTGACTGACAAGCAGAAACCCCAACTGGAGTCTGTCTTTACTGGTGAACAGAGCAGGAAGAAAGGCACTGGATCTTTTATATTATATTATATATATATATATATATAAATATTATATATATATATATATATATATATATATATATATATATATATATATATATATATATACACACACACACATATATATATATATATATATACACATACATACATACATACATATACACACACACACACACACACACACACACACACACACACATATATATATATATATATAAAATGGAGTATTCTTTTATCAACTTAACCTCTATCTGCCACACTTGTACAGGTGATCAACACAGACAGTTTATGTGTTATACACAGAAAACCCTCTTTACTTATAAATTAACTAATAGCAGAAGCCATAAACTACTAAAGAGATGCCGCATATAGAGATTCCACTGAAAAACATACTCCTTTAATCCGATTGGCTCACACATGCTATGCTCATGCTGTCGTGGTTGTGGATGACTAATGTTGAACAGAAAGACAAATTTACCAAAAATAAATCCCTTTGTACACAGACTAAACCAAAAATACGGCCGTATGTGTCTGACACATATACTCTTCCGTACAGGTAAATACATGTCTTTGAAGTGCACACTTCAGAGAAAAACAATAAAGCACATATTTTATAATAAAATACTAAAAACATTAAAAAATAAAACAGTCCTATGCAGAAGTTTGAACACCCCTAGTCAAGTTACATTTTGTGGCTTTTCTAAGTGAAAAGTTATCGCCCTCTACAGGGAATAAACTTAACTGTGACATTTCCCTGCAGACTTTAGTGCACATTTTTTTTATTTATTTGCTGAGTTTAGCATATTGGAAAAAATTAAATATGCCATAACTTTTGCACAGGCTAATATGTTAAATTCACCAAATAAACAGTAATGGTGCATAAAATGTGCAGAAGTTTGTTTTTATTTTCACTGTTGAAAATCAACAAAACATGTCAACTGACCATAGGCATGCAAACTTTTGCATAGGCATAATGATTTAGGCTGGTCTTATGAAAGCAAATGAGTGTAGTGCCATGAGAAACCAATTTAAATACCCAAATTTGACCTTACAATGAATTCTTAAAGTCTGTCTGATTCTCACTGACCAAGTGCATACAAAGGTTGTATATTCATCTCAGTTGTTGTACTGTGTCATAAAAGGTCCCGCTTTATTTGGATGGTCCTCAATAGATATTTTACAGATTTACAAACTACCTTAATTTGATTATCAAATAATTAGGGTTACAGTTTGAGGTGAGGTGAGTGTTTCGGGTTAGTCCAGTGGTCCGTAAGTATGTGCATGTGTCACATGACATATCACTGTTTTAAAAAAAAAAAAAGAAAAAAAACAGGTTTCCCCAATTCTTTTTTCTTTCTACATCATTTGAGCACATTTCATGAAAAATGAAAAATGAAACAGAAAAATGTGGAATAAAACATTACACTAACATTAAAAGTTTTTCCTTCTGTTTCTCCTTGAAAACAGAAACAGTGAAGTCCCCTGTAAAGTTACCGTTCAGGGTTATTCACTGCACAGAAAAAAATGGAGGTTCCAAAACTGGAGAGTAACCAATCATTCAAGTCCTGGTTGAACAACAAAAGTTCCCCCTCAGATTAACAGCATTTAAAGCTTTCTTCTTTGAGGGAGAGTAGAAAATCAAGTTCTACACTCTTCAGATCTAAAAAAAAAACCACAGGTGTTTCTGTCCATCCTTCCACTGTGAGAAGACAACTCAACACTATGGGTCTGAAAGAAGGTGTAGCTGTAGCTGTCCACTAGCCCTCACTGTGAAAAGGAAACTGATACATCAAACAAAAATTTCTAGTGTTCTCAGAACAACTGACTGACCACCCCAGAGTTCAGACCTCAACAACACTGGATGTTTGGGATTACTCGAATTGTGAGAAGCAGAAAATGCAAAACCAACTTCTAAGACTTCTTCAAGAAACTGAAAGTGAGTCTCCTGAAAAGAATGGAAGCTGTAATAAAGCTAAAGACTGGACCCACTAAATACTGAAACATCTTATACATTTAGTTGTTAAGGCTTCTGTGTAAACACACACTGAATGATCTGCACTTACTGGCCACTCTGACTGGAGATTAAATAAATGAACGAAGGACGTGCACAGTGTACAGGAAAGGTCAAGGTATTGTTAACAGATTATTCAATGCCAGTTTAAGCATCTGCAAAGCATCTACAATGGACCATCCAAACAGAAAGATAATGTTTTGCTGCCAAAGGGTTGAATGTGCTTCACTGAGACAGGATGCGACCAGGCACCTAAACAAAATACAAAACACATGCACACTAGAAATTAATGAATTTAAAGGTAATATGGGGTCGACAGGTTGCAAAAAGGGAAATTCACAGGCACAGATGCACAAACAGCCAACACTGACACTGAAAATACACCTGCCTGTACCATCACACACAACTACACATGCCCAAATGAATACAAAGCAGGTCAGACTAAGAGCTAACTGCTGTCACTGTGTCTTTATAGGCATAAAACAAAAGAGACACAACCAAAAAATGAAGTCACACAAACTGTAAAAAGAGAATGCGGTAATTAGGGGTGTAAAATGCATCTTAAAGTGGCAACTGCATTAACCTTGGAAATGTTAGAATCAATTATAATTATCATATTATAGTTGTAAGCAAAAGTATGCGATTTCCATGTTGCTGATTTACTAAGTGAAAATAAGTTAGCACAGCCTCTTCAGAGAACTTACTTGCATGCATGTTTTTTTACACAATTACTGTTTATTTGCTAAATTTTACATATTGGGAAAAATAAAATATAAACTTTGACCTGTGCAAACGTTATGGCACATTTTATATTGTATGTTTTTTTGTGCCCAATATGTTAAACTCAGCAAATGAAAAGAATTTGTGCACTAAAATATGTTCCACTTAGGGTGTGTTAACCTTTTTTTATTCAGAAAATCAACAAAATCAGTAATTTTGTGTTTTGTTGCTGCAAACTCTATGTGCTCATTTCTTTTTTAACTTTGAAATGTAAAATCCTGCTTTGGTGTATCATTATTACTGTCTATGTTTCACTGTTTATTCAGTGTATTTTGGTTGTTAAATAATTTTAATTATTCAAGGATTCAGTCTGATCAGGGTGAAATTTAAGATGATGCATTCCTACAGAATCATAATTGAATCCAATCACTGTAAGGTTGGAGATTTACACCCCTACCAAAATATTTTTAAAAAGATGCCAAAATGGAACTCAAATACCCTGTTCAGCAGCTACCCACGAGGTCACATGGCAAACGGCATGACTGAAGACCACGAAATCATTGTGAACCCCACTGAGAGCAGAAGGTAGCTCAGGCTAAGGCTGCTTCGGTCTGGTCTGAGCTGAGAACATAAATTCAGCCGAGACTACATATAGAGGCGCGATGACTACCCGCAGTAGAGGGTCAAAGGTAACAAGAAGTGGCCAGCAGGGTCAAAGCAGCAGTGAGGAAGTGAAAGATCCGGTACAGGTGGAGAGGAGAAAAGGTCACCATTGCGACACACAGAGGGAGCAGCAGGCGGGAGGTCAGGGCCAGCATCAGTTTACTGAAAGAGACAAACACACTTAGAATAAACAATGAAGAATAGAACAAACAGTAATATCAAACACATTCCCATGTATTCGTTCTTTCAAGTTACAAGATTATTTAATCGAAAAATCTAATTCTCGTCCACTAATTTGCTAGCTACGTCTCCGTCTATTACACAGTGCTACTAAGCTGAGAGCTTGAGATAGCATGTGCTTCTTCTGAGCCACATGTGAAGCGCCACCACATCATTTGGAACTGCCGCTAACACATCATTGGACAGCCCAACAGAGAATGCTAAATGCCAATTCTGTTATGCCAGCTGACAGACACACACTTTGGCTAGAACTGCACTGAGTGATGGGGGGGGTGGTGGTGGATATAGTTATACCAAATAAATGCATGTAATGTAGTGAGATGCAATCAGAGTTAACATCTGTCTATATATTGTTCATTTCTGTTATTAGTAATTTGCCCAATTGAATTATTTTAGATTTAAAAGTGAAGGGACATCTAGAACAATATGCCACATTTAAGCATCTAAAATGGTGTTATTTGAGAAAACTGTGATATATACCAAAACAGTGAGTGATCTTAATTATACTAGGATATAAATTTTTCGTCCACTGCTAGTTGCTACAAACTTAAAGGTCTCAGAGTTTTTTATTTTACAGGCTTATTATTATTATTATTATTATTATTACTACTATTATTATCATCATCATCATCATCATCATCATGTGCTCTCAAGGCAATTTCGACCATATGGAAACTGCTTTTCCAAAATATCCTGACATCTGTTCAGGCTTTCAGGCTTCTGAATAGCTGGTTCATGATTCCTCTGATTGTTTCCATCTTGTAGCTGTTCATTCTCTTTCTGTTTTATCTTCCAAGTATAATGTTTTTTTTTTCCAATGAACTGTTTCTTCTCAGAATAAGTCCATAATAAGAGCTTCAGTTTCGTTACCTGGGCTTCGAGTAAGAAGCGATGCTTGATTCGGTTAAGGATCTAATTGTTACTTTTCTTTGCTGTCCAAGATTCTCTTAAAAGTCTTCACCAACACCAGTCCAGAGGCATCAATATAATGCCTTATTTTCACACCATTAGTCATTTCAATCACAAGAGAACTTTTATACTTGTGTGAAGTGGCTGCTCTTCTCTTCTTACAGTAAGTATTACACTTATGAAATGAGAACATCACACTTAAAAGTAACCAACAGCTCTGATACTCACTTAGATAAAACTAAAAACAACCATCACCATTATTTTTTATTGTGTATTTGTTATTATATATTCATCCAATGGGCTTTTCTTATTATTAATTTATACAATAAGATGACAACTGTTTGATAAACTGTATGACTTTTTGTGGTCTAAAAACTCTCGTACACACTCATATTTATTGCAATATGCCATGCAGAACTGGGCCGTGTGACTTCTCAAGCCATGGCATAACTCGAGAATAAGATGATGATCTTTTCTCTGTGTTTACAGATAACAGTGTGTCATGCAGTGTCAGTAATTACACAAAATCTGTTTGATATTACTTAGCAGCTGCTGGATATTACTTGTTAGCTACATTAGCTACATCTTCGCTCCAAAACTAAAGAAGCAAACATTAGACACCAAACTGCCTTGACTCATCAACCACATTTGGGGGTAAGGGTTAACTTAGTGTAAAATAGATTTTTTGCCAAATTATCCCACAGAGGATACATGGAGGAACACACACACTCAGGGGCATGCACACAAACACACACTCACCTGAGGCTCAGCGTGAGGGTGTTGCAGTTGATGAGAAGCACAGAGGCGATAAGCAGAGGCACCATGTGTGGCCACCAGGGGTCTGGATGCAAATGAACTGAATATCTGGAACACAGATTTATCTTATGGCAGGCTTGACATGGTGAAACTTTCAAGCAACTAGTTGCATGTTGTGAGTTGCATGAAACAATTTCCATGCAACTTGACAGTTACACAAAGCAATTCAAAAATGATTAAAAATGCATGCAACACATTCAGTTGCTCCACTAGTCAAATTAGCAGCTCACATTTTTTTGATACACCATATCTTTCTCGCTATAAAGTCATCTGTGAGGTGTAATTTACACATTTGCAGCATTATCTTATTGTACATTTTTCCATCTCTCACTGCCATTCTTTTTTCCATATCTATATATCTGTCTTTTATCTATCTGTCTAATGTTCTTATACTATATATTCAAGCTTTTTATCTGTTGTATGTTGTGCCTTTGAAAATTAACGTTTAAGTAGCCATGACGGCCTACTTGATCTCTCACTTATCCTTTTCTAGAACAACAGAATTTATTGAGGGCTGCATCTCCGTCTCCTCTTCATCCTTTGGATCCCAAATTAATCTGAGCTTTGTGTAAAATTAGGTGGTGTCAAGAGAGGAGAAAATGAATCTAGCTACATAGAACACCAAAACAGCAGGCCAACAAATAAGAATAGAGCAAATGAGAGTAAGAATGGAGCAAAGACTGTTTTTTTAACCACCCAATAAACCATCTTCTGTTTTATTTTCTTGTCTATTGCTCCACTGAAACACTGGAAAAAAGTATGTCGTTCAAGATGATCATCTGTAGCATTACTGCCATTGACTGGCTGTTTCATGTAGCTGTTGCAGAGTTTCAAGTAGGCTGCAGGACATTTTGCATTATACAACTCACATGCAAAATAGTTTCATGTAGGTATCAAGCAAACACTAACCTAACCTAACCAAATGTGGAACAGCAAACTGAAATATTACTTTAAGACAAGACAAAGTGCAAAATAAAACTGAGGATAAACAATGAAGAAAAAAAATTGAAGTCTGTCATTTTCCGGTTAAAGAAATAGTAATTTAGAAAATTTGTTCTCTATTATTGACATCACTGTACATGTAAGGTACCTAAGGTTTCGGCTCCAGTAAATAAGGGAGGGCGCGCTGAGCATCATGGGTAGTGTGAGAAGTGTGGACAGACTCAGGTGCAGCTGCAAGTCATCTCTGACATCCTGCAGTAGCGACTCCGACAGGAGGGAGGAGCCATTACATTCTTTGAGCTTGCTCTGGCCGTCACTGCTGCTGAAGCCATTCTCAGACGTTTTCTGTGGTGCCTGGTCAGCAAAGAAAGGAGGTTATTTAATAAGATGGTCCACTACATTTTAAAAATTTCAATATGAATGTTCATAGAGAAGTTATAAAAGACAAACAAGTTTTCTTCACTTTTCTGTAACATAGTACATAAACCAGACTTTAAAACATTCACTCCTTAGTCCATATATGGACAATATACAGCCCATTTTGAATTCACTGTTTTATACACCTGCCTATACAGCAGGTTAGCCCTGCCCATTTACGTTGGTGTTACAAGGAGTGTTGGAGCCATGACTGCTTTTTAAATGATGCACAGGATGTTTACATGCATACATACATACATACATACATACATTCCAATGCATAATATGAATCAGTACCTCAGGTGCAATACTCCATGTGCAAATCGGGTAAAACATCCCTACAGTGTAAATATTTTTTGCTTTTTTAATTTAGAATTGTTTATATTGTTCATTTTTGTGAAGGATATTGTCTATATAGTAACAAGTAACAAACTGTAAACCTTCTTGTTAGTTCTTTTTTTGAGTGCCTGCTAACCCTATGCTGCTGTAGCACTGTGAATTTCCCCACTGTGGGACTAATTATTTTATCTTACATATACATACACTGATCAGGCATAACATTATGACCACCTCCTTGTTTCTATGCTCATTGTCCATTTGATCAGCTCCACTTACTATACAGGTGTACTTTGTAGTTCTACAGTTACAGACTGTAGTCCATCTGTTTCTCTGCATACTTTGTTAGCCCCTTTTACCCTGTTCTTCAGTGGTCAGGACCCCCATGGACCCTCACAGAGCAGGTACTATTTGGGTGATGGATCATTCTCAGCACTGCAGTAACACTGATTTGGTGGTTGTGGTGTGTTAGTGTGTGTTGCACTGATCTGAGTGGATCAGACACAGCAGTGCTACTGGAGTTTTTAAAAACTGTCCACTCACTGTCCACCCTATTAGACACTCCTACCTTGTCAGTCCACCTTGTAGATGTAAAGTCAGAGACAATAGCTCATCTGCTGCTGCACAGTTTGTGTTGGTCATCCTCTATTCCTTCATCAGTGGTCACAGGACGCTGCCCACAGGACACTGTTGGGTGGATATTTTTAGTTGGTGGACTATTCTCAGTCCAGCAGTGACACTGAGGTGTTTAAAAACTTCAGCAGCACTGCTGTGTCTGATCCACTCGTACTAGCACACTAACACACCACCACCATGTCAGTGTTACTGCAGTGCTGAGAATGATCCACCACCCAAATAGTACCTGCTCTGTGAGGGTCCATGGGGGTCCTGACCACTGAAGAACAGGGTAAAAGGGGGCTAAGTATGCAGAGAAACAGATGGACTACAGTCTGTAATTGTAGAACTACAAAGTGCACCTATACACCGATCAGGCATAACATTATGACCACCTCCTTGTTTCTGCACTCATTGTCCATTTTATCAGCTCCACTTACTATATAGGTGCACTTTGTAGTAAATGCGGCACCATTTAAGGTGGAACGTGGAAATTTGAAAGAGAAGCTGACTTCATCTTCGCAACTTTTTAAGTGTTTGACAGTCTCTCATTGCAGGTTTAATATTCCAGGAAACCAACTGCACTGCTTATAAATGCGAAGTCCATTAATCTCCAAATGTTTGTCTTAAATCTCTCTCTTTGCCTTTTCGTTAGCTACTAGCTAGGTGAGACTGCGCTGCTATGTGACCTGCAGTCTGCACACCAGTTCTAAGTCGTTGAGAACCAGGGCTTTTGCGCTATGTTGCACACTTTGGAGCCGAGATACAGCGTCCGGTCTCAAAGCTATTTTACTGACACAGCAATCCCCACTCTCTACAATGAGACCAAAAGCAAAGTTACAAAAGCAAAAAAATATAAAAGAAAATGGTTAGGACGGCTATAACATGCTGCGTGGACATCTATTTCCACTGGATCTTATGTTACCGTAAAAGCGCAGATTATCACAGATGAGTATCAGCCAGTGTTTCATGTGCTCCAAGCAAGAGCAGTGAATGAGAGCCCTCCAGTTCACTTACCACATCACTTCCATTTGTTTTATTAATAAAAGATATTGGAAGTAAATTCATTATTCAATATCATTACAAATACTTTGCTTTAAAAGTACCAAGTCCTCACACAGTGAGAAAAAAAGAAATCCTGTATAGAAAATAAAAGATGCATCAAGATGCATCGATAATCATTTTATAATCGCAGCCCTCTGAATCATAATTGAATCGAATCGTGAGGTGCCTAGAGATTCCCACCCCTAATCAGTTTTCTTCAGGTACTATTGTTTCTTTCAATGCCCTGCATGGATTTCTTCCGGCTAGGATAGGTCAGATTTTGTTGCACTTGTCACTATTGATAGTAAGGACGAACTTTGCTGAACGGTATCGTGAACATAAACAGATTAAGAAGATGACGTGTAAGTAAGTAAATGTAGGATGTTGTGGTGAAAAATAATACCCAAAGAAAACTGACTTTTATGGATGTGCTACATTTTAGGTTTACCATTACAAATAGAAACTCAAATATTTTCATGATCCACTTTTCAATCAGTAAATTATGTTGAAATTAGGTGGATTTCTCTCTTTAAAGAATACTTTCAAAATAAAATAAGCTATGAATAAAAACAATTGTTAGATGTGATTAGTCTCCTTTGCATTATGCTACTTGGCCCACCCTAATTCAGTCTTTGCTAGCAACCATAGTATTTTGGAGTATTTACAATAATTCAGTTAACAGCTAGGTCCCTCACAACTTAGAGGCTGCATAGAGGAATGTTGGGCCTGTGTAAAAGTAACTACTCCCTGTGTGGTAACTGTGTTGGATGTCTGGAGCACTCACCAGGTTCAGCATGTGACTAAGAGACCTCTCAGTCATGTGTAATCTCAGCACCTAGACAATAAAGAACAATCAGGTAAATTAATTGGCAAAAAAAGGTCTTCGTGAGCACCAATATCATGAGAACAGCAAGACCCGGAAGAGTGACACTGAAGGCATTTACGTGCACTTAATAATCCGATAACTGAAGAAAATCACGTTGTCAGTAATCTAATCAACACGTTTACATGCACTTGAGCAATCAGTTAATGGGGAATCTCTACATGAGTCAGGCAGTAATCAGATTTCTGCTTTGCAACCAACAAATAGACTCACAGAAGACAACGTGACGTAAACGTAATGTAAAACTCAAACATCATGCTGCAGCTAAACACTGTGCCACTTTGCCTGAAAAAAAATATAAACATTTATCATCTACAAGACGAAGAATATTTAAATCCTTCATTTCGTCAACCATGTAGCTGATTTCAAAATCGCTCCAAAAGTGTTTTGCTGCCATCTGGTGGCAACGCTGCTTGCTTATTTTCAGTAACACGGTGTGTTTCCGTGTTTGTTGATCTAAAATCCAGCTCTCTTTATCGCATTTCTTAATTTTATTTTTAGACTTTACTCCGACCTAAGAAATCTGAATATGCTGTTTACATGCCCATTTGAATAATCAGATAACTGCAGAAAACTCCACAGTGGTCTAGTGATGAATCGGCTGAGTGAGATTTTAAGAAGAGCGAAAACCTTCCAACTGCAGTGAGCATGTAGAGAAACAGTACACTGGCTGATCTCAGTAGTGTGCGGGTAAAAATTAAATTTAACCAATAATATCATGCGTACCCCTTCCCGCCACCCCAAGTCAATACTATGCTTCAATGAAAAATGTCATGTTATGGAAAAAAAAGCATTATGATATTTGATTCACAGTTATGTCAAGTAGGAATTTTCAACACTTTTCAGCTCTGGGACCCGGACTTACCCTGTAAAGGTGGAGTAGAAAGCTGGCTGTTACAGACAGGGCTCCACAGGTGACTCCACCCAGCACGATCAGGCTAAGAATGAGCAGGATCTGAAGGGAGAGCTGTAGAGTACCGCAATGTCGAGAGATTGAAGGCCTGGGACACGCATGGAGAAAAACAACAGCCTTCAGAGCCTTTCATCACAATATTTTGGGTTTAAAAATAGTATTGACATTTGGGCCTTCCTGCATCTTATTATTTAATTCAGCGGTTCTCAAACTTGTTCTCAGGGTCTTCACACACTTAAAAAAGATTCTTTAGTAAAGGGAATGGTTCTGTTTAGAACCACGACTTCTATATGATGCAGAACGTGTTGTATAGGTTCTATATAGCACCAAAAAGGGTTCTGCTATTGTCACAATGTCAAGTAAACGGGGAAAAAATTCTGCTAAAATATGGTGTTCTTGCGCTGTTGCGAGCCTCCCTGTAAAACCTAAAATATTTATTCCTGCTGTTGGCTCAGATTTGGCAGGAGTGTTTCAGACCATGTCAGACATCTTTACATATCAATGTCACATGCACAGACTCAGAAACAAGGCTTATTATTGGATTGTTATTGGATGAATTATACACATCACAGCCGTCAGTCAACAACTATGGGCAGAACCTCAAAAGGCATAGGTAGATATGTATGTGCCTGACTTTCTGTAAACCACAAGCAAAGCTGGCACACAACTGAATTAAACAGTGATACGGTTTACATTTAACTGTGCTGACCTGCATGATAATGAAAATGTGTTAACTTGCTAACTCTGGCTGAGGGTCCTTTGGAAGTGAAATCAGGATGAGGATGTGAGGTCTCACACTGCCTCGATATAGAGACAGCGCGTATTTAGGCCTTGCCCACACCGTGGGCGAAAACAACTCTGCACTGTCCATTGATTTACACTGCCCACTTCTCCTTATTGGTTTTAAACTAAAATGTGGTTTTCCCTCCGATGACGCAATGCCCTCTGTCTCTATTGCCTGGTTACCAGAGTAACGTTGGTGGAGGCGCTGCTCACAGTACAGATCTGTCCAGTGCTGAAAGTTAGTGAAAAGGAGAGAGATATCGCTAAATATAAAGACACCGGAACGTCAAACCCAGTCATCCTCCGTGGCATAGAACTGAAAAGAGCAGGTGTTCTAACAATCTGTTCTACCAAGCATGCCCATATCATTCCAATAGTGTAGTAACTCAGTGTTTTAAACATCTCAGTGTGTTAATTCAGTACAAACTCAGTTTAACATTGCTATTTAACACTTGATAAGCTACTTCAGGCTATCAAAATATCTGAATTAATTTTTTAATGCTGGTGACATTTTCTGATAAAGACATTCGCCAGCTTATTCTCTGAATTCTCCTATTCCACCTTAAATGGTGCCTAAACGCTTCAGTAGCCTGAGGCAATATAGTAGAACTGCAATAAAAGGCATTTCCGTAAAACAAGAACACCCACATTAGGAACGTTTTCTTATCATTCATCGGCCAATATGTCTGCAAAATGTCTTCTCTCACTGGTGGATACGACTCAATGGGGAAAATACATCACTATTTGTAAAGACGTTACTAATACTAAATTAATATTGTTTCTACATATTTACCTAATGAGCATTTGGCATTTAAAAGCAAATATTTGTGAATCTATAGCTTCTGGTGATTCGTATAGAGTTCTGTCTCGCAGTTTTGTGATCACCGACTTGAACTTGCGCTCTGAATGTCTATCGTAACGGCAGCAATCAGCAGTGTTTTCAGAAGTACTTCACAATCTGCTCCATACCAGCCATTATTTAAATTAATGTGTAATAATGGATTATAAGGTTAACGTCCCTGATGAGAAAAGACATAGAAACCATTAAGAGTTTATGTTGGTTCTTGGGGGTTTGTGATGCGTTTTGTTTTTTCTTGATGGGTTGATAATGTAAAGGATCTTAATGGTTTACCAGGTGACCTGACTGATTCCAGATACATTTCTAATTCTACGTGGAAATTAGTGGTCCCTAATGGTAACCATTAGGAGGCAAAAACCATTAGAAACCATAAACCATCCTAATGGTCTTTATTTAGCAAGGGCTACCGTGGTGCTGCCAGCTTGCACAATATAACTTAGCCAACAATAGTCAACCTTGCCAATCAAGCAACCATGTGCTTATTTTCCATAAGTTTTAAGGTCGTGCTAAAATGTTAATGTAACAGTAAACTTACCGACATCATAATCTGTAATGAAAGCACTCGTTCTCGACCTTATTAATCTTTCCCATTTTTTTCGCACTGTCATGTACAACAGCGTTTTAGGGCCACTGTTAATAAAAATAAAAATAGTAGACTTTGAGAATAAAGTCAAAATATATCAAGAAAAAAACTTTTTTTAGAATAAAATCGTAATATTTTGAGAAAAATCATAATATTTCGATGATAATATTGTAGAATTAGGAATTAGAATATCCCATTAAAGTGGGATATTACCAGGAAAGGTCGCAATATTATGGCCAAAGGGTTTGCAAAAGGAAGGTAACAAACCTCCTGTTAAAATGAGACACGTTGAGGAGTGTCTCCCTGTCTCTCCTGACATATCAGCACCAGCCTGTTATTAGTATAAGAAACGGCTGAAATGGCTGTGCAAGAAAATGTGTTTATTTAGAACAAAGAGCCAGACGGAAACTGTCAGTCTGTTTTGTTGAAGGAGAATCGCAGGCAGGGTCGTCTACACGGGTATCAGTGGCTACATCTCTGTGGCATTCAAAGAGGGCATGAAGTTTCACAGACAGTGAGAATGATGAGCAAAATAATCGATCCACAAGGAGACAATGAGTGAGTGGAACCCCGCCTCGCTCTGCGTCTTCGCGTTCGCCAGTATAACAACCGAGACCCCAACACGTTATGTCAGCCCCCCTACAGTTAGCCCACTTTATCCTTGAAATATCGCGAGTTTATTCTCGTAATTTTACGTCTTTAATCTCGAAATATTACAACTTTATTCTCAAAGTCTACTATTTTTATTTTATTAACAGCGGCCCTAAAACGCCGTCATAGTTCTGTTTACTCAGCAACGTTACTGTGACTTTTACTTCAAAGCCCACCTTCCCCTGAAGTCACATGGGGGCATTCCTTCATGCATCACAGAAACGCCCTCATGTGGTGCTGCAATTAGACCCTCCTCGCCTGAGGCGTCAGAATGTAATTGCTGCACCGTATAAGGTGACATAGGAAAAATTAAACAACAAGCTGCGTTGTGTGCATCATGGTAAGTCAGCGCTGTGCAAGGCAGCATTAAGTCAAACGCAGTTGTTGTTTGCTTGCTAGCTAACAAAAATAGCCAGTCAGATTATTACTTTGGAATTTACCCTTGTATCGAATGTTACCCTTGTATCGTAATGTAATTGTGAAGTTGTTTTAGCTGTATATCTAACGTCAGCTGGTTGATTTGCTAATTTGCTAATTGTTTGTCCTCTGCTGTTTGATGAACCAGACTAGCCATTATCCTCTGTTAATTTCCAGTGCTACGGTCTGTCTCCTTTTGTAAACGCAATCAATTTAAGTCATACTTGGCTAACACTGCCTAAATAGATAACGCTATGTGACTGAGTAGTGGCTTACATTACTAATGGACATATGCGCTACCAAGCAGTCGTATGAATAGTAATGCTAGTTCGCTAGCAATTATCTTTGGTGAAGCAGGTAACATTTCCATACTTTCCAAAAGTACTTCACGTCCACCTCTAGAAACCTACATGTGCAATAATCTGGTTGATCCACTTGGGAAAGGAGACCGCAGCATGACCCACAATATTAAACACTCTTCTGCATATTTAATGCAGTTACATATTTTCACCAGAGAGGTCCAATTCCCCAAATTTGCCAAAGTTAGGAAAGGCAGCCTCAAAACGTTCCTTATTTTGATGCAGGTTTCGTATATTTTACATACAGCACTATTTTACATACAGCACTGAGAGTGAGAACCATCATCACATAACAGTCTAGTAGCTCAGGATTGAGTAGTTTTTGAGCACGTGTGGCTCTTGCAATTAGCTGTGAATGCTAAAGTTAGCACTCAAGCCCAGCACACAGACCAGTATCGAGATAACTATAGGCTGCACAATCTTATCTTATAAAAAAGCAATTCATCGCGCAGCCATACACCGCGTTGTGAAGAACACTCTTTTTATTCCCACTGAACTGCTACCTCAGCCCTACCACTCACTTTCATCCGTCACACTTTACCTTCCACTGTCATCTCACTCCTTTTATATGCACAGTCACTTTAATCTGTACATTGTCTGCGGTTTTATTAAAGGTGTAGTGTGTAAGTTTTAGTGGCATCTAGTGGTGAGGTTGCACACTGCAACCAACTGAGTAACCTTCCACACTCCTCCCTTTCCAAGTATGTAGTAGAAACTTCCGCCATCACCTGTCCTGATTTTGTTTTGTTTTTTTCATGTTTTCGCTTCTTTGAAGACGTGGATTCACCCTTCCTTGCTTTTTTCTTGTACAAAATAAGTATGATCATTCATTTGCCAAAATTTGGGTTTTTAAACTTCTTACAGCACAAAATTGTTAGCCAGCACTAGCACCAACCACTGATTCTTTTTCTTTTGATGTCTTCTAACAAGTGCCACCAAATTCAAGCTGCAATTTCAACATCAAAACGTGAAAGGGGCTCTCAGTGTTTGGTTTGTCCCTTCTGTAGAAATACGCTGGCACAACATGTTGGAAGAGACATGCATAGTCTTTGTATAGTTTGTCTGTTATATTTATTGTCTGTCTGCTGGTGTTCTATGTTAAATGCAGCACCGTGTCCTGGAGAAATTACATTCTGTTCCTCTCTCAACACATCTGTGATAAGAAGAAATGACAGTACAGCTGACTTTGTCTATGATCATTACCTGTGCAGTGGAGCCAGGATGAAGGACATCATGCGTAGAGAGACGCTGAGGACTGTGGTACCCCAGAATGCAACTGCTGCCCCCAGCACGCAAAGTAGCAGAGAAACCAGGTGCGACCAGTCCTGACCTGGCACTGCTGCATGCTGGGATAAGTCCTCTATGGGGGTTAGAGGCAGAGCGTCTACTGTAGGAAGACCCAGAGTAGACCAGCCCTCCTGAAACCAGCTCTGCCTGTGGTCGAAAAAGAAAGGAATGAGGGATAAACAGCCTGGGTACAGTTTGAGTTTGTATCTCACATATAAGGGTAATTCCACTGATGTTTCAAAGCTTCTGCATTATGCAATGGTTGAGATAAATAGATTTTCCCCATCTTTTTTGAAAAATAAGAGTTTCTTTAAGTATGTTAACACTGTTAAAAGTTTCAGAACGTACTGTTTACTCTCAAGTCTATATTTGGATTTTAATACATTGTTTTTGTGATTTCACAAGAACCAACTCATTTACATGTCTACACCTCTCCAGCTTACAGCAGTTCAGCTCTGACGATTTACACGCAGTGTTTCAGCCCAGAATGCTTTTTAAATAAGGCACAATACACTGCAGCCAATCAGAACAGAGGTCATTTGCACACATCAGGCACCCACCTGAGTAACAGATGTAGCAGCAGAACGGGCAGCTCCAGTTTATGGGGCTGCAGAGCTTTAGCTACAGCCTCTCTCATACCCACAGTATGTCCTGTTAGGAGAACAGAACACAGCTGCCTCCTTAAGGCTAGGAGCAGCACCACAGCCACGTAAACAGGCAGCACTGGTCCACAGAAACGCAGGATCTGAGGAAACAGGACAATTGTGGGTTGTGATGTGTCGTATAAGTCTGTACAAACTGGAAGTTATGCTCTTCTAAATGACTGTGTCCAACAGTGAGATGTTCTCTGGGGAATGACTTGATCAACTTACCTGTCCAAGCACTTTGGGAAAGGAGGTTCGCAGAGATACCTGATTCAGAAAGAGATGTTGAGTTACTGCAAATAAACCTGTTTATCTAGAAGGCTATGAAAGATGTAAGTAGGAAACCCTTCCGTATGTTTTGGGATGCTGAGGCCAAAATTGTTATGTAGCTTTGCTTTGAAGATTCAAATAAAATTTTAGGACAATCTAGAGAAATATTTTTTTGATGTATCAGGGCATTAGGTTTTACCATTGTGACATAACACTGAAATTGATGCAAGCTAAAAAAAGAACTCTATAATTCAGTTAAGATCTGAACAAAGTCATTCAGGGTGGTTTTGTATGAAATGGTTTATTGTAGATGTACTCATTGCTATACAGTGGTGGTATAGCCATTTTTCTACTATCTAAAACCAAACGTGAACTTACACATATCTTCTGAGTTTTTATAAGGAATGTTGATGATGGTAAAATAGTGAAAAATCTGAAATAATTAGTTTTATTTTGTAAAAAAAAAAAAAGCCATATACTGTGCATTAGGGGTGGGAATCTTTAGGCACCTCACAATTCGATTTGATTAAGATTCAGAGGGCGTCTTTTTCTCTATACAGGATTTCTATCTTCCTACTGTCTGAGCGCTTGGTAGTTTTAAAGCAAAGTATTTGTAATGGTCCATAATGTAAATGCATTATGGATCATTACAAATACTTTGCAAATACATTGTCTGAGGTTTTATTAAAGGTGTAGCGTGCAAGTTTTAGTGGCATCTAGTGGTGAGGCAACCAACTGAGTAACCTTCCACACTCTTCCAATCTCGGCTCCAAAGTGTGCAGCATAGCGCGAAAGCCCTGGGTCTCAACGCCTGAGAACAGACAGCAGGTCACATAGCACCGAAGTCTGGCCTCGCCAGTATCGAATGAAAAAACAGAGATTAAGACGAACATTTGGAGGACTTATTCGCATTTATAAGCAGCGCGGTTGGTTAAATCTGCAACGAGAGACTGTCTTTCCCTAAAAAGTTGCGAAAATGAACTCGCTTCTCTTTCGAAATTTCCCGTTCCACCTTAAAGTGCAGCAGTTATATTCGGCGCCTAAGGCAGAATTTAAGGTGGAACGGGAAAATTAGAACGAGAAGCGAATGAGAAGCGACTTCAGCCTCGTAAAACAGCCGGACGCTGAGACATTTTACAAAAAACTCTTCTAGTTTTGAAGAAAAGTTTTCTGGCAGAGATGGGAGGAAAGCGGCTATAGGCGAAGCTTAAAGCAGAGCAAAGTAAATCTGCGCTTTTGTTTATATTTTTAGCCCATACTAGGACATTAACACATACTGAGACATACTAGACATTAAATGTTGTGGCTCCCAAGGTGATTTGACTTTGCTGAAAGGCAAAATGGCTCTTCTTATCCTTTGGGTTGTGACTCCTGATCTAACCTGGCTTTAATGCAGAGGGCGCCGGTCGGATTTCTCACTCATCCCGTTGTTTTTGTTATGTGCCGCCAGAGACTGTCCGGGCGCTGCACTTACCCACTTTCAGTTCCGCCTTTTGCATTCCATCAACATTACGTTATAAATTAAATATTTAGAAAATCGATTTTTGACATTTATGAATCGATTCAGAATCGTTCACGTCCGCATCGCGATGCATCTAAGAATCGAGTTTTTCCCGCACCCCTACTGTGCATGTACTGTATTTTAAAAAACACATCTTCTTCAAAGTCTTCTTCAAACTAATGTAAAAACAACTCTGAACAAATTTGTTTACACCTAACAAAAGGTTAAATGTAAATATATATATTGGTACAGACCTATATCCAAATATGCCAGCTAATAATGATCAGAAACACATGCCCAAAATATCTAAAATAAAAATTGCATACTTTCTTCAAAGATTTAATTTTTTGTATTTAATTTTGTTATGTAACACAATGTGCTATGTAGCAAAAATAACAATTGCATTGTCCTAGGAATTTTGGAGTACTGCAAAATGGCCCTTTTTTACTCTAGAAATGTGCGCACAATCAACTGCATGGACTACTCCGTATATCTGTATATCATTCGCAGAAGTCAGGTCCAGTACTCAAAATAGCATACTGTGTATCGCATACTGCATCAGTATATACTGAATACTGCATGCTACTCTTCATCAGTAGTATACTGCACAGTATCCAGTACATAATGTACTACAGGGAAGGAGCGTGACTGGCCTAGACAAGACCTGTCCTATTTTCCTCAGCTATCCAATCAGTGCTTAGCCATCGTTGCTAGCCTCTTTTAGCCTGTATGTTTATTTTGTTTAAGAGATGTGCCTGTGTGACTTTTACAAAACACCCTGTACCCTGACAGGGGGAAGAGCGTTGTTTTCTGTCCATCTCCAAAGCCATAAACAAACTTCAAAAATATCAGCTTTGGATCGGTCCATGCGGTAAACCTGTGTGTTTTTTCAGACATACCTGTTTTCGTCTGTTTGCAAGTCATTTAATTTTCATTACATTCGTAGTTGGTAATATGAGCTAGTTTGACTGAATAATAAGCAGTATGACTCCACACGGTAGCCTGAATAGCTGATTCTGAACAGAGTGTTCAGCTGAAAACAACTGTTGTACTTTTTTTTCCATTTTTAACACATTATCTATGCAATAAGTAACCTTTATGAAATAGATAGTTATTAATTTATGAAAAAAAATCTGAATCCAGAGCTATTAAAAATATCCAGATGGTTACGTCAAAGGTTACATCTTACTGAAACAGCCACTTTGCATTTTGGGATGCAGTATATGACAAGATAGCTCTGTTTGTGTACTGGAATAATTTGCAGGAGCAGTACATAATCTGGGTATCTTTGCCATATTCGAAAAATTAATGTTGGTCACATACTGCACACTACTTACTACTTTTGGGCACAATCAGTATGCAGGCAGTATATAGTAGGCTATTTACCTTAAAGCACAGCCTAATTAATGCAGGTGTGAGGCAATAAAGGAACGCATTCCTGAACATACATGCCTGTTCCTCAACCAAGGAACTTTTATGTCTTTTTATACTTATGCAATTGTAACAGTACTCAGTGAACAAATAAAGAGTCTACAGGTTTCAAGTCGAACTGCACTGAACTGACAACTAAACTGTCGGAGACATCTGCGTTTGTTTATTTTATCATTAGATTTGATTGCATGCAACTTTGATAAATGAGGCCCAATTTGCTTTGGGATGTTACCTTGTATTGGCAGTTGGGGGCAGTGTGGAGCTGTAAGAGGGCACTTGAGGTGTTATCATGGCGAGGCATATGAAGCATGCCAGATATCTCAGTTACTGAGGGAATGCTGAGAATGATACAAATGTTAATTAGAAACTTACTAACATAAAAAGAGACAAGTCAACAATATGTAGCATCTTTTTTACAGTACCCTGCGGTGACAAAGGAGTCTTCACGAAACCATGGCACCTTCGTTCTGTAGATGTTGGGCAATCTGTCTACAGGCCAAAGCAAAGATGTTATTCATACTTCTTTCAGTGCAAATCAACAGGTCTAGACTGTAATGCATTACAACTGACTTTAATCTGACATTAAGACATTTATCAAATGTTGTTGGTATAGTGTAGTGGGTAACACCTGTGTCCTTTATGCTGAAGAATCCTTCAGCAAGACTCCTAAATCTACCTTCTCCTACCTGTGTAAAATGATCAAATTGTTGCCACAAATGTAAATGTACTCTCAGTACTACAAGCTTACCTTTGGTGGCCTTGCAGTGGCTTATCACTGTGATTCTAAAAGCTTGATAAACCTGTGGGATGAAGGGGCTTGCAGATTAGCAACTGAGGGGACCCAGCACCTTATGAGAACATTGTTTTAATACCCACAAAGCACTGATGATGATTCATTCAGCAGGTGATGAAAAAGCTAATGTAAAATGGTATGTGACTCCATAGTTGTAACAGAAGAAGATATTTGAAAAGATAAAATATAAAAAATAAAGGATTAAAAAGCAGACAGCTTTACCTGGTGAAAATGTTGTAGCTGTAATGTATGGAGTAGCCCAGATGTTTTGATCATGACATCACTTGATGTCAAGCCTGTCAAAAGTAACATTAGAATCAATGATTATTCACCTACAATGCAAACACATTCCATTTTTTGTTTTATATTTTACTTTTAAAATTATGACCTTTCAGGTAGTCTGTGCTGTGAATAAGAGCCATTTTACAAATACAGTGCCATGTACACTACTGAGGCAAAGCATTATGAGCACTCACAGATGAAGCAGATCATGCTGCTTATCTCAAAGGCGCACGTCAAGGTCTGGGATATATTAGACAGTAAGCGAATGATCGGCTCTCATAGTGTTGAAGGTCGAAGTGTTGGGTGCAGGAGACATGTACAGGCACTTTGACAATGGCCAAATCATTACGTTCAGACGACTGGGTTGGAGTATCTCTGATATGGCAAGGCTAGTGGTGTGCTCCCAGTCAGCAGTCAAAAGTGTCAAAAGAGCCTACAATGCCTATGCGAGCTTCAGAACTGGACCTCGGAGCGATGGAAGGAGGTCACCTGGTCCAAGGAGTCCCGGTTTCTTTTACATCATGTGGATGGCCAGATATGTGTGTGCCATTTACTTGGGCAAGTGAAGGACCAGGATGTATTGTGGGAAGGAGACAAGCTAGTAGAGATTTGCAGCTGCTCCACCTCGCCTTTCACAGGAATTAAAGGATCTTCTGCTAACGTCTTGGTGCTAACCACCATAGGACACCTTCAGAGGTCTTGTAGAGACCATGTCTTGGAGCATCAGAGCTGTTTTGGCAGCTTGTGGAGAACCAACAGCATATTTGGTAATATTATATTATATTATTTGGTAATATTATGGTAATATTATATTTGGTTTGGTAGACATGTAAATAATTAGCAACATGCAGAAGTATTTGACAATTATAATCAACATTGAGCCTGTGATTTAACAATGTACTTCAACATACAATAAAACTGAAATCACAAGTAAACCAAACTGGATTTGAAAAAGGTGAATTGTCTGGAAAACGTCCTCACCAAAAGAGAGAACATGGGGTACAGGCACTGGTACGGTCAGGCTTTTTTCTCTCTGCCACTCACATTCCACTATAAACTGTGGAAAAAAACATCAAGAATGGTATCATGCTGATATAAATAACTTTGCATATATGTTTGAATATTATAATTTGTGTTTGAATATTAAACACAAAAGTTGAACACTTGATGATGGAGGGATCAATCTGCTGGAAAAAAGGAGCATAAGAACACAAGTTCATGCTAGTTTATTTGCCATCAGTTGTCAGCAGGCGCTAGCACACCATGACACTTCCCCCTTCTATCTGTTTATTGCAGTTTTAGCCTGACATTAATGAGGACAGAGAGGGTGGAGGTACCTGTCTTGCGCTCGGGTTTGAAGCGTCAATGACCAGATGAGAAATAGTGGACAGGTCATCTAACTTCACAGTCAGAACCTGCAGAAGAAATAAAATTTGATTACAGATGGGAACAAACAAAACACACCAAACACTGCATATATTAATTTATTACAAAATCAAGCAAGTGATTGACTAACCACCAAATACAGTTTGAGTTAGCTACATAACATTAACTAACTCATTAACTGTTGATGCTCTGCTAGAGCTGTAATGCAACCAATTTTGTTCATGTTATACATCACTTCATAAGAAAAACAAAAAAAATATATATATACATTTAAGACATGACATCCATGTGTGACATTTACCTTGTATGCTGGAAGAAGTTCTGTTCTCCCTGACAAATCTACTGCTTGCACACTGAGAGAGGAAAAAAAAGGCGAAACAGGGAGAAAAGGTGAGTAAATGAGGAAATAAAAGATCTCAATACCTAGTTCAATTTAATTAAAAAAGTATGCAATGTTAAATCAAAAATGTAAATATAAACTCAGTGAAAAGTAGTTGACTTTCAGGCAGAATACTCACCATATGAGCCCATTCATCTGGGTGCAACCAAAGAGCCAGCTGGACATTTCCTGTAGGATAGAGCAAAAAACATGCAACATTAAAATAATTTTTGCCACCTATTAGAACAAAACCACTCAAATGTTACAGTTTCGGTGGTACCTACCTACCTACCTACCTACCTACCTATAGCGGCAAGAAAAAGTATGTGAACCTTTTGAAATTTTATGGTTTTCTGCATTAATTTGTCATAAAATGTGATCTGATCTTCATCCAAGTCAAGCGTTTTGACAAATATAATGTGCCTCAAATAATAACACAAAAAAATTATGATCATTCATGTCTTCATGAGAACAACCATAAAAACCTCATAGTGCTAGTGGATAAAGTATGTGAACCCTTGAGTTAATTGAGTTGAGTTGATCCCAAAACAGCTAATTGGAGTCAGGTGTTGAGTTTGGAGGTGTTTGGAGGTGTGGACTAGAGCTACTTTGACTGATAAAAACCACTCAAACTTTTTGAGTTTGCTCTGCACAAGAAGGATACGCGTATGTGAGCCATGCCTCGCCAAAAAGAGCTTTCAGAGGATCTACGATCAAAAATTGTTGATTTACATAAAGCTGGAAAGGGTTACACAGTGATTTCAAAGACTTTAGAAATTCACCAGTCTACAGTAAGGCAAACAATCTACAGATGGAGACAATCTGGGACTGTGGCTACTCTGCCAAGAAGTGGACGCCCAGTCAAAATGACCCCAAGAGCACAACGGAGACTCATCAATGAGGCAAAGAAACAACCCTGAGTGAGAGCCAAAGATTTGAAGGCACCATTGGTACGGGCTAACATCTGTGTTCATGAGTCTACAGTCTGTAAAACATTGAACAAGCAGGGTGTCTATGGCAGGACACCACAAAGGAAGCCACTGCTTACTAAAAAGAACATTGCTGCACGCCTGAAGTTTGCGAAAGAGCGCACTGACAATGTTTTGTGGACAGATGAAACTAAGATTGAACTATTTGGAAAGAACACGCAGCGCTACATCTGGCTTAAAAAAGGCACTGCACATCACCATGAAAATATCATCCCAATCGTAAAGTATGGTGGAGGGAACATCATGATTTGGGCCTGCTTCGCTGCATCAGGGCCTGGCCAGCTTACAATCATTGAGGGGAAGATGAATTCCCAAGTGTATCAAAAAATTCTACAAGATAACATGTCTGTATGTCAGCTGAAACTCTGTAGAAGTTAGGTGATGCAACAGGACAATGACCCAAAACACTGGAGCAAGTCCACAACAGAATGGCTTATGAAAAACAAAATCCGCCTTTTGGAGTGGCCAAGTCAGAGCCCAGATCTCAACCCTATAGAAATGCTATGGATTGACTTGAAGAGAGCCGTACACATGAGGCGTCCAAGGAACATAACAGAGCTAAAGCAGTTCTGCCAGGAAGAATGGGCTAAAATTCCTCCTGAACGATGTGCAGGTCTGATCCACAGCTACAGGAAGCACCTGGTTGAGGTTATTGCTGCAAAGGGGGGGGTCAACCAGCTATTAATTCCAAGGGTTCACTTACTTTTTCCACTACTACTTTGAATGTTGAATGGGTGTGTGCAATAAAGACCTGCAAGATCATATATTTTTTTGTGTTGTTATTTTAGGCACATTATATTTGTCAATACACTTGACTTGGATGAGGATCAGATCACATTTTATGACAAGCTAATGCAGAAAACCATAAAATTCCAAAAGGTTCACATACTTTTTCTTGTGTATACACACACACACACACACACACACACATACATTATATATATGTATATATATATATGCACACACATACATCTAATTAATAATTACACTTTTCCATTAATTGGTGTATAATATACTGGTCACCGATTTATAATGCACCCCAAATTTGAGCAGTAGAAGTTGGGACATCCTTTAACAATAATGTGTCAAACTTCAGTAAAATCCAACAGCAATACAATGTATAAAAAATAAAAATTAATAAACCCTTGAAAGTCGCTGTTATTTTAATTAAATTTTACATAACATTCTTTATTATGTGAATGCATAGCTATGTAATGAGTTCTATTTTAACTTCATCATATTTTTTGTCTTTTGATGTTAAAAAAAATGAAAGGAGAAACTAAACAATAACTTTTCAAATTTTGTTCACAGTTTTGTTATTTAGAAATTTTATCTTTGATGCATCTGCACAATCAAACTCACATCTGACAGGAGTGCATGTAAATTTCAGCATAATACTTAACAACCTGAAAAAAATATGCTTGACTGCTAATGAAAATGCTAACCTGTTCACCCAGCAACCCATGTAATAATAATTATGTACTTACATTTTATTTTCTTGCTGATATAAACAATATACTTTTTTTTTTTTAAAAAAAAAACAAAGTTTTGCTTTGTAATACAGATACTTTGAATAACTCCCTCCCTAAAATACAAAACATAGCCTGGCTATTAAGGCTGGGCGACTCATAAAACCTTATTTTAAATTTTGATTTTGATCTTTTATATTTTGATCTTTTTTATTATTATTTTTCAAGTACTTATTTAAATACAGAGAGATTCACTCGAAAGAGGCCCAGAATATTCTGTAATAACTCTCACTAGGACAAAGCAATCTGAACAAAACAACGTGCAATGTGCTCCTCGAACAAGCCGGAATGCCCCTGCGTCGGAGCACACCCCCATACCGCTTCATGTGTCTGGCAGAAAACGGAGATCACTTCCAGCATCGCATGTAATGCAATCGATTACACATATGTCAAGGTATGTAGCATTTTTTTGTGCAGATTGCTTCATCCTAACGGGAGTTACAACAGACTATTCGTGGCCTCTTTCGAGTGAATCTCCCTGAATACATACATACTTGCATACATACATGCATACAATATATATTACTTATTTTATTTTCTTTAATTATATTTAAAAGTTCAAGGAAATCCACTGTTAATAAGATAAGTTCAACAAATGCATGTTTCCAAAGTCAATGAGTAACAATGTTAATACTGATCAAAATAATTGTGATTATGATTTTTGCCATAAATGAGCTAGTATAGTATAAGCTGACATACCACAATGTACAAAGGCTGTCACTGCAAATGTTTGTTCCTTGAGAACTTAAGATTTAGTGACTTCAAAATTATTTTGTAATGAAAGATTTATGGCTAAGAAGGCAATTCAGACATTACACCCTCACCATGTTGCTGCTGCGGCAGTAGAAATGTGTGTAGGCCTTTCTCCGACTGGACAGCGCAAACAGAAAGTATTTAACTGTAGCTTCCTGCAAAGTAATGGTTGGGACAAGACACATGAGAGTGTACAACAACAGAGTGATGCTCACATGCTACACAGTGTGTAGCAGATTGCTCATGTGACTGCAGCTTACCTTGGGGGCACTGTAGAACACACGCAGAGTGTTCACCTCACTCCACACCTCAGCAGTACCTACAGAGAATTTTAATTAACATCTGAAACAGAGTAAGGCATACTGCTGCACAATATGGATAAGATGCCATATTGCAATTATGTCATCTACAAACGCATACAAGTCAGAGACCACCCTTCATTTATGCAATTTCCAGTAAGAGTGTCCATGAAGTATAAGTTATTCATTTTTCAGTGTCATATTTAACAGAAAATTGCACAGGAGCCTCAAAAACCAAATATCAGATGTTTCAGTATTTAGTGTATCCACTCTTTATCTTTATTACAGCTTCCATTCTTTTCAGGAGACTCACTTTTAATTTCTCAAAGAAATCTGCAGCCACACCTCCAAAGTTCAGTCTTAAGCCAACGGGGATGCTACATAAGTCAGCATATGGCTGTACCGTTAACACCTCATAACTTGCTGTCTTGTAATCAGGAATCTAGAAGTCATTATGGTTTGCACACTACATGACTGATCAGCAACAGAGGTAACACATCACGAGACCTTTCACCAGGAAGAATATACGACTGTCTGCTTTCCAAACTATGTTCTGTCATGAAAACAAGCAAGAAATGACACAAGCTTCCCCTCACTCCCACTGGCTGTAGTTCGTCCCCACACTCACTGCTGGTCACAACAGGGTCACAACACTCTTCACACTGCAGGATTAGGACTCCCCGGCAGGTCCAGATATATAGCTTGCTTGATGTCTTTGTCTGTGAGGCATCGATGAGGCACTGGCGATGGCATCTCGTAACAACTCGCGCAAAGCGATCGACAGCCAATTTGCGAGTCCTGAGTAAATGCAGATTTGCCTCTGATCTACAACTTTTCTCTGCAATCATCAAAAACCACTGGTGAGAAGAAAATCTGGGCTAAAATTTTGGAGTGTGAATGTAGCATTGGAAGTTCTTTTTGTATTTTCTGCTTCTCACCATCCAAGTAATTCCAAACACATACAGTGATGTAGAGGTTTGAGGTTTAGTGTCTATTTTCTTTTCTCAATAAGGGCTTCATGAGAGCTACACATCCTTTCAGACCCATAGTGCTGAGATGTCTTCTCACAGTGGAAGGATGGACAGGAACACCTGTGGATTTTTCTGATGTAAGAGTGGAGCTTGATTTTCTCCTCTGTGCTGTTTATCTGATGGGGAAAGTTTTGGTGGTCTACCAGGAGTCGCAGATGATTGTTAGAAGTCCCATTTTCTCTGTAGCTTTTAATCATTTTTTGAACTCTAGTTTTGGAAACTAACTTATTTTTCTTTGATGCTCATTGTCCATTTTATCAGCTCCACTTAATATACAGGTGCACTTTGTAGTTCTACAATTACAGACTGTAGTCCATCTGTTTCTCTGCATACTTTGTTAGCCTCCTTTTACACATACATAAACACACACACACACACACACACACACACACACACACTTACATACATACAACACAACCCTGATTCCAAAAAGTTGAGTCACTGTGTAAAATATAAGGAAATGTAAATAAAAACAATGCAATGATTTGCAAATCCCATATACCCATATTTTATTCACAATAGAACATAGTTGATAGTGCCTTTCCAGATGTGTAAGCTGCCCACGCCATAGACACTAATGCAGCCCCATACCATCAGAGATGCAGGCTTATGAACTGTGCACTGATAACTAGCTGGATGGTCCCTCTACTCTTGAGTGTGCCAGACATGGTGGTTTCCAAAAAGAATGCCAAATTTAGATTTATCTGACCACAGAACAGTTCTCCATTTTGCCTCAGTCAATTTTAAATGGGCTTTGGCCAAGAGAAGATGGCAGCGTTTCTGGATCGTGTTGACATATGGCTTTTTCTTTGCATAATACAGCTTTAACTTGCATTTGTGGATTACACGGCAAACTGTGTTCACAGACAATGGTTTCTGGAAGCGTTTCTGAGTCCATGCAGTGATTGAGTGACAATGTAGTGCCGTCTGAGAGCCCGAAGACCATGAGCATCCAACCTTCGGCCTTGTCCCTTGCTTACACGGTTTCTCCAGATTCTCTGAATCTTTTGATGATATTATGTACTGTAGAAGGTGGAATATCCAAAGTCTTCAATTTTATGTTGACGAACATTTTTCTGAAATTGTTTTACAATTTTTAGACACATTTTTCGCAGATTGGTGAACCTCTGCCCATCTTTGCTTCTGAGAGACTCTGCTTTTCTAAAATGCTCTTGTGATAACCAGTTATGTTAGTAAGTTGCAAATTGCTCCTCCAGCTGTTTTTTATTAGTACCACTTACTTTTCCAGCCTTTTGTTGCCCCTGTCCCAACTTCTGTCCCAATGTCAAGTTCTAAATGAGTTAATGTTTTTCATGAAATGGTAAAATGTCCCACTTTCAACATCTGATATATATTCTACGTTCTATTGTAAATAAAATATGGGTCTGAGTTTTGCAAATCATTGCATTCTGTTTTTTATTTACATTTTACACAGCCTCCCAACTTTTTTGGAATTGGGGATCAATTATGTTGTGGTGCACTTCCACAACCTACTGAAAACTACTGAACATATATAAAAAAAAATAAAAATAAATGGGATAAATGAGATGAGCTTGAGCTTTTAGGGAGGGGTGAAAGTGCACCACTGGAATAGAAAGTGGTGCACTGGATTTAGAATACAAGACAACAAGTATCACTCTTACACACACCTGTGAAGCTGACCAGAGTTTTGGGTTGGTCGCCAGGGAGCTGCACCGGGTGATGGATGAAATGGTAGCTCAACACAGATATTCTCTTCTCAACATCCTCTGTGAACTGAAGAATAGTATAGATCATGACAAATACACACAATTGTACACCTATACAACAGAAAAACACACGCAATAATATTGTGCCCACCTGCTGAGTTTCAGGTTCAATGAGGTCAAAAAAAGCCCGGACCGTGGCCAGCACTAACTCCTTACACCTTCAGGAGGGGGGAGAAAAAGAAAAAAAGAAAAATACTAATAATAATCACAAAACATTGCACAAAATAAAGCTTAGGCATAGAATTCAAACCTTGAAAGATTTTAAGATGTAACACACACACACACATATATATATTTATATGTATGTATACACACATGCTAATGTAAGTTTACTACATACCACACAATGGACAGATGATCCGTAGACACCCATGTTCTGGGAACTGCCGTGACCTACAAAAGCACAAGAGTGAAATGTACACTCTGGTATAGTTCAAAATATAGAAGGCTCATTCTGATCTGCTTAAAATTAGAGCCCAACCAATACAGCATTTTTAAGACTGATACCAAATTTGATATCTAAATATTTAAAAATCCAAAATATCTGATATATCAACCAATATTTATTTCTTCAACATTTGTTATGTGTAGTCCTCACCGAACATGACATAATGCAGTTTAATAACAAACTTGCAACTTTGGGATTTCACATTGTAGTGTTACGAACACAAACATCTGTTTGCCTATTTGCCTCCACCTCAATGGTACCTTCATACATATGCAAGTCACCCATGCTGTGGGCATTGATGCACTCCCATACCATGACAGATGTTGGCTTTTGCACCTTTTGCTGATAAAAGTCCGGATCATCCCTTTCGTCTTTGGCACAGAGAATTCAAAGTCCGTTTTTCCCAGAAACAAGCTGAAACATGGACTCATCTGACCACAGCACACATTTCCACTGTCTTTCTGTACACTTGAGATGAGTTTAGGCCAAGTGAACTTGTTTGACAATTTGACAATTCTCTCACAAAATTTGGCATAAAGTGGTGAGCCACAACCAATGTTTGCTTGCAAAGACTGAGATTTTGGTGGATGCTTATTGTGGAATGTTTCAAAATGGTGTAATTTGAATATTCTATAAACTGTTCACTTTTATTTTGCCCCTGTCCCAACTTCTTTTCAATGTGTTACAGGCATCAAATTCAAATTTGTTTATATTTACAAAATGCAATAAAGTTGGTCAGCTTAAACATTAAACATCATTTCTTCAAGCTGAGACAGTTATTTTTATATATTTAGCTATTTACTTGAAGATTTAAAAGTTATAACCAATATTGGACTCCTAAGTGATGCAACTGTCCAGGGTTTTGCCACATGATTGGGAGAACATGAGTTTAAATATGTGAAAAAATCAGCAATATTTCAGCTGGTAACGACTGTCTGCAGGTTGTCAATATTGGATGACAATGTCAACCAACTGATATCAGTTAGGCTCTTATTAAAGCAATAAGCCACGAGAGGCTATCTGTTACAGTGATTTTACCAGACTTAAGGGGCATTGCTTGGCACATTGCTCAATGTTAGCTTGCTCGTTTACTGTTAATTGGTGAGGTAGGACTGCTTTAAGGTAACACACACACACACACACACACACACACACACACACACACACACACATATATATATATATATATATATATATATATATATATATATATATGTGTGTGTGTGTGTGTGTGTGTGTGTATGTGTGTATATGTGTGTATGTATATACATATATATATGCTTTTAGGAGAGTGCACCACTGTAAAGGAAAGGGGTGTGATGGATTTATAACAAGACAAAATCTATCACTGCAAAACAGAATGCGGGACAATAATCTTTTTATCTCTATTATCTTGTTTTCATAATCACTGGATACCAGTGATTAATTCCAGGCATTTTTAACAGCAAAATGGATTAAGCAATTAATAATAAAAAATGTGCTGTTAAATACCTAATCATTTTTGAGTTAGTATAGGAGGCATCTCTAACGTGTAAATCCTAAGGTAATTAAATATGTGTAAATTATACGACAATAGCAGTTTCCCTCTCACCACAACAGAAAGCTTGTTACGGTCGTCCGAAGAGCAGGACAAGGCAGTGAGGCCCGAGCGCACCTGGTAGTCACGGTAACCACCCCCCACAGACAGGACCGTCACGTTTCGCAGGTCTTCCGCTCCTGCTGCCCAGTGCTGCCTCACAGAGGAGTAAAATTCTACAGCAGGGACACAAGTGAAAGAAAGGCGTTTCAGGAAATTCTACCTACGTACAATCACTGAGGGTCTTTGGCCCTATTCAAATGGGATTAGTTTTACACAAGGAGGTAAATAATGTAATCTTTATCAGCGTTTCTCAGCGATTTCAGTTTCATCCAAATCTTTTTCCTGCCTGCCCGCTCCCATGTTGGAGATTCCAGTGCCTTTTACCTTCTATAAAACAATCCACAGAGCCACTATATTAAGCTTGCACAAATTGACATGTCGGTAATAACACATATAACAATTATATTCTGTAGAAAAGCAGTTTCTTTTGTATGAAGGCTTGAAGAAGCATTGCCCTCATAGAAACTAATCCCATCTGAATAGGGCTTTTGAGATGTAACTGAGCGGCATGAGGATTCACTCTCTCTGGCTCACAAACTAAAAGCTATGTAAAAGTTACCGATATACAAAACTAACTCCGTCCAATCAAAGACTCACAGCCTTTTCATTCACCAAAGCAAACTGCTTCATTGTTTACTGCTTCCACCAACTGCTGGCCATGTTGGGGGCATGTTGATAAAAATTTAAGCAAGTTTAGCAGTCAAAAATCAAGAGTTAAAATGTATGCAGTAGAAATGCAAAGGTACACAGTATATCGCCAAACTGCTGGTACACCACCTATGGCTCAATACACACAATTGTTTTTAAATGATACGCACACCAGTGCCGGCACTCCAAGTTGACGTGCAGCAGTGCTCACCACTCTGGCAGCCAGTCTTTTAGGTAAACAGACAAATGCCAATGGTAAGTCATCTCAGCCATCATTACTAGCCTAGCCTTTTTCAGCTTGTATCTTTCAATTGTGAAGAGATAAACCATTGTCATGCGTGATAATTGGTGCTAAACACTTTATTTCATTCAATTTATATAAGTAGGGTGTAAGAATTAATTTGAACATGCCATTTATTGGCATATCCTGCTGGTATTCAATAGCCACACTCTGCTCCTTGATGCTACGAAGAGCATCCAAGGTGCAGTGGCCTTTACAATGTCCCCCCTCACACACATTTCAGCAGCAAAGTAATTTCCAAACTCTAAGAAACATCACATAAAGAAACAAAACTACAGCTTTAAAAACAGTCTTTGTTTAAAAATGTAATTATCACCTATTTGTATGCGTTTACAACCACTGTAATATTTCCAGCTTGATGTGGCAATCTGTTTTAGTGTTGAACCCTTCTGTTTACTTCACCTTGGACCTTGGAGACTGTAGTCACCCACAGAGGGCAGGCACAGCTGCAGGTTTTTTTAGTTTAATCAAGCAGCTCTTGATTCTATTCATTAAATCAGCTAGTCTTCAAACAACTGATCATCTATACATGCCGTGAGTAAGCGGTATCTTATTTGAGTTTAGGGTGCTTTCACACCTACCATGCTTGATGCGGACCAATTTACCTTTTTCTTCAGTTTGGTCCATTTTGTCAGGTGTGAACACGCCACCTAGGTGCGCACCAAACAAATAAGAGATCCATGTTCCGGCAAAAATCATACTTCCAAACAAACCCTCCTTCTGTTTGCTGCTGGTGGGAATGCATTTTTCTAATGGCCCACACCAAAATGAGGGAATTCATCATCAAAGCATGCTTTTCTGTTTCTTCTAGCAGCTCATCAGCACTCTCATATCAGACACTCGTATCATTCTGGTAGCATGAGCTGCTGATAATAACAGTAAACAAGCAATAAAATGAATTCAATAATACCAGAACAATGCCCTCTATTCTGGAACATGGACTATAGAACATCCTGATTGGTTACATTCAAACTCACAAACTAATCATAAAAAACCAGATATCAAATAAGGTTTATCAAAACTGCTTTGACTATTTACACTTAGACGTTAAGCGTTTCTATTTACATGCGAAGTTGGAGTTTTTTTTGGCTCAAATGGTAGGGTGCTTGTATACCTTTTGGTCACTAAACAAACACCCGAAGTGTAATTTGGCACACTTTCGCCGTCGCAGTGTGAAACGAACTAAAACAAATGAAAATGATACAATATCACAAAAACCCAAACTCTGGACTTAAACGAACTGGTACAAAAGCAGGCTTAATAGTTTAATTCTTGAATTGTGAATATACAACTCATGTGGAAAAGGGGGGGTTCTTACCCAGTATATATGGATCCAGAGAGATCACGGGGGCATGGTGAGGAGAGGCCTGGGTGAGGATAAGGCTGACCAGGCGAGGGTTGAAACGGGGCAGTGTAAACAGCGCTCGAGCCACTACGCCACCCATAGAGTGGCCAACCAGCACCACACTACTGGGAGGGTCCAAACAGTTCTGTCAAAGTGCAAAAGTGAGGAAGAGGCTTCAACTGACACTAGTGAAGATCAATGATGCAAAAGCTAAGCAAGTTGCCCAAAATATTTTTTGCCAAAGCCCTCAATCTTTTTAATCACCTTTACTTACTAGGGTAGCCAGATGGGCTCAAAAATCTAATTCAAATTTCAAATTTTCTTGTTTAACAAATATTTGAATATATCCAAATCATAACTACATTATTTAAAAAAAAAAATATCATATGTAATACAACTCATAGCTGCAATAAACATTAACACTTGTAAGCCAATGTTAGGTCTCCTAAATCCATCAGCAGGCACTGAGCTTTGGGGTCGCAACTCACGAGATGGTCATCAGAACGGTACTGGTGCCTTTTCTGACGTATCTTTGAGAAGGATTCTTCTATAAAATCATCACAGCCCGCGTTTAACCAATTTCTATGATAATGCTTGTTTTTAAAATGCTAACTTCAAAGGTTTTTGATTGATGCGATGGAGATAGAAGCAATGGAGAGTGTTTAAACTCTGCACACTTCATGGTTGTGATATCACTATCAAGGACAGACTTGCATTCGTTCAGGACATCACTGGCAAAAGCAACAAAGAAACTCTAAACCTTGATTGTCCATGTGTGTATGCTTGTCTACTGACCTTGTAAAGACGCAGGATGACCCTGATGCTCTCGTGAAGGAAGCGGGTCTGCCGGAGCAGGCTTCCACCGTACAGAGCCACCAGCTCCTCGTTGAAGTCAATGGTAAAGACGTTCATATGGACCCCACCATCCAAATTCTCAGCCTTCCTCAATGCCACGGAACCCAGAGAACGAGCTGGAGGGCAGGAGAAACAACAGAGAAAGCTGTCAGTTCAGAAAATTAAAACAATCTGAGCATGATAGAATTATTGAGCTTTATGAGAAACCTACTCTAGACCAGATTTCCCATTTTCCAGCCCTGTATGGCCTCCACCATCCAAACTTACGACAAAACCGCGTTTTACATGTGTAAACCGTACAAGTTGACGTTATGTAACTCGCTACTTTCAGACAGATCGCTTTACTTGATTTGCTCCTAGCTAACCTGGTGACGTGTCTAAGTTCACTTACCCTGCTGTGCTCTGATTGGGGCTTTAGCACTTGATTCCATTGAAAGGAACCATTTAACCTACATAGTCAGCAGCGGAATGAGACATAAGACCTGTTAGCAATGTCTAAAAATAATTACCACAGTATTTTCTGCTAAATAGTTAAAAAAAAAAAAAAACGCAATTAATGACTTTACATATTTAAAAAACAAGCCGTTTTCAGTTGTTATAGCAGAATCAGGCCTAACAGCTTTTAATGGCCTCATATTTAGTCAAAGTTTTAATAGTAAAAGTAAATAAAACATCAAGTGTACATATTGTTTGCTACTTTTTTTCATCAGGGGAACTTTTTCTCCAGGTTAGTCCTACCTGCTCTACGGTAATATCCAGTCACTTTAGCATGGTTGTTTTACTGCAGTGAGTAACTCTTTAGCAAGCTGATGTTCTAAAGCATGTCTGCATTTATTTTCAGTTCCATATACTCAAGCTAAACTTAACGTAAAACGTTAAATAACTAGAAGGGGGGGAGCCATGTGGTAAAGCTAGCAGTACAGTGTGTAGGAGAGAGAACTAACAGACAGCTTCTTAACAAACTGCACTTTCTCATGCCTCTATCTGGGGGGCATGCTACACATTTCTTAAAGAAATGTGATCCATAATTTTCGTTTAAAAATAAACAGTCCTCTCCAATTCATTGTCAGTTTCCCAGCACAGCTCAATCATTAGCGATATCTGTTTACACCACCCTATCGCCCAGATCTACTGTCAGCTACTCCTGACATGAGCAAACTGATGGAACATGGCCAGAAAAATACATATTACACAATATTACAATTGATCTTAATGAAATCTCAAGGTTCGTCTGTATAGTTGGTCATAGTCAAGTGACCGGTATTTGAGTAGTTGCAATCAAAACTGTTCTGTTGTGTTTGGAACTGTTAACCTGCTAGTTAAGCAGCTTTACTCTTACCTTGCTTATAGCTGCCTGCATTCCCAGGTAAGAAGAGCACAGGGGCTCCGGTAAGCTTAAGCCCCCGCGTCTCCTGAGCATACAAGCCTTCACCATACAGGTACAATCCGTAAGCTGGGTACTGACGTGCCACGCGCCGGGGAAGCTGGATACGCTGCACGTAAACAAACACAAATCAGTCAGTGCTAAATCTTTACCTGGTGATGTTCAGAAGCAGAGGTCACATTACTGTTAGAGTCCACGTTTTGATCTTTTTCTTTCCACTCAGGAAGCCTTGTTAAAACTAACCTGTTTAACTAAGTTTAGCTGAGCCTTCCAAAAAAATACAGTTTTAAATATATATTACACAGACATTATCCAAATTCCCTCATTTAAATTCAAAAAAGCTCTTCTTTTTGGAAGGCTTAATGCATAGATTCATGAAAAAGTACATTAGTTGAAAATAAAATATACTTAAATTGTGTTATTCTGACATTAGTTCTTCTATTTTGTGGTCAGAAAAACTGCCACATTTCACAGCCTTTTCTCACTATTTCAGATATCTGTGTTTAAGTAGGAAAACTTATCTAGTTTGAACAGCACAGGACTGTACTGAAATTATGTTTACATAAATTAATAGAATGCTTCTCACTTTTTTTTTTAAACAGGAGTTTGTGGTATGTAAACATTGTTAAAGTTTCAAAAATGTACTGTTCACCCCCACCCCCCGTCCATGCAGTCCATATACAATGTTGTGAAAATGTATTTCTTCTTTTTTTCCACATATTTGTCACAGTTGAATGTTTCAGATTATCAAACTAACAAAATGCACCCTGATATACACACACACACACACACACACATATACATACACACACATATACATATATATATATATATATATATATATATTAACATGGATAATGGCTCCACAGTGAGAGCCATGGAGAAAACTTGGAACAGTGATAATGGCTCCACAGTGAGAGCCATGGAGAAAACTTGGAACAGTGGTGAGCCTAACAAAATTTCACCAAGAGCACATTGACGACTCATCCAGGAGGTCACAAAAGAACCCAAACGAACATCTAAAGAAATACAGGCTTCACCTGCCTCACGTAAGGTCAATGTACACGATTCCACAATAAGAAAGACACTAAGCAAAAAAATCGTATCCATGGGAGAGCTGCAAGGTGCAAACCACTGCTGACCAAAACGAACGAGGCTCGTCTCGCATTTGCCAAAAAACACCTAGATGACACCCAAGACTTCTGGGATAATATTCTGTGGACTATGAGTGGAACTTTTTGGGAAATATGGGGCCCGTTACATCTGGCATGAAGCTAACACTGCATTCCACCATAAAAACATCATTTCAACAGTCAAACATGGTGGTGGTAGTGTGATGGTCTGGGGCTGCATTGCTTCCGCAGGACCTGGACTACTTGTCACAACTGATGAAACCATGCATTCCGCTCACTATAAGAAAATCCTGAAGGAGAATATCTGCTTGTCAGTTTGTGACCTAAAGCTCAAGCGCAGGATTTTTACAGCAGGACAATGATCCGAAGCACACAAGCAAGTCAACGTCTGAATTGCAAAAGAAACAAAACTAAGGTTCTGGGGAGGCCAGGTCAAAGTCCTGACCTGAATCCCATTGAGATGCTGTGGCAAGACCTTAAACAGGCAGTTCACGCTTGAAAACCCTCCAATGTAGCTGAATTAAAACAATTATGTAAAGAAGAGTGAGCCAAAATTTCTCCACAGTAACGTAAAAGACAAATTACTGCAAACGTCTGATTATAGTTGTTACTGCCAAGGGTGGCATAATCAGTTCTGAGGCAATTACTTTGTCACATGGCTGATATAGCTTTTGAATAAATCTTTATCATCAATAAATGGAATGATCATTTAAAAGCTGCATTTTGTGTTTACTCACGCTGTCTTTATCTTATATTAAAATTAGTTGGATGATCTGAAACATGACAAATTAGCAAAAGCTGAAGGAATCAAGTGGGGGCAAACATTTTTTCACAGCATTATGGAATATGATCGTACAGAATATAAGCTGCTAAAACAGCCTGTTTCTGTGATGTTGTAAAAACCAACAACATTTACATTCATCCACCTACCAGCCTACAGTAGTTTAGCTCCACTCACTCACACTAAAGTTATATGGAATGTTTCAGCCCATATTTCTCATAATAAATTATGCCACAACACGCTTTTCGGACCATATTGTGGATCTCGTTAGTACTTGAAGAACACTGATTAACTACATTTCATATTAATAAGAACATCACTAGTCCTGTTTGATTGGATTTAACGTAGTGCATAGTGTGAAACACTGAAAAAAAATCATAAAAATACTATCAAATTTCATTTTAAAAATACTATCAAAAACAATTAATTTTATGTGGCACCACTGGTCCTTCTTAGTCCATTCCAATTTATCAGATGTCAGAAAAAAATGAATATTGTCAAATCATTTTGCCATATCACCCACCTCTACTCTGGACTGTATGAAGGCACAGCCAATCAAGAACAGAGCTCATTTTCATATATCAGTCTTAAAGCCACAGAAACAAAAATTCAGTCCTAAGGTATGAAGAGAAGATAGAAATGGCCATGTAAGAATGAATTACGGCTATTTGTGATTTAGAAAACTCAGTCACATGCAAATTGAAAGGCTCTTCCAACCAGTTACATTTTTTTTTCAGAAATGACTGTAGGAAAGTTTACATTTTCATTTGTACCAAGCATGTGCATGTTGTTTGTACACAAAAAACATTAGGATTGCTCAAATACCTTTAAAGGGAATAATTAAAGGAAGGGTTTTGCAGCATTTTGGAAAATATTTTGACAGTAAACAAAGTGTGTTCTCTTCTACACTTACTTCTATGTTGGTATATTTGTGCTTTTATTTATTCATCGGACTCACCGGGAATGGTGGGCTTGTATACAGCTTTTTGATCGGGCGTATGGTTTTGGTACAATTACCATTACATGACATTTTTTTCCCGTAGGAATAAATTGGCTGCAAATGTTTGTGCAACCAGCTTATATGACAAAGATACAAGTACAGTAGAAACACCCTATTAACCATGTGGGGTACATTAGTGACCACCAAGCAACACCCTAGCAAACACCTACAATATCATAGTAATTGCCTGAAAATACCCTAGGAATCATCTTGGAATTGATTAGGCTCTGCATTTTCGTCAGGAAATGCACCCTTATGGTTTCATTATGTTCTGTTTGTAGCATTACTGCTTTGTGCCTTGAGTGTGTGCCCACTGCTTGACACTTTCTGGACCAGTTTGACCACGATGGAGCTTGCTGCTGTAATGCTGTGCAAACCTCACCTGCATGTCACTAACCCTCCTGATGATACTGCTGCCTGCACAGACTCGAACTATTTAAAACATAGCCATTGCTTACCTGCTTTCCCCCTTTCCTGTATTTTTAATATATTATACTAAGGGTACAACCTTATTCTCTGTTCATACTGCTCGTGTTATTGTTTTGCTATCCGGTGTCGACCAGAGGAGGATGGGTTCCCCTTTTGAGTCCTGGTTCCTGTCAAGTTTTCTTCCTATTGCTCTTAGGGAGTTTTCCCTTGCCACTGTCACCTCTGGCTTGCTCATGGGGGCTTGGACACGATTTTTTCTGTAAAGCTGCTTTGTGACAATGCCTGTTGTTAAAACGCTGTATAAGTAAACTTTGACTTGAGATTGGTCATACCTTCTCAATTTTAGATCCAGACTGCATGAAAAGAGGGAAAATATGCATGAACAGTTCCCCTGCTGATGCTGGATGCACCACTATAGCTCTGCTCAGTAAGTCGTTTTTAGGTATTTTTGTAGTTTCATTTTTTTAAATATACTTTAACTCGAATCATCATTTCACAGATGTTTACTTGAACATGGGTTTCTGCCACCTCTGGCAGATTCCATGCATTGTTTATTATTAAATATGATAAGTCTGTTTGACAGTGAGTCTCTTCTACGAGGCTGAAGTTGACTTCCCATTCAAGCGTTCCACCTTAAATGGTGCAGCAGTTAAGGCGGACTAGTAAGTTCGAGTAGGAAGTCGACTTAAGCCTCGTTCCTCGTACCTCTTACTGTTGACAGTATGTACAGCAGTATGTACTTATTTAACTAATAATCTAAACAATCTGCACGAAATACACACGTTAAGTCTTCAGCACAAACAGTTCACATTTGTGCTTTATGTCCTCCAGTTCAGTCTCTACTGTTAGTCTCTAATACTGTGAGCTTAGCGGGCAGAGGTGGATGCCCAGGTGGATGCCCAGGTGAGTGCACCATCACTATTTCGCGTTCTCCAGGTGAGCTGAGAACCCTTCTGTCCACCTTACCCACCCGGTACTCAGGTTGCTCGAACATGTAGGTCATGCTGCAACGGTTCTCCTCGAAGCCGAAGAGCAGCTCGCGCAGCCCGGTAAGGAGGAGCGCGAGCGCGCAGGTGTACAGCACGTATACGGCAGGTCTCATTTCTCCAACAGGTCCGTGTTTACTTCCCTCGCGTACATCTCACCTCCATTTTTAACCCCATAAAAAAAAACTCACACTACCGGTTCGCACCATGAGGAATGACGGACAGCTCCGACAGCCAATGAGAGGCAGTGGAAAGTTTACCCTCAACTAATAGGAGCAGACGCTGGGGAGCGCGTCAGCCAATCAGGCCGAGGATTATTTTTAAAGGTGCAGGCACACCTGCGTTCTTTAGTGTTTTCAAACGATGGAATGTGATGTGACGGGGAGCGCTGCTGCTAAAAATGAACAGAACAGAAACAATTGTTGTATTTTAGATATGCTTCTGCACCTCTGTTCATTTATTTATGTAGCTATAATGAATCTACACTCTAGCCATTCTACCAAATTACACTCTTCAAGAGTCCTTTAATACAGACAATGGTTAAATATAGAAGGAGAATGTGTTGTATATGGTTCTATATAGCACCAAAAATTCAAAAAGGTTCTATATAGAACCATATACAACACATTCTCCTTCATTCTGAAGAACCATTTCACCATGCAGAGAGCCATTTTAGAATGGTAGAACCATTTTTGAAAATGGTTCTACATCATTAAAAACGATGGTTCTTCAAAGTTCTCAAAATATGAATACTGATCTGGGATCAGTTTATGCCTTTTACAATGCACTATATAGTGCGCTATCAGACTACACAGACTGATGAGACCTGACTTTAGATCAGTATTTTTACTCTGAGATGCTTGGTAAATATGGGCCCATGCTTCTAGAACCATGAACACTCAAAACATTTGCATGTTTAAGGGTTCTTTGTATAATGAAATGGTACTTCAAATCAATGGAGAATATGTTGCAAATGGTTCTGTTTAGAACCTTTTTGAAAAGGGTTCTTCTGTTGTTATGATGCCAAGCTTGTAACAATAGAATAACCCTTTTAAAAACATTATAACATTTTTGGTAACATTAAAATATTATATTTTATGTTTATGTTTCCCAATTTGTGGAAGTCTACACATAATTTGCCATTTTTACACAACTAAATTTGTGTAAAAATGGCAAATTTATTGAAGTGTGGTCTTTGTAGAGGATGTGTTCATCAACAAAACATGTAACTTGAGCGGGGGTGTTCACACTTTTGCTTACGACTGTATGTATACACATACAAAATGAACAAATTACACTTATGATTGGAATCAAAATGCATTTTTCATCCATACTATGACACATTCGCAAATAAAAAACTGTTTCGGGTAGGGGAAGTGAAAAAGTTAATACTTTTCTGTGCACAGTGAGATCATCAAGAATCAGAAGGTGCTTTAGAGACAGGCAGTACGTTCTATGATTAAATGATATGATGAATTGAGCTGAACATGACCAGAGACATGAAATAACACTGTAAAAAAGGTCCATTTTGATTTCAGGTTGACTTTAAAGAATCCTGGGATGCTTTGTTGAATTCACATGGCACCTTTTCATTATACTGCATATCTATTCATCACCACATAGGAAATGTAATATTACACACAAACGTTTATTTCAGAAATTTCACTGCATGTTCTACTGTGTATGGCTGTGTGTGTGACCAATACAGTTAGATTTGATTTGATTTAGATGTACACAAAGTCATTCAGAGTGGTTTGGTGTGAAATGCTCTGTTCTAGAGAAACATACCGAATCTGAATTGTTCACAGTGGTGGTGAACCAGATATCCAAAGAAAATGTAGTATTTCAGATTTTCCACCATTTTACCATCATCAACATTCTGTATAAAACCTCAGAAGAGACATCTAGGTTCACTGGTGGTATAAGATAGTAAATAAAATTGCTATATTTGTGTTGTAGACATGGTGACCCCTGGTTCCTAAACCACCATTGTAAAGAAATCTGAGTGTCTAACCAATGACTCTGTTTACATCTCAAACACTAAATTATGGAGAAATCTTGAAAAATTGGTGGAATACCCCTCAGTCTGAATAAAGAATTGCAATGAATGCAATGAAACTGCAGCTTTGTTAAAAAAAAAAATCTTTAATCGTATTAGTGTCAGTTAGACCCCGTTAACACCTGCTCACTTCATGCGTCTTGAGTATCAGGATTATATTTGAATAAGGCAAAGCCTCATAGAAATGCAAGTGTTAATGCACTCAAGACATTTAAAACAGATAAAAATCTGATCGCTCAAACCATTTCAGAAGGTGGTCTGAGATGCATTTGAGACACGTTACAGCAGCATAAATGCATCCGTCTCTTCAAGACACATTCAACAACTGAAACCCCTCCCAGTATAACCGAAAGGAAGATAAATAACTGTAATACAGATTTGAACCGGATCAGCTTTACCAAATTACACACACAGTGTTATTTGGACAAGGTGCTTTACTTTTCTCATGATGATAACTGACGACTGATTCATGGAGGACAAAAAAAAGAAAAAAAAAAAATCACACATAAACAGACTTCACATCATTTCAGTCCAGCAGTTTAGAGTGCTCTATTCTCGTGATGGTCCAGTCTGGGGTCACTCCTTGGGTAAACTCCCTTTGGAATCTGCAGGGGCAAAATAAAATAAACATTTATTTTAGACATTCGCCCATGACTGTAACATATAAGAGTGTTGTTTCCTTGTTTCTACACTCGTTGTCCACTTTATCAGCTCCACATCAAAGTCTGCATACTTTGTTAGCTCATTTCACCCTGTTTTTCATTGGCCAGGCCCCCCACAGGACCACCACAGAGCAGGTATTATTTGGGTGGTGGATCATTCTCAGCACTGCTGTGACACTGGTATGAGTGGACCAGACTCACCTCAGTGTCACTGCTGGCCTCAGAATAGTCCACCAACCAAAAATATCCAGTCAACAGTGTCTTGTGAACAGCATCCTGCGACCACTGATGAAGGACTAGAGGATGACCAGCACAAACTGTGCAGCAATATATGAGCTATCATCCCTGACTTTACATCTACAAGGTGGACCAACAAAGTAAGAGTGTCTCCCACCTTCCTCAAAAGGGTTCTACATGGAACCAAAAAGGGTTCTTCTATTATTACAAGCTTGACATATTCATGATAGAAGAACTCTTTTTTTGAGCTATATAGAACCATTTTTTGTTTAAAGAACCGTATGCAAAACATTCTCCATCAATCAGAAGAACCTCTTCACAGTGCAAAGATCCCTTTAAGCATGCAAATGGTTCCTTGAGTGTTAACGGTTCTATATAGAACTTCTATATGGAACCATTATCTTCACTAAAGAATCCTTGAAGAACCATCTTTTTTAAGAATGTATAGAGAACAAATTGAAAGGATTAATTCAATCACAGTTCTTCATGAGATGATCAGATATCTCATGAAATTCCAAATTTCACCACAAATTAATTTAGAGCTGAAAATGCCCTGAACAAACAAAAGACACTGTAGGAATTATTCACACAGTGTAAAAACAACACACTGAGCTTTTCTTATTCTTACATTTAAAAATGGCTCACGAATGTTACATTGGCCAGAAAATGAGTGCATATACATCACACAATTGATGCCACTGAATGACTACCTTCATATCAATGCTTCACATTGCACTGATGCATCTTTGCACCACACCTCTCATTACTAGTATGTGCATACTCACTCATAATTGGCTGTGAGCAGTCTCTTGCTCTCTGCCTCCTCTCCGTCTCCACCAATGGCCATCTTGAAGATGCGCGCTCCTTCCATGGAGTCCTCTGGCAAATGGGCACTGGTTAAGTACCAGAAGCGCATCAGAATACTGACGAACTTCCTCCCTGAGGTCAGAGCAGACAGAAATTTAGTTTTCATGATTTCAATAATTTATTTAGATAGTTATATAAAAGTGGGCCTTCCAGCTCTCTTATTCAAGACTTTACAAACTGAATCTAGACCAGGATGAACTAGTGCAACCCAGACCAGTTTGTTGAGCCATTAAATAAACTCAATACCCTTTCCAAGTACGACAAAACTACGTACAAATTTTAAGCAACACAATGGCTGCTAGTGCTGTTTTTAGCTGTTCAATGTACAACCACATTTCCAAATAAGTTGGGACGCTGTGCAAAATGTAAATAAAAACAAAATTCAATGATGTGCAAATCATTTAAACCCTATATTTAATTCAAAATAGTACAATGACAACAAATCAAATGTTGAAACTGAGAAATGTTATTGTTTTTTTAAAAAAATATATGCCCAATTTGATGCCAACAACATGTTCCAAAAAAGTTGGGACCGGGGCATGTTTACCACTGTGTTTCATCACCTCTTCTTTTAACACACTGTGTTGTTAGCGTTTGGGAACTCAGGAGTCCGACTGCTGTACTTTTGAAAGTGAAATGTTTTCCCATTCTTGTTTGATATAGGATTTCAGCCGCTCAACAGTTCAGGGTCTCCTTGTCGTATTTTTCATTTTAGAATGTGCCAAATGTTTTCAGTGGTGACAGGTCTGGACTGCAGGCAGGCCAGTTTAGCACCTGGACTCTTTTAATACAGAACAATGCTGTTGTAATACATGCAGAATGTGGTTTGACATTGTCTTGCTGAAATAAGCAAGACCTTCTCTGAAAAAGAAGTCGTCTGGATGCCAGCATATGTTGCCAAAACATGTATACATCGTTCAGCATTAATGGTGCTTTCACAGATGTGCACGTCACCCATGCTATTTGCACTAATGCACCCCCCATAACATCATGAATACTGGCTTTTGAACTGTGCACCGATAACAAGCTGAGTGGCCTTTAGCCCAGAGGACACAGTGTCCATGATTTCCAAAAAAAATTTCAAATTTTGATTTGTCGGACCACAGGACACTTCTCCACTTCCCCTCAGTCCATTTTAAATAAGCTTGGGCCCAGAGAAGGTGGCAGCATTCCTGGATCCTGTTTATATTTGGTTTCTTCTTTGCATTTAAGAGTTTTAATTAGCATTTGTGGATGCAGTGCCAAACTGTTTTCACAGACAGTGGTTTTCAGAAGTTTATCTAAGCCCATGCAGTGATTTCCACTATAGAATCATGTCTGGTTTTAATGCAGTGCCGCCTGAGGGCCCAAACATCATGTTTCAACATTTGATATGTTGTATTTGTACTATCTGTATTTAAATACAGGATTTACATGATTTGCACATCATTGCATTCTATTTTTATTTACATTTTGCACAGCATCCCAACTTTTTTGGAAGTGGGGTTGTACTTCTGTACATTGTTACAGATTCCATAGAGAGTGCAAACCACAGAAGCAAGTCTTTTTGAGATTATTTAAAAACTCAACATGGTGTAAGGACAATAATCTTTTACAGGGAATAAATTGAAACATGACATTTTTCTGCAAATTTTAGTGAACAATTTATAAATAATAGAGTTTAAAGCTCAACTGAAAATGTGGGGATTTGAGTTTTCTGCTGAAAATGTGTAATTACTGACTCAGCAATGCTACTTCTTTCGGTTCAAAAAAAAAAAAGGTCATTGTGTCTATTGCACGTAAGGCTGGCTTTACATGGTCTAACTTTTTTGTTATGAGTTGCCTGTAAATAATTTATGTGTAATGTGACAGTTACATTAAGCTATTCAAAAACAACCAAAGTTGCATGCATCACTTACTCCAGTTAGCCAAACTGTCAACTGCCCAATAAACCATCTTCTGTTTTATCTTGTCCACTGAATTGGTGAAGTCAATGGTTTGAAAGTATGTCAGCTGACGTGATCAAATGTTGCATTTAGATTGGCTTGTTCCACAAAGTTGGGGCGCTTGCAATTGTTGCAGCTGAGTTTCAAATGAGTTGCAGGAGGCTTTGCATTATGTGCAACTTAGTTTCATGTAGCTAAAGTTGCATGAACGTTTAAGCATGTTAAGTCAGCCTTAGAGAGTTCAAATTGAATAGGAAAGTGCAGGTGAATGCCTAGTGTCCAAAGCCTATTTGCTGCAGAGAAAAGATACTGAAAAGTTTTCATCAACTCCCTGGCACCCTCTATATATAAATCTCTTTTATTGCCAGATTTCTGCTATAATAGAACGAATTGCAAGTATGTGCAGTATGCTATTGAAGGACAATGCTGGCTAATACTGAGATACAGAATTCTTTATCAATGGTAAATTCTCTCACCGTTGTCGTCATAGTAGATGCCCACATCCCCTGGAGTTGTGTACATGATCTCCTCTGGATCAGCTGAGAGCGCCCTCTTGTGGCTCAATGGAAGATCAGTGCATTTCTCCTTTAGTTTTCCTATTAGCTATGACATAGAGAAAAACACTTAATACACTCCACCTAATGCACAAACACTACACCTAGAGTTTACTGTAAATGCAAAACATACTTACATCTTTAGCGACTAGGCCTTCAAGTGCATCAAACTGACACTGAGACAACAGGCGGGACACATGTGAGAAAGCCTGTAATGACAATACATACGCAGATATTAGAGATGGGGAAATATGGTGATATTAAACGTTACTGTGATAAGCTGTCACATTACATCACAATAGGGCTGTACAATATTGACATAAACGCAATGTTCAATAAAGCTGTCAGATATCACAACTACAATATGAAAAGCGATAAATTATTACTAAAATAGTGCACCTCTGACTGGATGTGATGCAAGTACAGATATATCAGATCAATATGTTTGCTGTGACAGTAACCACTACTACCTTGTACACTTACACAACACTGGGTGTGAGAACAATCCTAAAGTTTAAAGTGCTTTACAGGTGTAGTTCAGGATGGTGGAGTGTCTGAGCTTCACACGTGGGTGTTTTGCAATATGCTGTTTAGCTGAATGGCTAAGTTACTCTCCTCTGTGTGAGTGAGCAGCATTCCGTCCCAGCACAAAGAAGCATTCATTAGGCTTCTAATGGTTTGTGTCTGTAATGTCATGACGTCTCTCTGGCGCTGGGTGTAAGAGGTAATTTGATCTGTCAACGCAACTTAATGTTACTACAGAATCTCATATCAAAATAACACTAAACATACAATGTACTCTACAGCTCTACATCACAATCTGCTTTTCTGGGCATATCATCAGTACATAAAGGTCCAATCCCATTTCTTATTCTTGACCCTACACCTTGTTTTTGGGAGTCACCTTGCCCCTTGAGTTAAAAATCATCCCCCATGAAATGGGACAACCTTCAAATAAAAAACGAACTTTACTTAATTAACAGGCTACTAGCAGTGCTGTGTAGGCGACCCTGCCAGTCTGCAGTGATAGCAGAAGAGGGTAAATTTCAGCAACCTCGCAGCTGGTCTTTAGCTAAATTTAGGGCATCATATGCCTTCAAAGAGGGCAATGTGACAATAATTTATTATCGCCCAACCCTAATTCTTTGGTGATATGAAGCTGAAGTCAGCTATCACCTGCGTCTTGTTTGAATTTTCAAATTCCACTTTAAATGGAGCTGCAGTTATAGCCTGGAGCTTCAGACGCCAGCACTGCTGGACTATTTACGGTGTGGAACGGGTAATTTAGCTAGCTAGCTACCGAGACATCAGCATGCTATTAGCGATTTTTTATGCTTGTTATGAAGAAAAGGACCAAAATACTTTGAAACAACATTAAACTTTAACAATACAATGGTTATCTTATCTTTTAACAGAGAAAACACTTACATTTGTGGCTTTCTTTGGTCACTTGGGCAGCCATCTTGCTGGCTTTTTTTTCTCATAACACTCTGTTTGGAGTGTGCATCTGAAAAACCTCTGTTTGGAGGGACATGTAGCCCTAACACCATGCCCTACCCCTCTATCTCAACAAAAACGGGACACCCTATCCCTAGACGTGGGTTAAGGACTAAGTGGTAGGGGCAAGGGGCGAAATGGGATTGGGCCAAAGAACACTGACCGACTGCATGTTTAATTTCAAAGAGCATAGATAAGCCTGGTTAATTAGATTTAGTGCAGCATGGTATGTGAAATGTTATATTAAAATCATTGTATTTGTAGTTTTTCATAGTATTTTTTAAAATGTGACACTACTAACACTTTTCTATCTGTTCCAGCTTAGCTCAAGTTAACTAGATAATGTAGGACACAGGTGAAAACTGTAGCTGTGTCTACTCACACTATAATCATCATATACACTAGATATTGAAACCTTGCTGTGAGCATTTGATTACATTAGTGAGGTCAAGCACTGATGTAAGATGATTAGTTCTAGATAACTCCAACTCATCCCAAAGGCATTAGATGGAGCTTCACCACGCCAGAGAACGCAGTTACCACTGCTCCGCAGCCCAATGCTGGGCATCTTTATACGCCTTCACACTTGGCATTAGGCATGGTGACTTTAGATTCATGTGTGGCTGCTCCTGAGCTTCCCATTCTATTGGTCAGTGCTTTTCTAGGAAGATCATACAAGCTGTGTGTGCGCAATTAAATGTCTGTGTCAGCATCTAAAAGTACACTCTTAGAAAAGGGTTCTTTAGTAAATACAATGGGCCTCATTCACCAACCATTCTTAAGAAAAAATTTCTTCTTAAAACTCACTTTTCACTTTGATTCTGACATTCACCAATTCTTATTTGGGATTTATTCGTAGGTGAGAACAGAATCAACACACACACTAGAGAGCACGGAGGTGCGAACAATTCTGTGGTTTAAGAACATGTTATGATTTTGACATAGATTTTTTTCTCAAGAACAAATTTAAGAAAAAAGTTAGGAAGATATTGGTGAATGAGGCCCAATGGTTCTATACAGAACCATGAACATTCAAAGAATGCTTTCATGCTTCGATGCAAATAAATCGTTCTCTGCATGGTACCTTGGATTGATAGTGAAAGTGTAATTTATGGTTCTTTATAGCACCAAAAAGGGTTCTGGTATTGTTACAAGCTTGACAAAAAAAACAGCAGAACCTTAGTGCTATATAGAACCATTTTCAAAAAGGTTCTAAATGGACTCCGATCTGAAGAACCATTTCACCATGCAAATGGTCTTTTGCATGTCCATGATTCTATAAAGAACCACGGACTTTACTAAAGAACTCCTAAGGAACCTTATTTTATAAGCATGTAGGTGCAGTTACTCATTAGAAGGGTGCCTGGATAATGTCGGACAGAGAGTGTATATGAGACACTGTCGGACAGAGAGTGTATATGAGACACAATCAGACAGACATTTAACGCTAGATCTTTCTTTATTATGATCTCTGTGCCCTTGTTTAAAGGGGAAATCCACTAAATCTTCTAAATTCCTATATAACTGCATGGTTGGCATATGAACAAAGCTGTTCAGAGTGGTTTGGTGTGAAGTGCTCTGTTCTAGAGAAACTTACTGAGTCAGAATTGTTCACAGTGGTGGTGACAGGAACCAGATGTCCACCTCTAAAAGCTCCCTCACAGGAAGTTATTACATGAAATGGTTATGAATACACTGCCTGATGTCTAAGACACTGTTTTACAATAGTTTTGAGAAGATTTCATTGTGGAGGGATAAATGAAGGCCGTTATGAGGCAATATAGTCACCAAAGAAATCAACATTCTGTATTAAATGTCAGAAGACACGGGTAGGATCACTGGTTGTTGTGGATAGTAAATAAAATGGCTATATTTGTGTTGCAGACATGGCGACTCCTGGTTCTTCCTCTCATCTACTTTGTAAACATTTAAGTCTCTACACCCATTACAAACAAACCACTCTGAATCACTCTGTTTACATCTCAATGATTGAATTACACAATTTTTTGAAAATGGGTAGCGTTTCCATTTAAAGCTGCTTTGGTACAATGCTGCAAAGCACTATACAAACAAAACTGAACTAATGGTTCAGCAGAAAGAGAAAATGGGTTCATTCTAACCTGCCTCGCCCCCTCAGTGAACTCTTCAATGTTGAATTCTTTGTCGAAATAAGTGCGGATGAGAAAGTAGTACACTCGGGTGCGGAACCACACTACGGGGTTTGGGATGCCCACCACGACCACCTTCTCATACTGCCTGCGCTCTGAGCTGTAATATCTACCAGCCACTATAGGAGCGAGTTTCAGTTTTGTACTTTTTGTTACAGGTTGGTTCTGTACAAGTCTATCAAATCTAAAATAAGGGCTTATCACCGCTGGAGTCCTCCTGCAGCTCCATCTGAGCAAGGGGAGCGCCATTTCTCCTCTCCAACTTTCTTCGGCGTTCCAATTCGAACTAATCACGCCTGTGCCCTACTCCCTTCTCTCTAAGAGATCTGGCCTTGCAGAAAGTTAGCTTGATGTTGCTCATAACTACAATTTAAGGGATTGCTGTATTTCCATTCATAGTAATATAAGACCTAAGAGTACGGAGCCCCTAAAGTGCCATTGCGAAAGGAAAAATATTTGCAACGACTTTGCGTTCCCATGCAAAAGTTTTGCATTACCGTTGCGAAATCCATTGCACTTGCGAGGTAATACATTTTTAATACTCTTTTAAACCATGATACCTTAGGAGTTTCGTATAAAACATCTTTCAGTATGAAGAGTCCAATAATAACCTTTGTAAAATCAATACTAAAGACAAATCGAGAATTTGCTTCCTTTTTAGTGCTCTAGGCGCGGCCGATTAGAGCGCACCTACTCGCTGTCCGTCTAATAATACACTCCGACTATAACCATTCCTAGGTTTTCTTTTTTTAGCCTGCAAGTGCTTTTGCTAAATTAATAAACGCCGATTTAGTGTGTGTGTCAGATAGAAACGGGCTTTGCACAAAGAATGAACATTTAACGAATTTGAAAAAGTTAAGTGAATAGAAACATTTCAGGGATGAGATATACAGAACATAGTGAAGGCATGATTCAGAAGAGGCACATGTGAACTCAGTAAGAGTTTAGTAAACAGATTTCTGAATGGAAAGTCAGGAGAAAGTGGATGTTCCTGTCTTCTCTGCTGTGGATCAGGAGCTTTTCACAAAGGAGATCTATCCATTGGTAAAATACTCGTTTGTCTTTAGACGAAGCTGAAGTTGGTGTCCTATTCGCTAGCTTCTTGTTCGAATTTTCCCGTTCCACCTTAAATGGTGGGAAAATTAAATTATAAGAATAAAAAAGCTGACTTCAGCGTCGCAGTTATTAACGTGGTTGTAAATGTAAACACTAAGAAATGGCATCTAGTCAATTAAACTGGTCTTAAATCTAGTCTATATATTTAATATTTCTCAGTTTGAGAGTGTTGTTAGCTTACAACAAGATTATTTAACTTACTCGAAGACTTTTTTTTTGCTTGTTTTAGGTGATTTCAGTAAGTAAAATGATCCTACTATATTGGCAGATAATCTCCCTGCTGAAAAATGACAATTGGAAAGATAAGGACTGGTGGGTTTGCTTTTCTGATGGGAATTGGCTTAATGGTTATCATTTGAAACCACTAGTTTCTTGTAGGACGCCTTTAGATCCCGTTAGGAAACCATCAAATGCATCTAGAATTAGAACACGAGTTAAACCATAAGAGTCCTTTACACTGTGATATCAAACCATCAGGAAAACACAGAATATCATTAGTGATTATTGGACACCACCAGGAAACAGCCAAAACTTTAAATTGTTTTGATGATTTTTTTTGCAGGGTTGGTTTATTTCAAGCGTATGTCTTATAACACACAATTATCTGCCAATATAGTGAGACAATTATTAAAATCACCAAACCAAGTAAAACATGTATACAAATAATTTAAATAATAACATATATGTATATATATATATGTGTACATATATATATATATATATATATATATATATATATATATATATATATATATATATATATGAGCATAAGGTTACAAAAACCTTAACATGAGAAACATTAGACAAATCTACTAGATTCAAGATCATTTCATTTGACATGATGCCATTTTCTGCAGTGAAGTGCCTTTGTGTGCTGGAGTAATGATCCACTGATAAATATGTTTCTGATGTGATTCACAGAGAAAGCCAGCAGTTCTTAAAGGAGTGCCTTTAGGACCATGCCTGAAGAAATGGACCGTGGATTACCTGGCAGTGAAGGGAGGTGAAAGGGAGGTCAAAATCCATGTGTCTTCTGTGCCCCGGATGGACTTCTTGCATAAGAATTTTGTATACAGGTATATTGACTATGTACATTAAAGGGGAAATCCACCTGTGTTTACAAAATTTCTGCATAGTTCATTGGTTGAGATGTAAACAGAGTGATTCAAAGTGGTTTGGTTCATTGTAGAGACTCCAGGAACCAGGGGTCACCATGTCTACAACACAAATATAGCCATTTTATTTACTACTCAAAACCACTAGTGAACCTACACGTCTTCTTTTTTATATTTACTAGGGGTGCGGGAAAAAATTGATTCTTAGATGCATTGCGATGCGGACGTGAACGATTCTGAATCGATTCACAAATGTCAAAAATCGATTTTCTACACATTTAATTTATAACGTAATGTTGACAGAATGCAAAAGGCGGAGCTTGGAAGTGGGTAAGTGCAGCGCCTGGACAGTCTGTGGCGGAACATAACAAAAACACAACTGGATGAGTGAGAAATCCGACCGGCTGCCTCTGCATTAAAAGCCAGGTCAGGTCAGGAGTCACAACCCAAATGATAAGAATAGCCAAATCAAACATTTAATGTCCAGTATGTGCTAGTATAGGCTAAACAAGTTAAACAAGAGCACAGATTTACTTTGCTCTGCTTTAAGCTTTAGCTATAGCCGCTTTCCTCCCATTTCCGCCAGAAAACTTTTCCTCAAAACTAGCTTAGAGCAGTTTCTTGTAACATGTCTCTCAACATTTGGCTGTCTTACTAAGCTGAAGTCGCTTCTCATTCTCCAGCTTCTTGTTCGAATTTTCCCATTCCACTTTAAATTCTGACTGAGGTGCCGAATGTAAATGCGGCACCATTTGAGTTGGAATGAGAAAATTCGGAAGAGAAGCGACTTCATCTTTGTGACTTTTCACTGTTTGACAGTCTCTCATTGCAGATTTAACCTGCCAGGAAAACAACTGCGCTGCTTATAAATGCGAATAATGCATCGTTGCTAGGTAACCTGCAGTCTGCACACCAATTCTCAGTCATTGCAAAACAGGGTTTTCGCGCTATGCTGCACACATCACGTCTCTAAGATATTTTACTGACACAGCGATCTCCCCCACCTTTCTCTACAACAAGATCAAAACCAAAGTTATAAAGTCACTAAAAACAGGTAGGACGGCTGTAACGTGCTGCATGGACATCTATTGCCACTGTATGTTATTTCACCGTAACTGCGCATTTCATCGCAGATGAGTGGCAGCAGCGTCTCATGTGCTCCAAAGGCAGTGAATGAGAGCCTTCTAGTTCACTTGCCACATAACTTCCCTTTGAAGAGATATCGGAAGTGAATTCATTATGGATCATTACAAATACTTTGCTTTAAAACTACCAAGTCCTCACACAGTGAGAAAATAGAAATGGTGTATAGAAAAAAAAAAAGATGCATTGAGATGCATCGATAATCATTTTATAATCGCATCGCAGCCCTCTGAATTGTAATCGAATCGAATTGTGAGGTGCCTAGAGATTCCCACACCTAATATTTATGGTAAAATAGTAACAATAAATATACGAATAATATGCATGCTTATAATATTTAAAAATTAAAATAGGTCTTCTTTTTGGGACTATTTTGCCTTGCAACACCCTACATGTACCTATATCTCAAAACTATCATAAAACAATCATAGACATTGTATTTATAACCATTTTACATTACCATGTAGTAACTTTCTGTGAGGGAGCTTTTAGAGCTGGATGTCTGGTTCTCATCACCACCACTGTGAACAATTCTGACTTGATAAGTTTCTCTAGAAAGGATCATTTCACACCAAAACATATAATGATATTGAAATGTTGAAAAATCGGTGGAATTCCCCAGTCCAGTCTTTCACTAACTTGCAGAGCAAATAGTGATTAATTATTGAAAATCCTTTTAGTCTCTGGCTTAATGTGGGTCTGGAAACTGGCCTTATATGTTTCAGGACTTTGCCCTTTGGTGAGTTTGTCCATAGAGCTGCAGCTGCAGAGCACCAGGAGTTTTTCATCAGCAAGGTCGGTCACTTTTGGTTTTGTCTCGTAATTGTAAGTTAAGGTGACTGAACTTGTGGCATCTTGAAGGTGTTTTGCTGCACACAGGGAGCTTCATCGGGGCATTCCGACCTAAAACTAGCATTTAATGTGTTATTTGTTATGTATGTTATTACAGTATTCTGTAGCGGAGCACTGTAACCCTCAGTCACATCAGTTTTCAGAATTCACGGTTTTGTATCCTTTTTGTGTTTCCGTCCATCAGTGATCTCTCACTACAATACCCAGCATGCATTACACCAAAACATCATACAACCTTTAGGAATCCCCCTCCAACAGAGATAAAGAAATCTTGACTGGTAGCAAAGCCAGTGATGTAGAGGCTAGTAAACAGAGATATGATATTCAGCTTCCAATAGTAATGTTAAAATGCATCACCAATCCTAACAAAAACAACAGAGAGCTCATATCACCCGTGTTGAAAGAATTGCACTGGCTACGTGTATCCTTTATGATAGATGTTAAATTTCTGCTAGTAGTATTTTAAGGCTCTGATTGACCTTAAAGCACCTGCATACCTCACAGAATGTCTGTCTGTTTATGTTACATCATGTGATCTTAAATCCACTGATCTTCTGTAACAGCTTCTGTAAAATACAGAAAATGCAGAGAAGCCTCTTCCGGTTATTCTGTGGGACTCAATTCACCTTTTATTGGACAGTCAAGCTTAGTGCACATATTTAACAAACATCTGACATGTTTCTTTAACTTGACATTTAATTAAAATTCTATTTTCTGTAAAATTCTTTTTTGAGATTTATGTTTTCAACTTGATCTGTCTGATATGATTTTAACTGAATACTCATAGTTTCTTCTATTCCTGTTAGGCTTTATTACCTGTCTGTAAAGCAAAGGTGATACTGCAGATACATAGATCATTATTATTAGATTAGATTATTATTGCAACATTAGTTACTGGGCTTCCTTTTACATTAGCCAGATAACAAGAAAAAAGAGTAACACTACATACACCGATCAGGCATAACATTATGACCACCTCCTTGTTTCTATGCTCATTGTCCATTTTATCAGCTCCACTTACTATATAGGTGTACTTTGTAGTTCTACAATTACAGACTGTAGTCCATCTGTTTCTCTGCATACTTTGTTAGCCCCCTTCTACCCTGTTCTTCAGTGGTCAGGTCCCCCATGGACCCTCACAGAGCAGGTACTATTTGGGTGGTGGATCATTCTCAGCACTGCAGTAACACTGACGCAGTGGTGGTGTGTTAAGTGTGTGTTGTGCTGGTACAAGTGGGTCAGACACAGCAGTGCTGCTAGAGTTTTTAAACGCCTCAGTGTCAATGCTGGACTGAGAATAGTCCATTAACCAAAAATATCCAGTCAACAGCATCATGTGGGCAGCGTCCTTTGGCCACCAGTGAAGGACTAGAGGATGATTAGTTCATACTGTACAGCAAGAGATGAGCTATTGTCTCTGGCTTTACATCTACAGGGTGGACCAACAATGCAGGTGCATCTAATAGAGTGGACAGTGAGTGGACACAGTGTTTAAAAACTCTAGCAGCACTGCTGTGTCTGATCCACTCATACCAGCACAGCACACACTAACACACCACCACCACGTCAGTGTTACTGCAGTGCTGAGAATGATCCACCACCCAAATAGTACCTGCTCTGTGACACAAGACAAACACGGGATTTAATGAGAAATGTTTGGAATGGTTCTTGATGCCTTTGTTCTCAGCAGTCACATTCTATCTCAACAGGATGAGAGTTACTACTTGAGATCACTTGGAGAAGATGCTCGTAAGGTAATGTTGAGTTATGTACCATTGACAAAATCTGTCAATATATTGTAAAATTGCCTACAGCGTTTGAAGAGCAAGAATGAGTTGTGGTGAAATATTATCTGGGCAAATTTCATGATTTTCAGTCCCTGTGTCTTGAAGTCCCTACATGCTATATAGCTATTATGAACATGTACATGAACATGTCTTTTAATAAATTCCACAATTTTAAAAACACATCCTTTCCCTTGTTTGGAGCCCAGGAGCCTGCTGACCTGAAGAAGCAGTTCCCTGAGCTGGCTAATGATTTCCACATACCTCTGTTCTTTGAGCCTAAACAGTTTTTCTCCAGCGTGTTCCGCATAAGTTCGCCTGGGCTGCAGCTATGGACCCATTACGATGTGAGTAGAACCTTCTCAGCAGACTCTCATTCATCACAACTTTTTTTTTAATAATTTCTCCACAATTCAGTGTTTTAGGTGTAAACAGAGTCATTCAGAGTGGTTTGGTGTGAAATGGTTCATTGTGCAGACTCAGGTTTGTTTACAGTGGTAGTGATAGGCGTTCACCATTTCTACAAAACAAATATAACCATTTTATTGACTCTCCAAAAGCACCAGTGAACTTTTAATATGGAATGTTGATGATAGTAAAATAATGGAAAATCGGAAATAATTTTCCTTTGGGGACTATTTTGCCTCACAATGCCCTGCATGTATCTCTCCGCCATGAGTGAAATTAAAAATACATTTTAGGCCAAGACATTCTCAAAACTCTCATAAACAACATCTCAGACATCAGACAGCATATGCCTAATCATGTCATCTAATATCCTTTTTGTGAGGGAGCTTTTAGTGGTGGCCATCTGGTGCCTGTCACAGAAATTCTAATTATACAGAAATTTGGAAAAATCAGCTGAATTCCCCTGATGTTAGTGTTACATAACTGCACTGTTTGAACCTATGTTTATTGGCCAATTTGTAGGGGCACGTTGTTGGACTACAGTTACTGCTCGTTGATCAGCCGCCCTGCACACCAGTATTTTTCAACGCTGGTCCTGGAGGCCCACTGCCCTGCACTTTTTTATTCTCAGCACCCTGCATACCTGATCGAACTAATCAGCTCATTAACAGCATGTTATTGTGTTAGAGTGGGTATGATAAAGCAGGAAAAACACAAAAATGTGAAGGGCAGAGAGCCTCCAGGATCAGGGCTCAGAAACACTGCTCTACACCAGCTATTAATAGAAAGGGCCCACCACTGACCACTTCTTGGGTGGTGGACCCTTCCCAGCACAGCAGTGACACTGACATGTAGAAAACCCCAGCAGTGCTACCACGTCAGTGTCACTGCTGTGCTAAGAAGGGTCCAGTGGTTGAGAATGTTCCACTACTCAAAAATATCCAGCCAAAAGCGGCTTTGTGGTCAGAAACTGATCATTGACGAAAGGGATAGTGGATAGCTAACACAAACTGTACATCATCAGATTGGGAACAGTCTCCAACAGTAAGTAAAAAGTAGGACTGAATGATTAATCAATTTTATAATCAATTGCAATTTGAAAGAGTGAAATTGTCAAATTGTACGAGCTGCAATTTTAATTATAGCCTATGTTATTATAGCCATTGCCATAAGTTTAAGGTGGGAACCTAATAACATGGGGCTGGTGAACAGCCTCTAGATGGGTTCAACCAATCAGAAGCCACCAAACACTCATTTGCTATGCATGATAACATGACCTCAATTAACTGCCAAGTCCCAGCGTTCAAGCGTTGGTCCTCTTGATGCAATAAACAGGCCTGAATCTTAATTTATAGAAAATAGTCGCAATATTGGTCAGAAAAATCGAAATGAGATATCTTTCCCAAACTCTTCAGCCCTACCAGCGGAGTGGAACTACAAGAGGTTTCTAATAAAATGTACAGTGTTTAAAAGCCCCAGCAGTGCAACTGTACCTGATACACTCACGTCAGCGCAACTCATCAGCGTCAACGGGCAGTCGTGGGCTGTAGGTTAGGGAACAGCCTTGTGACCGGAAGGTCACTGGTTCGATCTCCTCAGCCGACAGTACGTGACTGAAGTTCCCTTGAGCAAGGCACCTAACCCCCAACTGCTCCCCGGGCGCCGTGGATAGGGCTGCCCACCGCTCCGGGCAAGTGTGCTCACTGCCCCCTAGTGTGTGTGTTCACTAGTGTGCATGTATGTGGGTGTTTTACTGCACGGATGGGTTAAATGCAGAGGTCTAATTCCTCTGGGTGCAAACACAGTTGGCTAATGGTTCTGAATTCTCAAAAAAATATTGTAAGAGCACTATCATAGTTCACTGTTTTCATTTTCGTTCTGTCTCTCACTCAGGTAATGGACAACCTGCTGGCTCAGGTGACTGGGAGAAAGCGTGTCGTTCTTTATAGCCCCCAAGATGCCCTTCACCTATACCTGTCAGGTCAGCGTTAAGGCTTGTTTCTAGTTCATCAAAACAGTGCAGATCTCTAAACTGACTTAAAGGTGCTTTTTCATTACAGCAAAGCAAATTATGCTGCATTGAATCGAACATGTAGCTTGACTATAGGTCCGAATGCTACAGATTGCACTGATGTAATACCAAGGGCACGTTCAGTCTCAAATCATTGTGCACCATTTTGCTACAGTTTCCTGGTTGACCGACGTTTTGTCTAAATGTTGCAAAATGGCACGTTTTCTCTCGTTTGATGGGTGTGTCAGAGGTGTTACCCAATCAGCAGTGATGTGTATATAAACCCCACCGTATTAAATAAGTAGCGCACACAGTGGATTCTAATAAAGTCCTCTACAAATGTGCCCGCTGCAACTTGATTAACTTGATTTGGATGTTCTCTGCTATTCTGAAATGCAAGGGCAGCGACTGTAACATTAAGCATATTTTGAAACATTAAACACCTATTCAAACCCATTTCATCAGGCTTCAAAAACTTATTTGAAAAGAATGCCAAGAATGGCCTTTTAAGCTGCCATGATTGCAACGCTTGCATAACACAACAGAGTGTTCATCGCACCACTGTTTCTGTTTAAATAAATATTTTATTACATTTTGTTAGGGCTGAACGTAAAAAAGAAGGAATCTGATCCAATCCAAGCAAGTCTTGAAATGGCATCCACTTACACGTGGTGTGATGTGATGTTGTTAGCTGTATAATTCTTCCCATGGGTTAACAAGAACAGAATAATTTTAGCATAACAGTCTCCTTTAGATGCACATCTTAAGCAAAGTGCTTCAATGGAAAATAGCAAATTTTAAAACATTAGTTTTTGAAAAAAAAGTTATGACGCCTTAATACTACATCTCTTCAAACCATGCCACATTTGAGCAACCTGGCCTGGTGAAATTTCCTTCTTGCCTTATCATCTGAATTGGCTCCGTTGCCTCTCCTTCTCTTCTCCACACAGGGCTGCCACCTATTTGTACAGAAAATGAATAACAGCTTTGTTGCAATTAAAAAAGCATAAGGATTGAGAAAATTACTTAATTAATTACTGAGGAGCTACCTAAGAAACTACTGAACAGAAAACTGTAATGTGATGTTGTTATCTTTTGTTTAACCAGGTGATAAGTCTGAGGTGTTGGATATCGACTCTCCAGATTTGGAGCAATACCCAGATTTTGTAAAAGCACGTCGCTATGAATGTGTTCTAGAACCGGGGGACCTTCTCTTCATCCCAGGTAAGTGAGAAGTGTCCCATGTCCCCTGTCAAATTAAAGTGATAGTTTAGCAAAATTCACCCAGTCAGCTCAGACATGTTAGCTGATAGCTTTCTTTATTTTACCATTGACCATATATTTCTTGGGTGGTGGACCCTTCTCAGCACAGCAGTGACAATGACGTAATAGTGTTGCTGGGTTTTTTTACACACGTCAGTGTCACTGCTGAGTGCTCCACTACCCAAAAATAACCAGCCAAGAGTGGCTTTGTGGTCCGTTGACAAAAGGGATAGTGGATAGCTAACACAAACTGTGCATCATCAGATTGGGAACAGTCTCCAACAGTAAGTAAAAAGTAGGACTGAATGATTATCAATTTTATAATCAATTGCAATTTGAAAGAGTGAAATTGTCAAATTGTATGAGCTGAAATTTTAATTATAGCTTATGTTATTATAACCATTGCCATAACAAGGTGGGGACCAAATAACATGGGGCTGGTGAACAGCCTCTAGATGAGATTGACCAATCAGAAGCCACCAAACACCCATTTGCTATGCACGATAACACTACCCCAATTAACTGGCAAGTTCAAGCGTTCAAGCCAAAATCCACAAAAAAAAAAAATCCACAAAAAGTGGATGTGCTGGCCTTCTTAGTCCAATAAGCAGGCCTGAATTTTAATTTATAGAAAATAATCGCAATATTTGTCAGAAAAGCAAGCTGAAAAGCAAGGCACATGTTGGGTCCCTACAATTATGAACCGCAGTTACTGCATACCCCTTCACTTGATTTGGATGTTCTCTGCTATTCTTGCCCTGGAGCAACTGGTCTAATGTATGCTGTGTGGCAGTCTCTGATGTGTGTATACCAACACAGCATCCACTAAAGTGCCGCTACCATGTAAGTGTTACTTCTGCACTGAAGGTTTCTCTTAAAAGCCCTTTAAATAAATGGGTAACAATATAGAACAAAATAGCAAACCTGTAATATTGTTATATAGATAGGCTTTGAAAATAATGGATCAGAAACCAGTGAGTTGGCATCACTGTGAATTTCAAGAAAAATACAATATGTAGCATACAAGCAAATTAAACACACAGTGCACTTCAGCTGGGCATCAGCTTGCACTACTACAGATAGTTAGGAGGATCAGTCTAGCAGAATGCATTAACAGCATTAATTAACATATTTCAGCCCTCTGTGATATCAGTCCAGCAAAAGCCAATATTGAGAGAACGATTACCATTAACAAACCATCAGTCCTTTTAATGAAAAAGTGTGAAAGCATAAAAATGTACAGATAATTGACTGGGATTTGGGAACTCTGAGCAGTATTTAGAACTTTAACACAATGTTAATCCGTCCCTGATGTTCTGCAGCCCTGTGGTTCCACAACACATTGGCTCTGCAATTTGGCGTGGGTGTCAATGTCTTCTGGCGCCACCTACCACTGGAGAGCTATGATAAGAAGGACCCGTACGGGAACAAGGACCCCATGGCAGCTTCGAGGGGCCTGCAAGCTGTGGATCGGGCACTGGCTATGTTGGACGAGCTGCCGGACGACTATCGGGACTTCTACGCCCGCCGCATGGTGCTACGAATCCAGAGCCGGGCATACGCTTCACAACTTGCAGAACCTGTACAAGGCAAATGACTGATTTGGACGGAAGTGACAAAAACAACCTAATCTTTCTTTACCACATCTGTACTGTACTATGGATCACCAAGCACATCACTGTGCTTCAAGAACAAAACTAAAACAGTTGACTTGAAACTCAAAAAGAAGCCAAAGAACAGTTGCTGAATTCCATGAAAAGTGTGTATACAACAAAAAGTCATATCTACAGCCATTACATTTTAACAGTACAGATCTCAGGATGAGACAGACTGAAAGACCAAAGCTGTTCTTATGAGGTTTTATCCAACTTTTAACTGTCCTATAATTTTTTTCTGTTATCCATGGTGGTCAGGTGGTACCTGTGAAAACTACTCCCACCCTGGTAACTAATAACGTCCTTCTGTACAACTGGCAATACCTCTGAAAGAATGAACTGAACAGATTTACAGCTGAATTTGTGACATTATCTCAGACATTTCAAAAGGAAAATATGGGCACTAGCAGATCAGAGCAGTAGAAAATTTCATAAAGTTAGATTTCATTTCTGTTATTATTCTGTAGGCCAGATTACAGTATAACATGAACTTTACAGCTGTCTCTGGTATGGGCACTGTGTTTACTTATTATGGAAAATATGAATTATGTGCATATGGTTTTGACTCTGATTTTTAAGTTCACAGATAAAAGAACCGCATGTAAAAAAATTTGATGATTTCTCTGTAGTTTTTGTGTGGTAGTGCAATAAACAAAAAAAATCTTGGTCTAGCCCATCAATACCTCAGTATCAATCCGCTCACCCCTAAAATTACGTTTACCTCCACAAGATGGCAGCATAGTGTTTGAGTTTGTGCTGACAACATATGTTGCCTTTTAATACCATTAGAGGGCTAAAGACTGTTCAGCTCACACTGTGAACATTGGTTGCCAATGAGACCATGTGAGAGGCCTTGGAAAGGGGAGCCTGTGAGTCAAAGGGAGGAGAGATGGAAAAGAAGGGACGGAGAGAGGAAGGAAGAACTTTGGAGAGAACGGACAGGGATGAGGACTAAAGCGACTGAGATTCAGATGTTAGGACTCAACAGCTAATGGACAAAAATATTTCTCATGTGGTGAGTTTTAGTCCTTGAGCCTCACAGACGTCTCATTTTATTCTATCTGGACTCCACTTTTCCCTTTCTCTTTTTTCTCTTTTGTACTCTTAAAAGAAGTAACTTTGTCTCGGATTAGCCCTAATAGGTCTTTGTAAAATAACAAATTCTAAATAGGATTATAATAACATTTCTCTAGAAGGCTGGCAAAAACACTACTGAATATTCAGAAGGAAGTGCAGTTTGGAAGGAAGTCAACTTTAGCAGGTGAGATATATAAGGAGAGAAGACAGCTGGAGCATGCAAGAGAAAGATATGACTATAGCGAGGGTGGGAGTGTAACAGATTGTGTTTAGGGTGGGTTTTCAGTGGAATGCTGTCCGCCTTCTCATCTCCTCTCTACACTGTCAAAATATATATCCAGCCACCTGAGCTATTACACTATTACACTTTGGGCTGCGATTCCACAACTTTTATTCTTTTAATATTTAAAGTGAGACAGTTTTTGCTGTGGCTTTGTACTTCACCATATTGAAATGAAGGTTAAAGTACAGAATGTTAGCTTTAACCTGAATGTATTTACATCCATATTGGTTGAACTGTACAGGCATAGTCTTCAGGGGGCCATAAGTAATCGTCAAGTTACCATTGTCAAATAAAATGATGACGCTTAGTACATAAATGCAAGTCCTTTGCATTCTATGAATGCCTTAAGGCCCTCTGCTTCATCAGCATGCTCTACCAGGCCTGTAATGCTACATTTTTTTAACTTTAGTTTTGTCTTCATAAGTGAAATTCTGCTTAGTGTGGTCTAGGTTGAGTCCATTTTTGTCCCTGGTAAACGTCATAGCTGCTTTAGAAGTGCTCTTGTGTTCTACTTGAAAGCCTAGAAAAACTTGTTAGGGTCAAGGTAGTTGCACATATCCTGGTTCAGTTTTTATATGGCTGACCACTACCAGTTTGCAAAAGGAACTCTTAAATAAGGCACTGGGGTCCGCAAGGCTCCGTCCTAGGACCACTCCTAAGCTACGAAATGTCTCTCTGTGAAAAGCATATTTGTATTTGCTTTTATTTGTTGTACAGGTAGATACATACTGAAAATAAGAAACTTATCAGGGTTTTGTCATATTGTCATATAATATTATCATATGATAAGCATGTAAATTTGCCACTTAAGAATGTTGGCATTTGATAGGGTCCCAAATTAGACTAATATTTTATTTAACGCTTTATTTAACATTAATATGTCTCCCTATTAGACCCTCAATCTTGCATACTGCTTCTCTATAGTTCTGTTATAAACAGCAAGGCCCCTTGCACAGTCTTATTTTCCACGGTTGTGTCTCAAATTTCCTGCTGCCATATTTGCTAAGTGTGGAACTGGCAAACTGGCTTCCTCAGGAGTACACATTAGCACTTAATAAGGTTGCATAAGCTTGAGGCAGAAGGTTGTAAAGGGTTCTTTGGGACCAGTGTCATGTCTCCCTTCTCCCAGAGTACATTTTGTCCTACTGTAGGGCCGATGTGAACAATGCAATGTCTGTCTTCTTCTTCTGAAAGGCTTAAGAAAAAGGGAGGGGAAAGAGGTGTGAAAACTGTTCTTGGAAGTCAGAAACTCATAAGCATCCCTTTTATTTATTGCCAGAAGAAATACGCTGTGTTTTTATTTTTTTTTTTTTACTTGGTTTAACAAGGGTGACTGCTGCTGGCCTGAAGAGCTTAACAGGAGGCTTGTGTTCCATCCAGGCCCTGAAAATCTGAGCGACTTCTCCATGGTGGCGTTGGTCTGAATGATTCAGAAGCATCTGTGGTTGGACGGTCTAGAAATAACATCCTGGACTTGTCATGCCTTGGCTTCCCTCATTGACCTGAAAAGCCCAATAAAGCCAGTCAAGAACTGAGCAAAGAAAGATATTTTACTTTAAGTACGTGGATACCCTGGTTGATTTTTTCCATTGTTGCAGTGAGTTTGAGAGTGTGATTGGTTCTAGGAACCAGCATGGAAAATATTCAAAACACAGTCGATGGCACATTGTCTTTTCAGGCAACGATCTTAGTATAAATGTTAGGACAGAAGACAGAGATTTGTTTCAGGGTATCTTGCTTTTTTTCCCACAAATTTCAGAGGTTATCCCAGTGGGTTGTCTTGCATATTTTGGTTTTCCCTGGACACCTCACTAATAATGTTGAGCAGTTTCCATTTTTGTCATAACCTCAAATAGTCTCTAAATAATAATGTGGTATATGGTATTGCCAGCCTAAAAATGTGCAATATTTGTTTACATCACTTCTATCTATATATGTAACACAAAAACACAAGAAAAATCCCCTGTCAACCAATGAATGGGATGAAGATGCATATTTAATTGCATTTTGAAACTATTCTTAATGAGAAATAACAGGGTTTATCCTGAAACCTGCCATGACACAGCCTCACTATGCCTGTGAGCCAATATACAAGCTGTGTCTCAATCTGAATACTACTGTACTACATGATGTCTTTAAACGGCACCGTTAATGTTGAACAAATTTGATGTGATATTTAGTACAGTATATTTGGTTTGAGATGCAGCCACAGAATGTCCCCATCAAACTGGACTGTCCAGTCCAAAGCCCAACACCTGGCAACCCTGCTTCAAAGGGTTAATACCAGTCAAAGGTACTTCATATGTGATGGTTACAATATATCCTCTTTCCTAGCAGATGCAGAATCATCTCTGGACAAGGATGTAGACCAGCATGGACATGACAATGCCATCTTCTTGCTTGCAGCCTCTCCTGTGCATTCTCCTCCCTTTGCACTTTGCAGGCACAGAGGCTCACCCTTACCTCCGCCCAAATGTCACCCTGCTGTTTGACAGTGCTGTGCACAGCAACAGCTTGCGCAACTGCACCTGCACAGCAGCAGTGCGCCATTGCGACGAGGCGCTAGCTAACCTGCTGTGCAGCTGCAGCACCATTTCTCGCTCATCACTGATCCCTGGTGGCCTGAGATGGGATGGCGGGCAGATGGGCGGGACACTAACAGTGTGGGTGCGCGAACCCTGGGTGCTGAGGGATCTCCTGAACGGCAGCCAGGTCTCAGAGCTCCGACTGTCTCTGTGTGCCCCAGTCCCAATCCCTGGCCCGGCCCAGTATCTCACTCTCGTGGGTCTGAGGAGGCTTCAGGTGTACACTTCTGCCAAAAGCACACTGCACCAGGACCAAGCCCTGAACATCATCTCCGAAACAGGGCCGGATGCACGAGACAGCGGCCTCAGAATCGCCTTTTTGGACGTGTGGTCACTGTCTGGGGTTTTTCACTTGAAGGCCTACAGTGTGGTGGGACCTCCGCTCCAGGCACTCAAGCAGCATTTCCCCAACCTCAACCTCTCTGGAAAAGATGTTCAGAGCAGTGACCTGGAAAGGATGCTATCAATCCTAACTTTTATTTACTAGACCAGAGGAGAGTTTTACAGCCAGGCCTTTCCAGGAGTGCAACTCTATGAGCTGAGGAAATCATTCATTACACTAGGGGTTCTTAACCTTTTTCACAGCACAACCTTTTTGTGTGTTGAAAAAAAAGAATAATCAAATAGTAAGTCAACTCATTTACTGGGTACTTTGCCACAAACCTTTAGCCCAGCACTCAAAAAAAGGCTTCAAGTTCAGCAGTCAAACAAGATCCTCCCTCCATCAAGACCTTCCCTCCATCAAGATCCACCCTCCATCCGGACCCTCCCTTACCTTCTATCAAAACCCTCAATCAAGTTCCTCCCTCCGTCAAGACCCTACATCAGTCAAGTCCCTCTTCAATTAAGAGCCCTCCATCAAGAACCTCCCTCAATCAAGATCCTCCTGAGTGCACCCAGTAGAAATTCATTATCGATATTAGCCTGTTTTCCATGGCCTGTGGGTGAAGCCATTCAGCAGAGCTTGTATGCACTTGTCAGTTTTTTCCCTCTGTGTTTAATAATGTTATATCTTAAAACACTGCTCTCGCAACCCGCTTGGGACCACATCGCAACCTTTAAGGGGATCCCGACCCCCAGGTTAAGAACCCCTGTTTTACTCAATTTTCTGTTATTCCAGATGTAGTGATTGTCTTTGATATCTGAAGGTTGCCTCTTTTGGTTTGCACTGCAGTGACCAGACTAATGTAGCTAACAAGTAACAGAAGATTATGCCCTGCCAATTAGAATCCTGCAAACTGATATGTCTAACCTACTTTCTGTTTTTGTGTTTATCTGTATAAAACGGGCAAAAGTACAGATAAAAGTTAAGCTTTCGACATGAGCAGGCCAACCTATCCCATGGTAAAATGTAATATGGATGTTTTTATGCTAAAAAGCTTCAAGCAGAACCTGCTTTTGTGCATCTTCTTGGATCCTCATAACAACATAATCTCAGCAATTGGGCAAATGTCTTAACATTCACCCTGAAGACTGTAAAAGTAGCTTTTTTCATTGTAAGTGTTTTTTGATTAGAGTTGTGTCTAGTTGTATGCAAAAAATGCAAAAAAATTTGATTAGAGTTGTGTCTAGTTGTATGCAAAAAAAACCCTGGTCAAATTCCATGTCATTTTTATTTGATGTGGATAAGTGTAAATAAGTTGACATCCTCTAAAGAGAACACACTGCACATTTTAATACACAATTACTGGTCATTAACACATTGGTGGGAAAAAACACAAAATATGGCCTGTGCAAAAGTTGGGTTTTTTTGTTTGTTTGTTTGCCTGATTTGGGAGCTTTAACTAAATATGCATTGCAATTTGCAAAGCTTTTTCTTAGCATAATCGACATTTAATCTACATAGATACACTGTGCTACATATCATTAGTCACAAAAACATTAGTGTATGTTAATGTAACAAGATTTAATGTAATTATGAGCATTTTGAGTAATCTTGCAAAAGTGCTGCCAAAGTTAAGGCACATTTTATTTAGTATGTTTAATTTTTTTTCAATTAGCTAAATTCAGCAAATTCAACAAAACGTTTAATACAGCAAATTTAGCTAAAATTTGCTAATATGTCCAAGTGTATTTTCTTTAGAAGAAACAAAACATGGAATTTGACCAGTGTGTTCAAACTTTTGCACATGATAGTAGGTAACAGGGTGACATGCTGTTTCAGAAACCACATAAGCAAGTCTATTTTAAAGTATTTGACAACTACACATGGTTTAAGGCAAGTGAGTGATGACATAAGCGTTGCTGACACCATAGAGGAACGGTTCTTCGAACCCTTTGTGAATTATCTATGAAGACAGTCTCGTGATTTGCTCATAAATACAGCAGTCTGTAAAAAAAGAAAATTAGTTCCTCATTCCATGGGGCTGTGGATTCAGGAACTGATTCACCAGAAAGATCTGCATTTCTTGCATAAATTTTCCACCTGCTCAGCTCATGACTTTTAGTAGTCCATAGTGTGTATGCCAAAGTTTAAACACCCATGTTTTATTAATTTTCTAAATACAACAAGCCACTTAAATGTGGTACAGTTTCAGTTAGTTTGTTAATGTTAACACATTGGAGAAAAATAAAACATAAAATATATTATCTGCCATAACTTTTAAAGAGTAAACACTTTGTGTTTTTTTTTTTTTTTGGTCCATTTACGGAGAAAGTCCTGTCTGCCAGTAAAAAGAGCAAATCGGCTTGCTGGTTACCTCACGAGTGGAGAAGGGCCGACTAGGATTACGGTACTAGCAGGGACGGTCTCCCTCGTCGAGATCTGCGCAAGCACAGTAGCCAAAGCAACCTGAAGAATCAAGTTTTTTTGTATTATTTTATCCAGATGTTGCAAACTATTTATGAGGCTTTTGTCACATTTTATCATTGATTTCAAAATGTTTTTAAAACAGTAATTTGACCTTTAGTTTTCAGCATTTTGGTCTTTCCCAAAGAGAGGAGTCTGGTCTTGTTTGGCTGGAAATAACTGCCCAGAGTCATTGCAGAAATGGCCACTGGGTGAAGAGACTAAACAGACTAGACTTCGTATAAGGACTTTGTCCATATCTTTTTGCTTCATAAAGTGAATTTACTACTTTGAATTTTTCCTCTGTATGAAAGTTACCTTGCCTTGAATGCAATTCATGCAAAACTTATTATTAGAAAACTTTTTATTGACACAACTACTGCTCTGTTTGTTTACTCTCTAGCTCACTCGACTAACGCTGTTCTGTATCTCTCAGCCATCTCTGAATAGTGTGTTTGAACAGCAAGTGACAAATCCTATTTATTCTGCCTTTAAGGAACCTAATGCGACAACGTCTATCTCTTGTAACTGGCTGGCTCTCACTGTTCACTGTTCATTTGGAGAATGGAGTGAATTTAGGGCTAGCAGTGAAATCTGGGCACAACAATAAAAAGAACGGCTCTCAAGTACTACTCGGCTCCCTTGATTTTTACCAAAGAGACGCTGAAAATAAACTGGATCGTTCACGAACATAACATCAGAGCAGGTTTATGAGGAGCCTGGCCACTTCCTATTTCTCCTGTTATATCAAAAACAGGACTTCGAAACACCAGAGGGTGCTCGCGAGTGAGTTCTCAATAAATATGGGTGAATGTAGTAAAATAGTTTCTAATCATTTGCCCAGAACGTTCCTTTATTTTAGAAAGTTGAGGGATGTATTTTACTAAAAAAAAAAAAGCAAAGAAAACACACCTGTAGGTTTCCTTTTTTTCTACAGCAAACAGGTTTTGGGCAGTAGGATGCTAGTATTATTGCTACTGAATGCTGATTGGTTGGCAAGCTGAGCAGCTCATTGGCTGTTCCTGCTCACTGACGTGATGGACGTATATAAGTTGCCTTTTTAAACTTCTATAACATGAGTTTAAAAGCCCTTAAAATTATAACATTGGTATTAAAATGTTTTATGCTGTTCTGGGTTCAGGATATGAATGCATTCTTTTATCTTAAAAAATATTTAAGCATTTATAAACTATGACTTTACTCAAATGCTCCATATTAACCCACTCATTTTGCACTCGCTTGGGAGCACCCTCTAGCGTTTGAGAATCCTGGAAGACATAACAGAGTGGTAATTTACTGTTCATGTACTCGTTCACCACAAGAAGACTGAGAAGATATATAGACCAACAGTTCAGTGAAACCGCAACTTTATGTTTTAACAGAACAGTAATGCTGCGTTTTCTATTGTATTTGAGAGGATGACTTTATTGCTAACTGGGTCACCTGTGAAGCCCAATCTTACATCCCCATCCTTATTTCACTTCCCAAGGACCCTCAGGCAGAGTAAATAATTTTTTCATTAACATGTAAGCCATTACAGTTAACTGTAAAACCCGCCATCAATTTTAATTCACTTGTGCACTGGCTTTGTTGCGTTACTATTTCCTATTTCTCCTGTTATGCCATATGTCTGTAAAGCACTATAGAGGACACCCACAAGCAAATCCTCAGTGAATGAGGGTGAATGGAGCTAAAACCTGAAACTTATTTCCAATCATTAGTGCTGGAATTTCTTTTAATTTTAGAAAGTAGAAGGGAGTATTTCATTACAAAAATCAAAGAAGACTCATCCATATACTTCTGGTTTTCTAAGGAAAACAGTTTTGGGCAGTGGGAGGTCATGTCTGATTGGTTAACATTATTGCTGCTAAGTGCTGATTGGTTAGCATTACAGCTACTGAGTGCTGATTGGTTAGTATTACTGCTACTGAGTGCTGATTGGTTAGCGTTACAGCTACTGAGTGCTGATTGGTTAGTATTACTGCTACTGAGTGCTGATTGTTACGCATTGATTAGCATCTCTAACCCTGTTGATGTACAGTTTGTCTTCTCCAGAAACATTATAATGACTTTGCATTCTCCAGCCCTTCATTAGTGGTCAGTTTGTGACCACAAAACCGCTTTTGTCTGGATATTTTTGGGTGGTGGACTACTCTCAACCTACCTAGAAACCTCAGGATTTCTAATAAAGTAGGCTGGAGTGAATATTCACTGTCAACATTTACTAAATGAAAAGTTAACACATCCTCTACAGGGAATGCACTTAAATACGGCATTTTCTGCTAATTTTAGTTCAACGTATTGAGAAAAAAAATAGAGCATAAGATAAAAAGTACCAAAATATTTGCACGGGTTACATTTTGTTTCATTTTTTCTCCCAATACGCAAAATTCGGCAAATAATTCCTTTAAAACTTAAAGTCGGCTAATGTTGAATGAAACAACGCTTTCACATAAAATGAGTTTTATGCCCTGCTGAAAAAACAGTGAAGATGTTTCTGCTACAAAAAATGATTTAGCTGTAATCCACAGTAATCTATCAAATGTATTATATGACATCATCCAGTAGTACCAAGTGGAAATATTAGGTTATGTCACTTTTTGTACTTATTAGGTCACAATATAGTACACATGCACACACACACATCTTCTAAGCCACTTACCCTTCTGGGTCACAGGGGGTGCTGGAGCCTGTCCCAGCAGTAATTGCGCAGAAGACAGGAAACACCCTGCACAGGTCACCAGTCCATTGCAGGGCAGACAGACAGACACATACATGAATACACACAATCACACCTAGGGGCAATTTAGCATGTCTAATTGGCCTGACTGCATATCTTTGGACTGTGGGAGGAAACCTGAGCACCGGGAGGAAACCGACGCAGACGCGGGCAACACTCTCCACTGTGCTGAAGTGACATTTGTAGTGCATTACTGGACATTCAGTCAGGTTTATAGTTTCATGTTTATATCTAACTAAATTAAAATACTCCAATATAGTGTTGAACATCATGTATTTATAAAGAAAAGCTATAAAAGTTAAGCATTGATCATTATCACAAACAGGGCTAACTGTCACACATCTATGTGTCATCAAGTTTGCAATGAACTGATGAAGAGGGAAGGCCAATTTTTCATCCACATTGTTCATAACCGTTTCATGACTCATAGGATTTCAACTACATTTTCCCCTCACAATGTTATGATAACTATAAGGAAGATGTTCTTCAGAGAATTGGCTAACTATTTTCAGTAAGAGCAGCCATGTGACTTACTATCACATAATTATGACAATATCTCATAATTATGACTGAATATCTTATAATAACGGCTTGCTATCTCATAATAATGAGAAAGTGTCTTATAATTATGACTTATGTTCTCATGATTATGTTTTGCTATCCCAAAGTAATGAGATGCTAAATGAGATCTAAATTATGACTTATTATTTCATTATAATGAGATCCTGTCTCATAATTACAACTTAGTATCACATAATTATGACTTACTATATCTTAATTAAACTTTCTCATTATAATGAGGTAGGAGATAAATTATAATGAGATTATTATGAGATAGTAAATCAATTATGAGATAGTAAGTCATAATTATAAGGTGCTAAGTCACAATTATGAGATATTAGGTCATAATTATGAACAGCTTTCTTACTGTTATGAGATAGCATATCATTATTAGACACTGTCATATTGACAATTTTCTCATTATTATGAAATATTAAGTCATTATTACAAGATACTGTCAAAATTGAGATGGTAAGTTATTATTACGAGAAACTTTCTTTTTATTGTGTCACATTGTGTGGCCTTGTGCGGCAGTGCTTAATTAAAAATAAGTCAAATAACTCAAATACGTTTAATCATAGCCCTTGCTTCACCTGCTTTTCCCCTTTTCTGTGTTTTAATATTTTATACGAATGATAAAACCTTATTTTCTGTTAATATTGCTCTTTTGTTATTATTTGCTATACAGTAACCAAAGGAGGATCGGTTCCCCTTTTGAATCTTGGTTCCTCTCAAGGTTTCTTCCTATTGTTCTTAGAGAGTTTGGGAGTTTTTCTTTGCCCCTGTCGCCATTGGCTTGCTCACGGGGGCTTGGACCCGGCTTTTTCTGTAAAGCAGCTTTGCAACAACTGATGTTGTAAAAAGCGGTATGTAAATAAACCTTAAATTGACTTGACTCGGCTTTTATTCTTTAAAGTAACGTTAATATAGAGCATAACCTCCCTTATCCTCCAAAAAAATCTACATTAATACAATCGTTCATCTAAATATCCACTTGTGCTACGCCTTTAATTTTACATCCGTGTGTGAACACGTTGAACGTGAAAGGAGAGTCACGTGATTGTCGAGAACGCCTTTTGGAGGCGTAATTTCGTTTCCCCACCTGTATTAAGATAAGCCCTGCCTCCAGTGCCAGGATTGGCTTGCATGTGGCCGCTCATACAGCGCTAGTGGCTAGAATGACCAGCTAATAGCCAATCCTAGAACATGAGTCACGCCGTTTTCAGCCAATCGCAGCACAGGAGGCGGGTCTTGTCGGAATGCGGGTGGGAATATACAACAGCGAGTTTTAAGAAAATGAATTCTCTCAGACGAAACATGAAAACCGACAGAAGAATGGGCAAGTGACTCGTTTCTGCTGGCTCTCTTTTAACTCCAGGTATTTTCAACGTTCTCCTCAGAGGACCTTTGCGCCTCCGAACAGCATTTTATGTGGTGAGTATTCATGTTAGTGACTAAACCTGTGTTATTTCGTAGCTTTAACTCGTGTTTCTAACACTGCGGTGCGCTTTCGCTTTCTGTGTCGTTTTTTAAACGATAAGTAGATGAACAGGTCGTAGTCGACACCTGTCCACTGTAAAATGTCCATTCAGTTAGTTTAATGATAGATATGTAACTCTACGTTAGCTCTCAGTGTACGAAGCTGAAGTTGAGGTTGAAGTTGGCTTCCCATTCGCCATTTGCTTGAAGTGCTTGAAGTCTGCGTCACACACAGACACACCGAAATGCTTTTTGTATTAAATTAACCATTATAATGTAGTATAATGTAATTCTACGTTATAATGGCGAATTTAGTACAGGAAGTGCTTATGTATCTGAGAATGGCAGTGTAACACAGCAGTGTAACTACTGCTGCGTTTGTCTTTTTAAGCTGTTCTTTTACCTGACTGTAACAAATGAGAGGACTGACACACCTTAATTCTCCATAAAGGCTTCCTGCTAAGGCAGTGAATTATGAGACAGCATAAAGGTATGGATGAGTATCGAATGGAAGCACGTTTTCGCCACTGAGTAAAATATATTGTAAGTCATAATGATGAGCAAGAGTCCCATAATTATAAGTTAGTATGATAAATAAAATGAGCAAATGATTTAAACAGTCAAGGTCAGTGATGCAAAAAGTTTGTGAACCCTCTAAGGCAATGGAAGATTGACCATCTCTTTAAAGCAGAGTTTCTAGGATCCCAGATAAGGTATTGTTTATGGGTCTCCAGAAGTGGAGTTCACCACTACTGCTGCACTACAGACTACTACTGCTGTCCAAAAGAAACAATACTCTGGGTAATTAAAAATATTCATATAAAATTATATATATTATATATTAAAATATGTATGTGTATATAGTGTGTATATGTATGTATGTGTGTGTGTGTGTGTATATATATATATATTGTGTGTGTGTGTGTGTGTGTGTGTGTGTGTGTGTGTGTGTGTGTGTGTATATATATATATACACACACATTTTTAGGAACATCGTAGAGCTTGTTTTGATTAAGGTGTTTCAAAGCTTGGGGAGAGCATGGATGAATTTGATGGAACATATACCTGCAGCAAATGTGAAAGGCAAAGCTGTAGGAGATACCTTCACATCATTGCAACATGGTGAACAAGATGATGTTCCAGAGGATTATTAGGTTTGGGGACACTGGCAGCCCTGGTGGTCTGGTATCCGGCAGTGTTGCAGTTTAGAGACTAATGTTTTTTTTTTCGACAGTTGCCCGGCTGTTTCTACACTGATAGCATAGATACAGTGATAATCCATTGCTTTCTGATGTAAAGGTGTTCTGATGTTTTTGAACTTCCAGCTGTTGCTGGTTTATTGTGCACAAGTTGAATCTTTTTGCAGGTTTTTATAAAGACTTTTGGTCTGTTTATTGAACACAGATGATACAGAATCATATCTGTATCGGCAGATGTTTGGTAAAAAATATCAGGATCAGACAGATTTGACTGATATTTCAAAACGGTATTTGATTAGGTATTTATTGTCCTGTTATTTTGTTCTTCCTTTTAATTATTTGTTTTACTTTTTTAAGCTGTTGCATTTTGTGTCTTTCTAGCACTTCATTTTTTATTTTGTTTTTGTTACTCACACTTGAGCACTTTGTCTTTATTTTTCCTTTTAATGTTCTTTTTGTCTTTTTTTTATGTAAAGCACATGGAATTGCTTTCGTGTATGAAATGTGCTGTATAAAAAAAACTTGCTCCAGAAAAGCAGTATGTTCAGGTGACGCTTTGCTGACTGCACTAAAATATGTGTTTTATTCATTTTACTGCATTTCTAACCATACAGAGTAAGTTGTATTTTCTGTTATGCTAATCCAAGTAGATCTAGTCCCAGTTGCTTAATTTTATAAATGTTTATGTCTCATTCTCTGCAGATATATACATGAAAATTGTTGGATATCAGCATCAGGCCACATTTTTCCATATCGGTGCATCCCTAACATGGATTAAAGCAGGTCACTATTCTCATCTATGGAGAGCTGGCTACCTGGAGCAAAGCTCATATAATAACTCTGTTGCTTGAAGAACTGGTTAAAGAAGTGGAATCAGGTGCTTCTGCTGGACAAGAGTGAAAACCTGCAGCCACACTGGCCCATTGTGAATGAAGACTGGGGACCTCTGCTTAATGTAAGATTTGTATAAATGAAGCATGCATACAGTCACACTTATCATATTGAAATCTCAACATTAAAATTAAAACACAAAAACATAATATGAGCAGGAATATCATACATGTTGAGTACATAGAATATTTATATCAGTATATTATTTTGGAAAAATACTCCAATAATGATAAATGTGGTGACAGCTAAGAGGAAAGAGAAAGGACTATTAATAACTGCTGTGGCATAAGTACACAAATAATCACAATTCAAGAATTAAAGAAGTGTTGGAAATGATTCCAGTGCAGGTTATGTACTTCCCTTTTTTTTGTGATTCTGTGACTCCCAAATTTATCATGTGTAATTTCAAAAAATGGGAAGGACATTCTTTAATTGTCTTTGGCAGCCAAACAGAGATTTACTTGGCATGGGTATTTAATATGTAGGGCCTCATTTACATGTGGAATTTGACTGGCTCTTGCCTAGCACACTGGTGGAAATACATCGGCACGCTTATCACCACCTTCTGGCTTAAATTTGGAAAATGCTGGAATGCCATTGATTCATTTCTGATTATTTAAGTTGTGAACAGGTAAATAAAGTCATTCAGAGTAATAAACTAGGAGAAACTTACAGTCAGTATTGTTCACAGTGGTGATCAGAACCAGATGTCCACCTCTGAAAGCTCCTTCACAGAAAGTTATTACATGAAATGATAGATGTTTTGAGGACGTTTTAGTCTAAAATGTATTTTTTAAATCCATTCATGGTGGGGGGATACATGCAGGGCGTTGGCAGGCCTGTAATTTTGCAATTACAATGATGCCAATGATGTTTCAGTAATTAAAAATTATAGTTCGTCTAGGCTTAAGTTTAACCTAAGTCAGGGAAATTGTCTTGTGTTGCAGAAAGTTTAGTTATGTAGAGGGATTTACTGTCAATTTGATGTTTTTGCTTAATTGTGCACATTTTGAGCATGAACTAATACTTTTTCCTATTAGTTGGTTTGTCTTAAAGATCTTATTGTTTCCCAAAACAAATTTTCCCATTTATATCTTGCATAACTTGTAAAACCTCTGCCTAAACCTGACTCACAATATTTTTTATACATGTGTATGTTTATTGTTATACAGTTAGGCCCATAAATATTTGGACAGTGACACAATCTTCATGAATTGGGCTCTGCATGCCACCACATTGGATTTGTAATGAAACAACTGAGATGCAATTGAAGTGTAGACCTTCAGGTTTAATTCAAGGGGTTGAACAAAAATATCCTATGAAACGTTTAGGAATTGCAACCATTTTTCTACAAAGCCTCCTCACTCAGGGGCTCAAAAGTAATTGGACAAAATTGGACTTTACCATAAATAAAATGTTCATTTTTAATACTTTGTTGAGAATCCTTTGCAGGCAATGGCTGCCTGAAGTCTGGAACCCATGGACATCACCAAACGCTGGGTTTCCTCCTATGTGATGCTTTGCCAGGTCTTTACTGCAGCTGTCTTCAGTTGTTGCTTGTTTGTGGGTCTTTCTGCCTTAAGTTTTGTCTTAAGCGAGTGAAATGCATGCTCGATCGGGTTGAGATCTGGTGATTGACTCAGAATATTCAAAGCTTGCAGAATATTCCACTTCTTTGCCTTAAAAAACTCCAGTTGCTTTCGCTGTATGTTTTGGGTCATTGTCCATCTGTTCTGTGAAGCGACGTCCAATCAACCTTGCTGCATTTGGTTGAATCTGAGCAGAAAGTATATCCCTGTACACTTCAGAATTCATCCGGCTGCTTCTGTCTTCTGTCACATCATCAATAAACACTAGTGACCCAGTGCCATTGGAAGCCATGCATGCCCATGCCATCACACTGCCTCCACCATGTTTTACAGAGGATGTAGTGTGCTTTGGATCATGAGCCGTTCCAAGCTTTCTCCATACTTTCTTCTTCCCATCATTCTGGTACAGGTTGATCTTAGTTTCATCTGTCCAAAGAATGCTGTTCCAGAACTGGGCTGGCTTCTTTAGATGTTTTTTGGCAAAGTCTAATCTGGCCTTTCTATTTTTGAGGCTGATTGATGGTTTGCACCTTGTGGTGAACCCTCTGTATTTGCTCTCATGAAGTCTTCTCTTTATGGTAGACTTAGATACTGATACACCTACTTCCTGGAGAGTGTTCTTCACTTGGGTGGATGTTGTGAAGGGGTTTTTCTTCACCATGGAAAGGATTCTGTGATCATCCACCACTGTTTTCTTCCGTGGACGTCCAGGCCTTTTTGAGTTCCCAAGCTCACCAGTGCGCTCTTTTTTCCCAGAATGTACCAAACTGTTGATTTGGCCACTCCTAACATTTCTGCTATCTCTCTGATGGATTTCTTCTTTTTTTCCATCTGATGATGGTCTGTTTCCCTTCCATTGAGAGCTCCTTGGACCGCAGGTTGTGGGTTCACAGCAACAGCTTCCAAATGCAAATGCCACACCTGGAATCAACTCCAGACCTTTTACCTGCTTAGTTGATGATGGATTAACAAGGGAATAGCCCAAGCAGCCCATGAAATAGCTTTTGAGATTATTGTCCAGTTACCTTTGGTCCCTTGAAAAAGAGGCAGCTACATATTAAAGAGCTGTAATTCCTAAACCCTTCCTCCAATTAGAATGTGAATACCTCAAATTAAAGCTGAGAGTCTGCGCTTTAAGCCCAGGTTGATTATACAACTGTATCTTGAATATGTTTTGGTAAACAGCTAAAATGCCAAAACTTGTGTCACTGGCCAAATATTTCTGGGCCTAACTGTATATTTAAATTTATCAAGGCTTGAGTAGGGCCTTAGATTGATTGCCTTTTGTATTCTAATCATAGCAGGTTACAGATATTTCTTTAGATTTTTAGATTAGAGTAAAATTGTATGCGCTTTTGTGACATCTGAAAGTCTTTTACATGAGTTATTGGCATCTCTTTCTTCGGTTCGATCTGAGAGCTTCTGCTAATATCACTTTTGTTTAAAAGTTTGGAATCAGAGGGGTTTTTTATTTTCAGAACAATTAAGAGCTGTAGATGATTCAGATATGACTACATGAAATTATAATACATTAATATTCAAGTGCCTTGTCTTTCAAAAGTGACAGTCACATCTTGAGACAGATATTGTAACAAAAATTCCTAAAAAAGACAACTACAGTATATTATTTATCCTTCTATCCTATCTATTCTATCCTTGTTATTGTTGCCAAAAACATCGAATACTGAAAATGTTGAATACATCAGCTTGATCTATAAGCAGCCTTTTTATTGTTTAGTTTTTTGTATTTATTTTAACCGTATTGTCTTAATGCCACTTTCCGGCATGTTCCAGAGGTGGAATGTGTTCCTTGTTTGAGTCTTGGTTTCTCAGAGTTTTGTTCTCATGCTTACTGCCTCTGCAACCCTCATTGGTGATCTGGATCCAGTTTTCTGGCTGGCCTTTTCTGGCACATCTGTTGTAAAAGCTTTACGTAGATAAAATTTAACTGTATATTAAAGAACTCAGCAGTATGGAAAAAAAATTAATTCCAGTAACAGTCCTATATTCAAGTTAAAGGTATTTTCCTGAACATATTACTAAATCATGTTACAATTTGCAGGGTAAGTTCATGGCGGATGATGTTTAAGCCTTATTCAGACTCCCACCCTCATTATGAAAATGAAACCAGGATACACACCAAATGACTCATGACTAACGTGACTTACTACTACGTTACTGATCATTGTGTACAATACATTACGCTCACTGAAGATGAGTCTTGAGTTCAAGGCACTGTAACATGAATGTTTACCTGCATTCACCTTCAGCCAAACTAAAGTGCGTTCCAAAAAGAAATATGAGTGGCAATCTGTGGGGTCCAAGCACATTTGCCTCATTTTGTAGTTGTTACTCTTTGATCTGACATACCTTGTGGATCTGTTTCAGCACAATGCCATGAGCAAGCATTTTAAGTTTGGTGACAATTGGACAAAACATACTTTTCTTTATATTTGTGATGTTAAAAAATAGCTATAAATCAAAATCGCAGATGCCCTGTGCAATTCAGCTATAGGAGTTTTTGTTCCAATAACTAAGCGCCCTCTCCCAACAGGCCATTTTGATTTTGTTTTTCTTTTTACAGGGACAATATGTTGATGCGAATCTGATTCTCGTTTAACATGAGGGTGATATTTCTGCTGCACTTTTATTTCATGGTTCTTGACACTCAAGGTAAGTTTACTGGTCAAATCATTTTACTTCAAATGAATTGAATATTTCATAGGCTCCAGCACCCTAAACGTCTTAGAAAGTGTGAATATTTTGATGCTGCATTTTTAACTAAAACTAAATCTCTAACTAAACATAAATGCAACTTGAAGGTGGTCATCACAATGTAATATATACATGTAATATCTGGTATAAAACATTTCTGAATATTTATGAATGTGCATTTTTATTTTTAATGATGGGACTATCATTAATGTATGTTTCATTATCATTAATGATGTAACTAATGTCTGTTGTTCTTAGTCATTGTTCCATTCCCTCAACCACAAAACGTAACAGTGGTGTCTAACAACTTTGACACTGTCTTGCACTGGAGTCCTGGAGTAGGCACACCGTCAGGAACTATTTACAGTGTGAATGTGAGGTGAGGGCATTCAAAGTTGATCAAGAAGTGCATGATAACAGTAAAACTCTCCATATAAGACTATAGCTTTATTTGTATATACAGAATACAGATAAATTCTATCATTTTATAATATAACATCTAACATTACAGTACTGTGCAAAAGTCTTGGGAACCTTACCGCATTATTTAAAACCACTTATTTGGCAATCGCTGTGTTTTTGATTATAAAATCACTGTATATTATTAGAAAATATGCAAATAAACAAACAGTAAAACATAACAAGAATTTCCCTTTTTTCCAAAAAAAGTAGTTGATATCCTGTGAGCAAATTTGAGGAACAAAGTTTGGTTCCAGATTGCCATTACACCAATTTATTATATTCCATCAGCACACCTGATTTAACTAAATAATGAAGTATTGATTAGATAAAACAGATATCAGATGATCAGTAAAATGAATACTGGGTTTTAGATTGGGTTTAAGGAGAGGGCAGGAAATGGTTAAACAAATACACTGACATGTAAAATTACTATTTTTTTTGTACTAATGATATCTGTATTTTTTCTGATTTTAGTGTTTTCCTCAGCAAATAGATGCTTTCTGATGAGATTAACAGCTTATTAAATCTAATTTTTCAAGTCTAAATCTTTCAAGTCTAAAGGTTGGCTTCTAAGCACCATATGGCTTCTAATTCTAATTTAGCTAAACAAGTATTGCAGAAAATCAAGGTTTGCAGAGATGGTTCAATATTATTATTATTATTATTATTATTATTGTTTATATTTTACATCTAAGCCCAACTGACATAAACCTCCTCAAGGAATATCTGAAAGGGTTCCAGTATTATTATCCATGCTACTGTTATTCAACTTATTTTTGTTCAGATTATTGCATATTTACCTCTCTGTTTCAATTTTTGGTCTCTCATGTTTGTGTTCTTTCCACATCAGTACTGAATCAGCCACAAAAAAACAGGAAAAGTGCAAGAGTACAACCATCAATGTCTCCAACTACATGAAGAACATTGAGCGCCAATATGTTCTCCGCCTTTGGGCATCACATGGCAACAGATTATCATCTGTAATCGAAAAATACTTCACACCTTATACTATGAGTAGGTGATTCTTTAAAGCTGGAATGGCCTTTTATGAGTAAATGCAGACATGTATAGCTCTTGGATGATGCAACCAATACGCTTCTTTTTGCATTTGTGTTTGATTCAGCCATCCTCGGTCCTCCTTCTGTGACTCTGGCTGGCTGCGGCGATTGCCTCAACATCAACATCTCTCTGCCAAATAGAGTGTCCACCAATGAAAGTTTACGTTTCTACAAAGGTATCAGGTTCGACATACACTGGAAGAAGGCAGGAGATGAAAAGGTAAAAATTGGGTTTCTGAAAAAAAAACGTTTCTGAATTATACAAGCACCATTTTTGATGGAATGTGACATCACTTTTATTGAATCAGTACTCCGCCCCTCTCCATCTGCACGGCTAGGAAAACATGGCTAAATCTGGTTAGCAACCTACTGTGGCACCACCAGCACCACCCACTGTGGGGGGGAAACACACTGTGCCGCCAAAAAACGTAGCACTTGCTTAGCACTTTTTAAAGGTGGAATTAAGTTCATTCTGGACAGGCATGTTAATGAAATACATACAAAGAGCTGAACTGTCTGAATGGCCACCTTTATGAAATGAATCAAGTAGATAAATCCTTATTAGTTACATAGCCGGTAAAGTAATACTTTGGATGACCCACCTTCAAAAAGGTGAATGTAATACTAGTCAACTGCACTAAACTCCTGTGAAGGTTAACCAAGCTAACTAGATAAGGCTGCCTTTCTGTTCTGTCTTAAATGCTGCCGTGTGTGCCTCACTACAGCTCAATACAAAGATAAACAGGTTTAAACAAACAAAAGAGACACAGGAGTTTGACTCTCACTTTGGATATATGTACTGGATGAGTATTTGGAGAGTAGGATACTTTGATAGCAGGCTTAGACATGATGTGTAATGGTAGGTCATCATAATTTACCAAGTAGATTAAAATAATACTCTGCCGGGGGAGAGTAGCATTGTAGACCTTTCTTGATGCTCATATCTTTGAGCTGGCCACACTGGCCAGAAGCTGGAGTGAACTGCATATATGGGGAGTGGTGTGTAATTGATAATTGTGAATAACTAGAAAATATTCTGCTAATTATTTTTAGAGATCACCCAGGTATTGTGTGGATGTGCTGTGTGATTGGTGGGTGGGAATATAAGGCAGATCCAAAGAGTAAAATAGTCAATGTGTAACAGCCCAGGCATTAAATACTAAACTAACCAACAAAAGTAATAAGGAACAGGTGTGAGTGAATTCAGTAGTCTGGAGATGAGGAGCGCTGTTAGTTGGATTGGTGAGAGTCCAGAGTCATGTGATGCAGCAAGGAGTTCAGGAATTGGAGTCCTGGGCGGCCCCGTTGGCTGTAGTTCCAGCCAGGCCGGAGGGAGGCGTGACATATTGTTGTACTTCACCTGTTTAAACTAATTTAGAATGAGTAACTCTAAATGTACAGATTTCGACAAGTTGTGTGCCGCAATTTCTCATTCCTTTAAATGCGATTTTTGTTAGTGTCCTGTAAAGCTTGTACTATTTAGCAACTGTTACTATGAAAAATTACATTTGTGGGTGGAGCATGAATAGATCAATTGAACAATATTCTTTCTAGAAGTAGGGATCTTGTTTTCTCAGTTCCTAAAACCATAGCATACTAGCATACTACACAGTGGGGATTGATTTGGTTCTTTTGAGTGATTATAATTATTTTTATTTTTAACAGGTTTACATGTTAGGAAACATGGATTCACTCACCCATCAGCACAATAAGACATTGAGTACATACACGTATGTGCTACTAAATCTTGAACGAGGAGGAAAGTACTGTGTGCGGGCAAAACCACATCACAATGTCAACAAGAACACTCGGATTTCTGACTGGGTCTGTGATTTCACCAGTGCAGTAGAGGAGAGAGGAGGTAAGCTGTCTCAAGGTCCTTTGCAGCATTTCGCACTGACATGTAGTTACTAAAAGCCAAAATTTTCGCTTTTCTTTGCTGTCATCCTAATATTGATCTTGCATTATCATTGTTTCCAATGTGTCGCTCGAAAACTATCAGTATCAGTATTGCAGTGTACATTGACCTAAAACATCACGTAAACACTCTTAGCACACTGGCCAGAAGAATAATTTAGCGATTACAGCACTTTGCAGAAGTCTTAGGCAGTCATAAAATATTTAAAAACTGTTCATCTCAACAGTGAGCGTGTTTTTGCTTGTAAAAGCACTAACATTTGAAAAAAATACATAAAGATAAATACAGTAAAACTGATTTCCTCCAAATTTGTTCAATTACATTAGCAGCTCACTTGATCAGTGAGTGTTGATCAGATAAACTGATTATTGAATGGTAACTAAGTAATGGAGAGCTTTGGAAATGGTTAAACTAACACACAGATGTCAAGTTACAACATATTGTTTATTTGTATTTATTCATCTATAGTTTTTCAATAAACGCTTACTTTCCAGATAAATATCTTCGTTATTATTATTTTCACAGATGGCTAAGTCATTTGCACAGTACTGGATACACTGTTTTCCTACTTTGGGGGAAAAGCAGCCTGTATCGTACACAGTCACTCACTAAAGACAGTATGTATGTAGGCGTTTGGGCACCCCTGGCCGAATTATGTTCTTTGTTCATTTTAGTAAACATGAGCTCTACAGCAAACTATTCAAAAATAATATTTGTTAATGTGAATGCACAGTTAATTTATATTTGAATAACTTAGACCACCACTCCTCTATCAGCTAAACCTTTCTGCAGGTCCTTTGCTGTCATAATGAGGTTTTGATTTGCCTTTCTTAGTGACATTTCAGACAGTGGAAATTGTGACCTTGTGTTTTGTAGGCATCAATTAGCTTCTTTTCAGATCCTCAGCCAGCTGCTTAGGGGTAGCTGCTGAGTGTTTACCACAAGTTTTAAAGGGAGTTTATTACACTTTGGAAATATAATCAGCTTTTTAGTCCTAATGAGTCATTTAAAGCCTCATGAGCTATTTACATTCTTACGTTCTCCTATATGTTTGATTCTTTGCTGCTCCTGTATTTGTTTTGTTGGTTTGTTTTAATTTGTTTTTGCATGTTACTTTTGTTTTCGCTGGTGATATTTTTTGATGCTGTCACTCGTTAGCTATTTGTTTGATGTTTGTGTGTTTACATGGCTGTCATGTAGTGTTTGTTGTATGTTGTGATTGTTGTGATCATTGCAAGTATTATTTTTCTTTTAGCCATTACCTCCTCTCCCTCAAAAGACTCCCAGGCCGTCACTGTAAAAAAAAGAAACTGTTCTTAATGATTTGCCTGGTTAAATAAATAAAATAAAATAAAATTAAGAGACTTTGCAACTGAAAGGTGCCCAAACTTTATCATACAAGTATACATTATGTAGTGCTTGTCTAGGCCTCAGTGTACTACTAGCTAAGTGTCTTTATTCATTATTAACCAATTTTCAGCTGTTCTGTAGTAGGGCTGCAACAAACTACTAATTTGATAGTCAAATAATCAATAATAATAATAATCAAATAATCGATTATTGAAACGAATAATTGATTAGTTGGATTATAAATTACCAAATAACTCTTGTGTAGCTATCAGCTTTTTTATGCACTGGCGAAGTAACATTAAAGACAATTAAAATGAATAACTTATTCAAAGATTCATTGTTTTAATTAACTTTCCTGCTAATACAAAAGATAAATAAAACACCAATATTTTTTTTTAATCGCAAAATTTAAAACCAAGGTTGTACATGTAGCAGCAATACAATAAAACAAAACAAAATCAGTTTTCTCTTAATCAAGTAAATAAAAGAAATCAATCTAAATTTTTAAATTTAAACAGTGCAGTCTGTCAGTGCTCTGTGCATTCTGCTGTCCGTCTACATTCTCCTTCAACTAAATTCTACAGTCACAAGTCTTTATTGTAACAAAGAAATGTCAGCATCTCTATGTGCTCTTGTGAGAGGCTCGCTCTCCTCTCAGAGCAGATATTCCACGCTGCAGAGAAGATGTGCTCTGATGGAGCAGATGGAAAACTGGCAAATGTTTGTGGCAAACTTGTTCTCTATGAACAGTTAAATTTAATTTCAACAGTAACCCTTCATCCAACTTCCCTGTATGTTCACAGAGAACTATCTCCTGAAACTGTTTGCGAGTGGTGCCAAACGTTCGTGGAAAAGAGAAACTGTTTGAAACTGTTTGCAACTGTTTGCAAGCGTTCTCTATGTTCGCCAAATTTGAATGCACCGGTGGCCTCGACATTAAGACAACGATGCAATGTTTAAAAGTGTAAGCGTTATTTGGAAAGTGAACTCCATTAACAATTCCAGAGAACATGCATTTTGAAATAGATGTTACAGCTCATAACATGAAGTAGGACAGCTTTTGAAATTAGCTAACTAGCTCGCTAGCACAACTGTCTTACTGAGATGAAATTATCTTCATCCAGTGAACCGACGTGTTTCCTTTTCAGATGCTCCAACATGGAAGATGTGCTCCCATACCAGCTAAGGTTGGCTTTACAAATAGTACAGCTGTATCCATATATCTGCCAGTATTGCATCTGTGTCAATCTTTCGTCTGTACAGCCTTTCTAAAACTTTTTCCTCGCTTTCTGTAGTACCAGTGGTGCTTGCCGTTGATTTCTGTTTAGTGAGTGTGCGCGTCCGAGGGTTCAATTTATAAAGGGGAACATGAATTTGAGGCGAACTGACTTAGATGTAACACTGGTAGTGCCATGAACAGCTTGCAGAATGTAAGGATTTAGGGCCACTGCAACAAACTTTGGATGACCTGTGATGCAGTCTGTGACCCTCATGTCAAACTGAATGAAATTTAACAATGTTTTAAGAAATCCACTTTATTCATTCGGAATTTGGTACATCTAAGAAATCAGGCGTTGGGTTATATTGAATGTGGACCTGCTGAACAGATCATTAGAAGCTAGTAGTCACAGTTTTAGGGAATGTTCTACTGTTCGGACACCTCTATCACTTGCTGCTAATCATTTTCTGGCACTACGTCAACTCTTCGGCGGCTTGAGTCAGTGGCTCATACTGTTAAGTCTGTAGACGCTGTGCCTGATCAGAAACATTTTCCCTCGTTGAAGATGGGGATGGTAGTAGAGAAAAATCGTCAACCTCGTAAGTTGCAAAAGTGCTCTTTGATTTGGTCACTCTCAATATCTTCTGGTATCTAATATACGCCAGCTCTAAAAAGACAGCAGCCCGGCCCAACCCACTTGGTTTCCCTTGCAGCCCCACCTCCAAATCCAAACATCACTGCAGTGCCCCTCCCAGCGTGCCCCTCCCATTTTTTAGCATTTTTCAAGTTGAGCCAGGGTTGGAATTAGCTGAACATAATAGGGTGTAGTTACTCCTTAAGTGGTAACGTCAAAACATTTCTAGTGAGCGCGAGAAAGACTTGTCACCAATGACGTCACCAGCTAATTAGTTGCCATCTAATTTTAGTCGATTTTAGTCAAGTAAGTTGAATAATCGTTGCACCCCTGTTATCTAGCCTTTTAGTTTACCATGTAAAGCAGTGCAGGGATTAAGGCAGAATTTTTATAGATTGCACTTCAGAACTAACAGTCAATTATTTACTAGTTCTTGTTAAATCTTGTGAAGATCCCAGGCAACCTTTATGATGCAATCCCAAGGTCAGTAACCCTTTCAAAAGTATTGACAAATTTGTAATTTTTGTGCCGTGGTTAGGCTAAATTTGCCAGGTCAGGTGATGCGACACTGAAAAACAATGAAAATGTGTTATTTTTATAATGGTCTTAATCTATTTGTAAATAGTAAAACCCTGAGTTCAAGGACGAAGGTTTATATGGGGGTCCAAGTACAAAGACTAGATTATACACATTTATAGTAGTCGTAAATATCTTGAAAATGTAATATTTTTTGCACCACCTGACAATTTTTGGGAGGTAAAATCTGTTATTCGTCGCTGTTCCATCTATATGGTGGAGTGTGCATGACTGAAGGCCTGTATTATGTGAAGGAGACCATTTTACTTGCAAACTAGCTGCCTTAATTTTATACAAAACAGCTGCCTTGTTTTGTCTTATTTTTTTCTGTCACTCAGAACTGATTTGTTTTAAAATACCATCAGAAGCACTGTGGGTTTGGTTAACCGGGGGTCTAACACACTGTATAACTGTTATTACTATAATTACATTATGTAGTTACTAATTGGTGAGTAAAAATTACGGTAGCAGTGCTACAGCTAGTTTGTTATATTAATAAGTGTCTCCACATATTAATAAGTTTACAGGAGAAGACAAAAACATTCTTAACTTTTAACACTGTAAGCTGTGCAATAAAACATGAAATTAATGAAAACATTATTCTCTGACACATTCAAATAATTGAATATTTAAAATCAAACATCTGTTTCATGTTGTGAAAAGCCAAGTGTAAACGCCACCAGGACACACTGTGAACGGATTACAATCCGATCACTTAAACCGCGGGTCAGAAACGGATCTAACCACATTTAGCACAAGCATGAATGGAATGTGTTTTTGTTATCTGTATATAATTATGAGATTGGAAATGTGTCCGCTGAGCGCTGACTAGCAGGTGAGAGAATTAACAACGAAAGGAAAGATGGAGGATATGCCAGGCTGAAATTAACCCCAAGCTGAGTTGTCCACTTGTATCGTAATGGGGAAGAGAGTAAACTAAAGTAAAAGTATGTGTTGATGTGTTTTTTATGCATCAAAAATTCAATCAGATCTCATTTGGTCACGCTGGGGACACATTTTTGTGAAAAGTGTAAACAATCCAGCCATAGTTTATCTACATTGCAAAGAAATATATCTTGTCAAGTAAAATTATCTTTAATCTAGGCAATATATCTAATATTTCTCATTTTGAAATTTATTGTATGTTTATTGTAAAATTATTTCTAGACATTCTTTTTGTTTTAGGTGATTTTACTAAGTCAGATTATCTCACTAGATAATTTTGCTTGTTGTAAGAACTAAGCCAAATTATCTTCCAATATAGTGAGACAATCTGACTTAATAAAATCACTTAAAACAAGCAAAAATGTGTAAAATAAGTTAAATAATCTTAAGATAGGGTTGCAGCAATCTCAAAATGAGAAATAAAAGATACATTGACTATATTTTTGCAGTGCAGATATGATCTGGACCTAAACACAATTTATTGTGAGGTGTAAACAGGCTCTTAAATACATGTACACAACATATATGTACATATTTTAAAATATATTCCTCCGTTCATGATATATATATGCCTTTATGGCCATATATCAGATTTATCTATGGGTAGAGCAAAAGGTTTCTGCTAGTCAGCACTCAGTAGACACATTTCTATCCATTTCCAATCCATTTCTGAAACATATTTGAACAAGACAAGCCTTATCAAGCCAGACAATCAAGATCTATTGAAAAATGTAGCTAGTCGTACTGGCCTTTAGCTAAACGGTTGGGACACTGTGCAGAATGTCAATAAAAATAGAATGCTGTGATGTGCAAATCAAGTAAACCATATTTTTTAAAAATAAAATACTACAATGACAACATATCAGATGTTGAAACTGAGAAATTTTAATGTTTTATGAAAAATATATGCCCATTTTGAATTTGATGCCAACAACACGTTCCAAAAAAGTTGTGACGGGGGCATGTTTATCATTGTTTTTCATCATCTCTTCTTTTAACAACCCTCTATAAGCATTTGGGAACTGAGGAGACCAATTGCTGGAGTTTTGAAAGTAAAAATGATATCCCATTCTTGTTTGATATAGGATTTCAGCTGCCCAACAGTTTGGGGTCTCATTTGCAGTATTTTTCATTTCATAATGCATAAAATGTTATCAGTGGATGACAGGTCTGGACTGCAGGCAGGCCAGTTTAGTGCCCGGACTCTTTTAATACCGAGCAATGCTGCTGTAATACGTGCAGAATGTGGTTTGGCATTGTCTTGCTGAAATAAGCAAGGCCTTCCCTGAAAAAGACATCATCTGGATGGCAGCATATATTGCCAAAACATGTGTATATCATTCAGCATTAATGGTGCCTTCATAGATGTGCACGTCACCCATGCCATGTGCACTAATGCACCCCTATACCATCATACTGGCTTTTGAACTGTGCCCTGATAACAAGCTGAGTGATCTTTAGCCCAGAGGACACAGTGTCCATGATTTCCAAAAACAATTATTGATTTGTCGGATCACAGAACACTTTTCCACTTCGCCTCAGTCCATCTCAATCGAGCTCAGGACCAGAGAAGGCGGCGGGGTTTCTGGATCCTGTTTATATATGATTTTCTTCTTTGTGTTTTAGAGTTTTGACTTACATTTGTGGATGCAGTGACAAACTGTTTTCTGAAAACCATTGTCTATGAAGTGTTCCTGGACCAGTGCAGTGATTTCTACTACAGAATCATGTCTTGTTTTAATGCAGTGCCACCTGAGGGCCCAAAGGTGACGACCAGCAAATACTGGTTTTTAACCTTGTCCCTTGCATACAGAGATTTCTCCAGATTCTCAGAATCTTTTAATGACATTATGTACTGTAGACGATGAAATCCCCAAGTACTTAGCTATTTTATGTTGAGAAACGTTATTCTTGAATTGTTGCACTATTTGCCCGTGCAGTCTTTCACAGAGTGGTGAACCCCTCCCCATATTTACTTCTAAAAGACTCAATCAACCACCAGGTGTCTTTTTAGCATTACACAACTTTACCATCCTTTTGGTGCCCCCATCCCAACTTTTTTGGAACGTGTTTTTGCCATCAAATTCAAAATGGGCATATATTTTTCAAAAAACAATACGATTTTTCAGTTTCAACAGTCAATATGTTGTCTTTGTACTATTTTCAATGAAATATAGGGTTTAAACGATTTGCATATCATTTGCATTTTGTTTTTATTTACATTTTGCACAGCGTCCCTAACTTTTTTGGAAATAGGGATGTTTTTAACTCATGCAAATATGGACCAAAAAAAAACCCACAACAGATGTTCAAAGGACACAAGAGTGAGTGGAAAATTCAACCAAGCATTTGGTTGACACATAGCACACTTGTGATGGTGAATAAGTGAATAAACAAAGTAATAAGCAGAGATAGGTAGAGCAGCCTAAATCAATACTCAAGTAAAACTATAGATGCCTGGGTAAAATAATGACACAAGTGAAAGTACCCTCCCAAAAACAACTTGAGTAGAAGTACAAAAGTATCAGGTCAAAAACTACTTAATTACTAATAACTAACTAATAGATCTGGATAAGAAACTAACAGATCTGGAGTAAAGCTTCTTAGTAAATCCAGCATTCTCAGCATAGATACTGAAGATTAAGTTCTGTTCTTCTTCTTCTTTTGGAATTCCCTTGGTCTAAAATAAAATGCTACAGCTATATTTAGTTTAACTTTGACATTGATCTGCTGAAATGCTCTGTGCTGCCTTAAAAATAGCTTATGATGCATGCTTGCTTTCATGAGTGTCCTTCTTTCTTCCAGCTTTTGTGACATCTGTAGCTGGTTGGACTGCAGGGTTTGTGCTGGTCGGACTGGGTTTGCTGATTATCACAGCCAGCCTTGCCTATACTGGGTTCTTCTGCAAGCTGAAGAGAAGTCTGCCCAAAACTCTGGTAAACCCTGAAACCCAACTAAACACCTCAAAAACTCAGCTGCACCATTATAAAGCTCTGTGCATTCAAGAGCAGAATTCACTACAGCATGTTAATCAGGGCACATTTCAAGCTAGAACAAATGAACACCTCCCAGATTGGGTTCAACTTCTGTTTTGACACTCTGTATACAGACCATTCTACCCAATTAGTTCAAACTGCAGTTCCAAAGTAAAAGGTTACCCAGACCTTTGATATAAACAAGGATTGTTATGATCTACTTAAACCCAAGGCATTAATAGAGATTACTCATTAAAAAAATCTTTGTAGTCTTATTTTTCCGTGGTGGTGATATAAACAGACGTCTGAAGAGTTTAATCCACCATTTTTGCAAATGTTCTGTGCAAATCATTGTTTGAGATGTAAACAGAGTTATTCGGGGTGGTGAAATGGTTCGTTAGAGAGACTCGGATTTCTTTACAGTGGTGGTGATAGGAACTAGAGGTTATCTTGTCTACAACACAAATATAGCCATTTTATTTACTATACAAACCACCAGTGAACGTACACATATCTTCTGAGTTTTTATAGAATGTTGTTAATAATAAAATAGTGGATAATCTGCAATAAGTTTTCTTTGGGGACTATTTTGCCTCGCAATGCCCTGCATGTTTCCCTCCACTATGAATGGATTTTAAGGCCAAAATCTTCTCAAAACTATTGTAAAACAATGTCTCAGACATCAGGCAGTGTACCATAACCATTTTATAACCTTTTCATGTAATAACTTTGAGGGAGCTTTTTATTTTTATTTTTTATTTTTATTTTTAAGATGGATGTCTGGTTCCTGTCACCACCACTGTTGACAGTTCTGACTCTGTTTTTCTAGAACTGAGCATTTCACACCAAACCACTCTGAATGGCTTTGTTTACATCTTAACCCATTAATTATGCAGGAATTTAGGGAGCTTTTAGCTTAATGAATGCAGAGGACTGTTGATAAATGACATGGAGGTAGTTTTAGATTTATTAGGCTGGGCATGGAAATTAGATTTTTTTATTGAAAATAAGGAAACAAAACTAAAAGTAAAGTGAGAGACTGTAACCTGTTAGTTGTATTAATATTTTCCACTGCCATTCCCACTGTGTGTGCATGCACTTTAATGGAGTACCATATAACTGCAATAAACCTGTACTTTGGCTCACCACACCTGCACCATGCTAATGTGCTTTCATCACTGTATCTCTGATAAACAGACTCCGCATCTCCACATTAATAGGGATATATGCCAGGATCAGGTGGCATTTAGAAATGAGTATTGTAAATGAGTACATATGTAGATAATATTATGGGAAATATATTGGATATAGTTAAAATTCTCTAAAAAAATATAAACTTTTTTAGGAAAAGTTGGTAAGTGGCAAACTGGAATGTTCACAATAAGATTACTTCTTAATATGATGATAAAGTTAGCACAACATTCTGGTCTTTTTCACTAATGGTATAAACATTCTGTTAATTTCTCCAGTATCATATCAGATAAACTATAGGCATCTGCACTGGTTAAGTCTGAATTTTTTCAGACTTTTCAGAGTAATTGGTTTGGTGTGAAATGGTTCATTGTAAAGATTTCTTACTGGTGAGAGGAACCAGGGGTCACATGTCTACAACACAATTATAGCCATTTTATTCACTATCTAGCTATCACTAGATACTCATTTTATTCACTATCACTAGCTTTTATATGGAATGTGTTTTTTCTTGCATCCCTCTCCGACATGAATTTATTAAAAATACATTTTAGATCAAACTCTTCTCAAAACTATTGTGAAACAACGTCTCAGACATCAGGCAGTGTGTTCATAATCATTTCATGTAATAACTTTTTGTGAGGGAGCTTTTTACAAATTTACACAGTTTTGCATTTACACAGAATATATTTGATCATCCAAAACACTGTGTGAAATATATCAAAATCATCACTCGCATCAAATCAGGGGTGCACTTGCCATTTTAAAATTGTACTTGTTTAAATTGCGATTTATATTAACAATCAATCTTTCGGCCTTGGTGATATGGCAAAAGCTTGTCATACTCCAAGAAATGACTAGAATGATTTCTAACATTTATATACAGTGTCAGAAACCAGTGGACAAAAATCTATTCAGACACTTCAGCCATTTTTTGTTAAATATTAATAATAAATTAAGTTATTTAGCTCAATTCACAAAACAAACAATATGAGATTTGTTTAAGAGAAAAACACAGACTGATAGGAGACTCTGTGTGGAGAAGAACTTCGACTATACTGCACTAAGGGTTCTGTAAAGCACAGTGGAAAGGTCAAGTTTAGAGTAGAAGTAGGCATTATGGAAAAAATGAAATATCAAAATTTCATAATACATCATGATATGTCGTGCATATTTTTTTGACATCGGATAAATTGGAAAAGACGTAAAATTATATCAAAACAATAAATACTGTAATTTAATTCAATATGTCACATAATATGCTATCACAGATCTAATAAAACAGGACTAATTATGCTCTCATTGTAACCAAACATGCTTTTGGCAAGGGACTGGCAATACCAAACATATGCTCAGAACATAACATTAAATATGTTCAGATTGCCTAGCCCTGTTCTGGAGCTGTTTTTGTTACAGTAGTGTCAGTAAGCCTGTGTTCATTGATGGGATTGTGAACTGAAAAATTTACGTCTTTTTGGATGCAAAGAAACTGCTTAAATGACAAGAGACTGAAACTTCTGAAAGAATATTTTGCTTTAAAGAAAATTACAGTCCTGTAATGGCCTAATAACCGCCACTTGGTTTGGTTTGACATTTTGTTTCGTAACACAACAAATGTAATACATTTTAAGTATGGCGCAAATGTCCTAATATTTTTTGGGGGGGGCACTGTAAGTATTGCAAGTGGGGTAATGGAAAAATTGAGCAACCTTTCACCAAAATATTACATTAATCTAACCTTCTCTTTTTATCAGATGGATTTTGTGTCCAGCAGCTACCTTTCACCAGAGGAGATCATTATTTCGGTAGCCAAGTACTACGAAAAGTCAAGCAAACCTAAACATCTTCATCAGTTTGAGGAGCGCTGGCATGAGGAAGAGGTTAAAGAAAACAGGAACTGCAGGGTTGGTCCTTTTGTTGCATCTTCTTCATGTCTGAATTACAGCTGAATGTTCATTTCAGCTCTAGAATATTCACTACGTTGCCTTCTTTTTAAATTTGAATTTATTTACTTTTACTTTTCAATTAAGTAAAAAAAAAAAGTCAATTCAAAAACATTTAACCAACATAAGAAAACAAAACATTTCAACAACAATAAAAGACACACATAGTTATGTTATCGTGGACACTGCAATTTACTCAAACTAATTGCAGTTTCACCAGAGATTTTTTGATGTGCATGTCAGCTCTGCTTTCACAAGCTCCCACTTTCCTCTCACACTCTGATCACGTGATACAGTCCCTACTCTGAGTGAAGCTTATAAACAATCACAAAAGCTGCAGCAGGGCAGATGAAGGAGCACAGAACTTTTTCTTCCTCAAAAAGGTGAAAACTCATGTCCCACCTGGCATGGAGAAGTAAAAAAAAAATAAATAAATAAAGCTCACAAAAACATACATCTGATATGCATACACTTACAAGCTTTGTGTAAATGAAGTAAAAGGCATGAAGACATCTTAAACTTACCTTTACTTAAGAACCTGGTTTTACAAGTTGTGTATGTATACAACATTACCTGAATTTCAAGCTTCGTTTGTCTGAAGTCCGTGTGTAGACTGAGCAAAGTGAACCCTCCCGTTCTTAGCTTGATGCTAAGATGTAATGGGGAATCTCATTTCCCTTCTAGCAGAAATTAGCATTCCCATCATGAGTGTTTTTGATGAACAGAGGCTGCTAAAAAAGTGAAAGTTTTGACATTAAGCATTGTTAGAAAAAGTGCGGGATGTTCATGATGATTAAAGGATACATGGCTATGCTATTTAATGTTGGTACAGTACAGGTTCTAGTAGTTTGTTCCATGGTGTATTTTATTTTGGAGCAGATTCACGGCTCTTGGTAAAGGTCTCACTGTAGCAGTACTAACTGCTAATAGTGTTGCATTTTGTACATTAAAAACTTTACTTACATACCTCTATTGTTTGTTAAAGCAATATTGTAAAGTCAAAACCGTCATATAATCCTTAGTGGCAGGTTTTGTCTATATAGTAATTTGACAGCTTTGTTTTTCAAATTATTTTTAAAAGTACTTAGTAAAACTGTTGATTATTAAAAATGAAAGAAATTAAGATTCATGCTCTACCTCTCTCAGCAGAATGATGATCATGATGACGACGAAGATGATGATGAGAAAGAGAATGACTGTGTCTACATGTATCGACCCACCAATGACAGTGTTTCCTCAGCCACCAGCAGTGGACAAAGTTCTGCTAGCACAGCCATCACTCTCTGCGCAGAGTCAGAGAATTCTGGGGGGTGTAGTATTGAAGCAGAACAGACTGCTTTCAGTGGCGTAACACTCTCTCAGCTTCAACACAGCGAGGTCACAAATATCACGCAGGTCGGTTTGAGTAATTTGAGAGTAGAAAAACCAAACCCTTCCAAGTCGAAAGAAGCAGAAACGGCAGGAGGGCAAATGAACAAGGCAGGAGGCACTTCTACGAACATTAACCTGTTCTCAGTGACACTGAAGTCTCTGCAACTAGAGGAGGAAGTGGTGGATGAAGCGTGTAATGCTAAAGAGATTAGCAGGCCTCTTTTACCTCTGTTGCTAAGAGAACTGGAGGAAGATGCACTCTACTTTTCAAAGCCACAAACAGGAATGCCCCCTTTAGTGGGACTTCAGACACACAATCAGTCACAGAGAAACTCGCAGACAGACGTACTGTCACAGCTGAAAGACTCCTCTGAGACACAAACGGGATATAGGGCCATGCACACAGGCAGAATGGACCCAGAAAATGACTGCTTATTGGATGAAGAGGAGGAGGAGGATTTCTCAGGTTATATGGGACGATAAAGACGACTTAATTGTGTCCTTGGTAATAGGACTCGTACATCTACTCATTGGCCACCTTCTGAGCCCCACCTAACCTGTCAGTCCACAATATAGGTGTACAATCACAAACTGTAGTAATGTGATCTCATGACAAGAATGGCACAACCATGAGTGTTTTTGCCTAAATACTGGGGGAACGTAGACCTGTTAGGGTCGGAACAAACCAAGCATGAAATTTCTGAACCAATCCAACATCTCTTCAAGGCGGAGCTCATAGCAGGGGCCCTGGTGCACTCGTCAACATTGTCTGATGAACAACAAGCCTGCCGTTAGCTTCTGAAAGAGTATTGAGGGGAGGGGTGTATTTGTTTTGCTGTAAGATCAATATCAACGATCTTTCTCCAGTACTCACACTATGCCCAGTTGCCTTGTACTGTGCCCAAGCACGATTGTCCCCTCCCCACTTCCCAGCTGGACTGTGCTCACATTGCGCTTAACGTTCCACGGCCCTCTCACGTTATACAGATTTATCAATTATGCAATGCAGAAATATTCTGTTAATTGTGTTGCACATATAAAAAGATTTTTACAGAGGTAGTTGACATTAAGGAAGAATTTGCGGCTTTACTCGCCAACTATACTTCATGTTCTTCAATAAGGTGAGAACCATTTTTAACCCATATTTCGCATCATTGACATCAAGTTTGAGTTCCATGCTCGGGCATGGTTAGCGATCACGCTAGATGCATACTGTGCCCATATCCAACTGAACGGTACAGTACAGAGCGATGCTAGTCAACAAACTAGACTTTTGGGGTAAAACATGCTTGGGTATGGTACGGATCACCTAGTGTGAGTACACTCTTACTGCGTCTTTTACAGTGTACAACTACAGTGATTTTTTTCGATGTTTTACAAACTGTGTTGCACGAAATTCAATTGAACAGGCCTAAATATGCTCACTTTGAAATTAAACATGTAGTTAGTCAGCATTCTAAGTACTGACGACCCCTACGATATGCTCAGAAAAGGGTATTGTGACTTATCACGAGAACAATTTATCTCATTTTGCCCACCACTAGTGCAGTCTCTATCTGTACACCAGCAAGGTGGAGCTACCAGCTAAAAGGTTTTATAATAAGTGGCTCTTGAGTGGATGTATTATATATCTGAGGCAGTGCTCACTGAATGTATCTTTGGCCAAATAAAGGCACTAGCCTTGTAGCCTCCCTGTGCCCTCTGCTGGTTAGAGCCGGCTTCTTTATCTAAATTATTAAATGGGACACTTGTTGCAAGCAATGGACTGTATTTAAAATGCTACAAGTAATATTTTATTGTCTGGTGGTATAATGATACGTAATAACATAGGTACTGCGGCCTATTAAGTGACTTATCGATGCTCTGCCACAAATGTTGTTTCTTAGCAGCTGTTGCCAGGTTTACAAGCTTTACAGAACTTTGACAAAAATGGCATCGAGTCTATTTATAAATTTCTCAGTTTCATGTAAATACTAATTCACATTAGTCTGATACAATGTTTAGAAGTGCTGCATTCCCAAACTAGGTTGTAAAAGATGAAGACAAAATTTGCAACCATGCTAAGGTTAGTATTGATTATGCAACCAAAAGAAAACCTAATAAATACACCTAACGTCATATTCATGCAAATTAAACATTATCTGGTATTCTGACAGAAACTGAGTTGTATGCTTCTATGAAACAAGTGAAGCATGGATTGGTCCGTAAGTTATGCTGTTTTTGCCTATTGTTGATGATGATGATAGACATGCATAACTCTAAGGCCTGGGTAATGTGGCCAACAAGTGTTCCCCGTATCACTTAAAATAACTAATTGTCTTTTTTTTATGGTCAGTTTTAATCTGTATTTTTAACTCTTAAGAAACCAAAAAGCCTATGAATATATGACAAAAACAGTAATTATAAATTAAAAAATGTTCTCAGGACAATTGGTCTCATTCACTAATTGTTTTTAAGGAGAAAATTAGTCCACTTACACAGTTTTCACAAAGATTCTGACGTTTTTTTTTTGGGGATTTGTTCTTAGGTAAGAACAAAATCTGTGCACACTTGAGAGCAAAAAGGTACGAACAGTTCTGTGGTTTAAGAGCATGTCATGAATCTGACAGACTTTTTTTAGGGCCTTTTCTCAAGAACAAATTTAGGGAAAAATGAAGGTCCATTGTCTAATTTAGCTTTTTAACATCACACATTTAAAATATACATAATACGAATACAAATGAAAGGGAAAATAAAGTTGGAGAGCATGTGGCCTTTTGCAGCAGCAATGAAAATAGCTTTCTAGCTAACTCTGCTAACTATCTTGCTAGTTTGTGCAAATAGAGGGTTAAAGGTACATGGCACCATTTAGTGTTCTGCAGTAGCAGTTGTTCAGGGTTCATGTCTTTGCTGCTAATACTGGATTGGGGAATTGACTGATGAAAATGTTTTATTGAAAAAGTGCATGTCGATAACAAAAATTTTGATAATTTTTGATAATTGACATTATGGCTCCATAATCCCAGCCTAATTGATATTTAATAGGACTTACAATGTTTAATAGGGCTTACAATAATTAGTCCTGCCATGAAAAATTCAGAAAGGAACTCCTGAGTGCTGTCTCTTCTTTGTTGTAATATTATTAAGCATAATACAGAATTTAAATTCTGCAAGTTCAACTTGAATGTATAATGTATGGTTTTTATGTACTGTTTACTAAATAGAATCCAAGAAGTAAAATAAGAAGTATCCAGTGCATTTAAGCAACATAGAGGCTGTGTTCCAGTTTCTAAGCTGCATTCTTGTGTTTGTTGAATTGTACTGTCCAATACAGAGGTCAGATCTGGGCCTATATTCACCACATTTCTCAGAGCAGGAGAGTTAAGCCTTGAATCCGGTTTCTGGTCCTGGATTTCGTAATCTCTGCTTGCTGTGCCGCACGTTTTGTGTTTTAACTGCTCTAAAACAGCCACTTAAGCTTTGTTAATTAGCTGTTAATTAACTAGTTAGTGTTAGTTTTAGCTGTAAGCTGCATTAGAAGTTTGGACAGTGATGGTCATCCAGGATTGTGTGCACTAGCTAAGTGATATGCGGGAACAAGTGTGCTGATAGGAGTGCAGCCATTCCACAGACCCTCTGACATTTGTATGTGTATAATATCCATACAGTAATACAAACCCAATTCCAAAAAAGTTGGGACAGAAAGCTAAATCCAAATAAAAAAAAAAACCTTTTTTGAACAAAAAAAGACAAGATATGTAATGTTTTATCTTGACTGTTTTTTGTAATTATATGCTCTATTTGATACTGACAGGAGCCCTGTAAGACTAGGAATGCAGTGAAATGTTCAAAAACCATCTTAAACTGCTGAAGGAATCATACTTGGGTATAAAAACGGAGCATCAACGAATGCAAATGACAACACTGCAAATAAAACATTCTGCATGTTTTACAACAGACTGCTTTGTAATCAGAGAGTGCTGGTGCTAGACTGGCCTGCCTCAAGTTCAGAAATGTCTCCCATTTAAAATGTGTCTTATTAAACTCAAAATCTGACAACAAAGGTCTTATACGGTTGCACATCCGAATACTTGTATAACAGAAGAATCAAGAATGTCAAAAAAAATCTGCTTTCAAAACTGGATCAGTTTGTGTCTTCAGTCCCCAACGATTATTAAGTCTTGTTAACAGGAAAGTGGTAAACATGCTCCTGTCCCAACTTTTTTGGGAAGTGCTGCAGGCATCAAATTTACAATGAGGGTGTACTTATAAAAATACTGTTTTTTATTCTCTCTCAAAATAAAGATCTAGCATCTCGCAATAATGAGACTGTACCTCAAAATAGTGATACAAATATTGATTATCTCAAAATAATGACTTAGCATCTCAAAATAATGAAATATCTCAAGATAATGACTTAGTATACAAAAATAACGGCATAACAAGTCAGTTAATAATAATAATAAGACTAATATAAAAAGTACTGGATTTTATTTATAAATTTATTGTTAATTTAAGTGGCAGGAATGGCCTTCCATAGATGTTTTTCCTGTTTACAAACATTACTGGGTGTGCACAGCCAGGCGGCAAAACTGCTTTGGTAAACTAGCCAGTCACAAGATTGTAATATTAGTCAACTGTTGTATTGTTTATACATACTTGGTGACTCAATAATAAAATACCAGTTCTGAGTTGAATCTGTTTGTCTTTCATTTGGATATTAATATGACATTATGTAATTGCTACCTAACTGTTGACTATTAGCATCGGCTAGTCATGAGGTCTCTATGAACGCCCCACTGAGTTTGCGATTCACTAAATGTTTAACTAATAGGACCTTTCCAAATCACACAAACATTTATAAGCTTAGGACATTTAGTAAGAATTACGCCTAAATTAAAGTTACCTGGTTTTGCTGTTAGTTGAGTCTGTCTGTCCTCTCCTTATTTTACAATATCAAGAGCGTAGTTAGTGTCGCTAAGCTAAGGACAACAGTTGGTCAATTATCTAGTTATGGCTATGACCTACTGAACAAAAACAATATTGTTTAGTTTAGCTGTCGCTGATATAGGTCACTCACAGTGCTAACTTAACTTAATTATTACATAACTATCACGTGAACAACATGCAAATTCTTACAGAGACGGTGGAGCATTAAGTCCAACGGCCACAGCCTCCAAGCCCAGCAAAATACGACAAATAACCGTTCTGAAGTTTAATTCTTGCTTTTTACTGAGAATATTTGGCGTATAGTGAAGTTACTTCACAGTAAGCACGATGATCATGAGTACGGTGTTATTTCAGCAGAGAATAATGTTAAAATTACAGGAAAGTTCTGGGTGAGTGATTAGGAAACTATGTTAGCCATTTAGCTCTTTTCACCCTTCTTCATTGAGCAGTTGTTCGCGGGCGCCCTCTGGTGTTTAGCAGTCATGTTTTTGACATAACGGGGAAAATATGAAGAGGCCAGGCTCCACATATACCGCCTCCTCTAAGTTCCCTGGTGATGCTTTCTGTTGCTTTCTGTCCCCTGGATGCGCGCATGTCTGTGATGACGTTGCAAGAAACCCGTCTACACGTATCCGAAGACTTTTATTGTGAAAAATAATTCGACTGACCTGGGAGTTGCAGGCAGAGAGCTTACAGCGAACTACAAATCACTCTAGCAAGACATTTCCGAGAAATAAGGATCAACTGCTCAGTAATGACATATCTGATCCTGCACCGCGGCTTCCTCCGAGTCTTCTCAGAACAGCCTGCCTGTTTGTTTGTTTGGAGCGTTCAATCCCCGGTCATAGCTGATTATAGGCAACTCGAGTAAACTTAGCATGCTTGGACATAGCAAGTAATTAAGAGGTGAGCGGGTTAGCTCCGTTAGCCGCGGGATCATGAGCTGCAGCTTATTATTCTAAAAATCATTCACCTTAGTTATTTGATGTGTTATAGTGGTGCTGAGATGTCCAGAAGAAGGAATGGTGTGTAAAGGAGAAGATGAGGGGAATTCAACTTTGTGGAAATGAACAATATCCAATTTCCGCTACTTCTCACTGTCGTTCTGCCCGTCTCAGGTCTGTAGAACAATATTAAATCTAACCATGTCCTTCATTTTAAAATTGCCCGTTTAATATTCAGAATAACAAGTAAATGGTGACAATATAGTTATTATAAGGTTTATTACAAGGCTGAATTTGGCGTCCTATTCGCCAGCTTCTTGTTCGAGTTTTCCAGTTCCACCTTAAATGGTGCAGCAGTTTATGGTGCCATAAGAGGCACCAAAATGTAACTGCTGCACCGTTTAAGGTGGAACGAGAAAATTCGAACAAGTAGTTGGCAAATACGGAAGTGAAAGTAGTACGTATTACAGAAGAATTATGCACGTAGTATTACTGTTGGTGTTTTTGTTGTTAGAGATATTTAATACTGAATTATAGGTTGAATCTGAGATTTTTTTTTGGGGGTTATTTTTAAAGTATTTTTAGGAGGGAGCGGTAATTTACATAGGTTTTAAAAGAATATGCTATTCTTAAAATAAAACAACACTCTTATAGGAATGATTTCTGTTAGGTAAATGGAAAAGCAATTTTTCCAAACTGTTTCCAGGAGTGCTTCAATCATTATATGTATTGTGCATGTATTTTATATGATTGATTTTTGTTTTTGGCCAGTTTCTTGGGGGTTCCAATAATTCTGGAGTTGACTGTATAAAATGTGTAGTTTGTGTAGTGTGTAGGCTGATGGATCTGGTTTATTGGCTTAGGTCAGGGGTGTACAATGGCCAGATCGCACATGTCAAAATACCTGAGGGCCGAAATATTATTCACACATGATTCAAAGTATTAAGTTTTTGAAAATATCAGCGCACAGAATCTGAGCTCTCTGTGTACTACCATATTTCGTGTAACTGTATAAAAGATGCATGAGCCTTTTTTATTGGACCGGTTAGTTTTGACTAAATCTCATTCACCTAATTAAGCTACAGGTCTGATCAGAGAAGAAAGTCTCTTAAACTTTAGCTAACTTTGTTTCCACAGTGTGTTTCACTCTGATTTTACAGTGCTGCTGTCACATCAAGTGAAAGGAAAATCTGAGATGTACTGGCAGGCAGGTCACTTATAACACACTCTTATAACAAACAGAATCCAGGGGCCTGTTTAAATCTGTCCGTGGGCTGTGGGATTGGACTAGGTAGCCTACCCTGGCCTAGGTAGAGGTTGCATGTAACCTCATTTATTAAGTTGAGTTTGTAATACAAGTGGGCCAGTTTCAAAATTAATTGAGTGATTTTAGAGCAATAACATTGAATAGAAACATAGAACAGATTCTAATCATCTCTTGTCCATCCTCTCTCCATGTTTATTGCAGTGTTGTGCGTTCACCTGCCCGCACCTGTGAAGCTTTTAATGAATTCTCAGCACTTTGTCCACCTTTTGACCTGGGAGGCTGGACCAGGGTCTCCTGAAGGTGTGCATTACACTGTGGTGTTTCGTACGCGCAGGTATGTTTTGCTGCATGATTTGAACTAAGATGTTTAACAATGCAGTATGTTTCTTTAAACCACTTTAAATTTGCAGAGAATACATACACTGAATTTAATTGTAATATTTATTTTTTGATCTATATAAATTATTTTAATTTAAAATTTTAAGTCTCATTTTTGCATGGTTCAGTGTTTAATAACTAGAAAAAGAAAGCCCAGGTTATCCCAGGTTGTTGCTAATGTGTTATGTGGTTGCAATAGTATTTTAGTTGGTTGCTAGGTTGTTTCTAGGTAGTTGATATGGTATGCAAAGTGGTGCCTGTGTTCTCACATTGTTGCCAAAGTGTTGCCAGGAGGTTGCTATGGTATTTTAGGTGGATGCTAGGGTGTTGCCTAGTAGTTACTGTAAAGCCCAAAGTGGTTTCCAGGTTGTTACTATTGTGTGGTTGCTGTGGTATCCCAGGTGATTGATAAAATGTTTCTAGCATGTATGATGGTGACAAAAATGTTACTGTAATGACTTACTATACTGAGTGTATTTTGTTTCTAGAGGCGGGGGCAAAAAACAGTTGACGTTGCTTTGTGCACCACTGTTGCAGAGCTTATATTAAATTTGTTTACAGTTTATCTTTCATTCTTATTAAGTTAATTACTTTTTCATTGTTTTTATGACGAAGTGCCATCAGCACTAGAGACCACTTGTCCCTCTCTATTGGCCTGAGGACCACCCAAAGTTTCTTTGTGGCCCAATTGTGGACCGAAACCTTATCTATGATCTATAAAACTCTACAAAAGTACAGACAAAATTCAGACTTCTACTTCTGATGATGTGTCATATGGTGTTGGAAACACATCAGCAAGTCTGTTGTATGAAGTTTTAGGTATGACGTTTGATACTCAGTGTTGGGCTATATGCTTCTGCTACTTAGCTACTTTAGCCTCATAGTTCCAGTGCAGAACTAAGGTAGCAAACTCTGGACACCAAACATTTCTTGGCTGATTGACTACATTTGTGGGTAAAACAATAGAGTTTTTGCTCCAAACTATTTCTCGAAATAGTTGATTTATATATTTATTCGGACTCTCTTGCCTCCCTCTGTATTTATGAACAGTAAAAACTGGATGACTGTGGAGAGTTGTGAGATGGTACGTTCCCCTTTGTGGTGCAATCTGACTGAGGTTCTGTCAGATCCATATGAGACCTACTACATCAGAGTGTCTGCACACCTGGGGAATCTGACGTCTGTACCCACCAACTATGAAGAATTCATCCCTCTCAAAGACAGTGAGTAAACAGCTGACTGAGAAGGAAACACATTCTCCGTGGTAACAGCAGTTTTTGCAAAACTGAGAACAAGAGTACGTTGAATTATGAAAAATGCAGGTATGAAATATAGTAACCGTCCAGCCACAGGCCTCTGTGAAACTTTCAAAAAGTGATTTAATAAGTGATTCTAATAGCCACCTGCGAGAACTGGTAGACTACCTAAACTCATCCTCTACAGAGAACATTTTAATGTACAATTGTTGTTTATTTGCTGAATTTAAAATATTTGAGAAAAAATAAAACAAAATAAAAATAAAAAATAAAAAAATATTTTTTCCAAAATGTTAACCCCTTGAAATCACAGGCTTATTACATTCTAAGGCTTATCACTTAGTAACTACATGGACCACAATACAAACCGGGTGAGTTATTCTTAGGTTGTAGAAGTGTGAAGTGAAACTGCCATTGGGTCCTGCCCTGGCCATTTAAAAGGTTAAACTCAGCAAATAAATAGAAATTGTGCACTAAAAAAATGCAGAGAAATGTCATCTTTGTGTTAAGTTAACTTATTTTCATTTAGAAAATCAATAAAACATGTCATTAGACTCTGGGGTGTTCAAACTTTTGCATATAACTGTATTAAGATTGTATATAGGTCTTGCAGGTTTCATTCTAAACAAGCAGGAGTTTACCTGAATCCGTATGCTTAATCAGCTGTTCTGAGTCTTCATTTCTGCTTGGTTTGGAATAAAAACCTGCAGCCACACCGGCCCTTTCGGGATAATACTGGACCCCCCTTTAAAGCATTCACAAATGGCAATACTAATAGACAAGTTATGGTTGTGTGATGAATATTTAATGGTGTTCAGAAGAATATATATTTGTAAAAAAACAAACCTAGATGTCCTTTTGTGTCTCACAGCTGTCCCAGAACTGCCTTCACTGACCGTCTCTCCGTGTAATGAGTCTGTGTGCGTACATCTTCAGGCTCCATCTGAGAGGCTGCGTAATGCCTATAACTGCTCTCCGTACACAAGCAGATGCTTTAAGTACAGACTTGATGTCAACTCATATGGAGAATTTAAGGTAAAGAAATGGCCTTCATGATTTCTTGTGTATTTATTCAAATTTATGGCAGCAGGATGCTCTCTATTATCTGTGGTTTTGTAGGCGATATGGCAAAAATATCACGATACTTCATTTATTAATTTTTTAGACATCTGATCAGTTGGAACTGAGGAAAAACCAGTAGTGCTACATTAAAAAAAAACCAAAAAAAAAAACCTCAAAAACCATGAGCATACTGATTTTTATTTGATATTTGGCGTAGTAAATCCAGTTAAATGGGACTAGTATTGCTCTCTTTATAATGAGTCTGTATTCTACAAGTTGATATGTTCAGAAAAGCATATTGTATAGTATTGTGGCATAATTTATCCTGATAACAATATATATTTTCATATTACCCAGCCCTAGTTTTTTGTTATGTTTTTATGCAGAACTTTGAGACAAAGAATGCTGTTGGTCTTTTCTGTTGAAAGATTTTTGAAATGATTTTTTCTGCCATTTTCCTCTGTAATCTTCTGTAAATGGCCTGTAGTGCATTTACAAAAATGTTACAACTCTAAAAAACACTAAGTATGTGTTAATGGGACACGTTTTGAAAAAAAGAAAAGATGCATACAAATCAAATAATTACTTTATGGAAATTATTTATAGTGTCGTTGTCCATGTTTTTTTTTTTAGATGTTATACAGAGATTCTAAGAATTATGTAAAAACCTTTTGGTAAACAACTTCAGTACCTGTTTTTTCATTTTCAAAGGTGAGACGTCAGCAGTTAACGCAAACAGTAGTTTATTGTTGGTCATGTTTGGTGGGTTTCATATATATATATATATATTTTTTTTTGTTTTTGTTTTTTTTTTGGAAACTGGAAACTTTTTAAAAGCGATCTGGCAACCCTGTGGTCTCCCACCGATCTGAGCCCCAGCAAGTAGGTTATTTGTTGTCGGATTCTACTATGAGCGATGAAACTTAATCTACGAGAATGTGACTGCTAGCGGTCCACCTTAAAGCTGCACTTTGTAAGTTTTGGCAAATTTGGGGAATTTGCAACCTCTCTGGTAGAGTTTTGGAACTGCACAAAACATGCATAAGAACATTTTGTGACATGGGTTGTGCTGTGGTCCCGTTCCCCGAGCGGGATCTATCTGAGAATAATGTTGAGTTTGGTTTATCAAACAACAGAGGACAAAAACACACAAAAAAAACAGTTAGCAAAGTAATAGGCAAATATTAGCGAATTAGCCAGTCATTGTTAGCTATACAGCTAAAGCAACTTCACAATTACAAGGTTGCATTGCATTATGTTCCAAGGGTAACATTAAATTGTACAACAGTAATAATCTGGCTGGCTATTTTCGGTAGCTACCTAGCTAACAAACAACCAACATGCCTGTCCAGCAATAAAATTTAGCATCACGCCTGATCACAGAGGTCCTGGAGCTGTCTCCACCTCTGAAAAGCCAAGCTAATGTTGATTCTGGTCTTAGACTAAGCTCTTTCTTCAGTTCTGCATTTCTTTGCATTGACCATGGGTGACACATCATATTTTAGCAGATTTTTCTTATTCTTCTTGACTGAGTAATGGGATTTCTTTCAATTTTAACAATTCTTACGTAGTGCAGCTTTAACTATATGAATAAAATGTTATGTTGGCTTAGTGTTACTTCCTCAACATCAGATCAGACTCAGTGTTTCCCCTCAATTGTACTTTACAGGTGTGACACATGCAACTCATAACGGGAGCTCAGTGTGTAGCTAGCTGTAGGTTACAGATATAATGTTAGTACTAGTCATAAGATGAAAGCCTGAATTGGATCTCTAAAATCAAACCATCAGACAGCTTGTTCTCCAATTTGCACTTTTTGCCCCCTATTCAGGGAGCTGCCGAGAAGAGCGAAGTGGTCTGTTTTTCTTTGGGGGTGCTCTCATTCTTCATAATCAATCGTGTAGGGCTGAACCAACAATTAGCATTGTTTCTGGTGTCACTCTCCTGCTGCCACTGGCGCAAGGTTGTTTGTTTCCAACGATGTCATCATTTTGTGTGCCGCAGCAGCTCAGAATTCTTAGAACATTTATCAACTATTAAATTGTATTGCTTTACAAATGTTTCTTGAATATGACACAGGTGAACACTTTAGTAGCATTTCTTTACAATTGAAAAAAAATGTTAAACATTTGAAGCTATGTTGACAGGAACTTTGAAATTTAAATAACGCTTAAAAGTCAGCTTGGGAACTGAAGTTTGTTAGACGATATTCTCTTTTTTTTTAGGATCCTTGTTGGTGTAAAATAAAATGGTCATTGTCTCTTACAGATTTGAAATACTTTGGTGCTGAGGTGGGGGTTTGCGGGGGGGACACCGACTTTGAAATATTAAAAAAAAAAACGAAAACCAAAATTCATAACAATAGCCTTTTTATAACAGCAAACTGAAGAGTTTTTATGATGGAAGAAAAGGAAAAGAGGTAAATACTTGTCCAAAACGAAGGCAGGCTGTAGACTCGAAAAATGTCTTCTACACAAATATGACTGAAATGTAATTCTCTAAGATAAAGCTATTTTTGTGACTCTTGCTGTCCTACTGGAAAAAGTAGATTCATTTCCTGATAAATATGAGTATATATAAATGTATTTTTTTAAAGTATAAATCTGTATGTACATGTAACCATACAAACAGTAAAGCACTAGGCACTGTCCATCTCTGTAGATGCATGTTTCTTCCAAACTGATGTCCCTGCGTGTGTGTTTTTGGGTTGTACAGTTCTCGAAGGAAACACAGAGGTTGGGAACTGTGGTTCTAGAGTATCTGGTTCCAGGCCAGCAGTACTGTGTGAGTGTGAGCATCATCAATCGCAGCTCTGCTAACAGCCCAGCTGTATGTACTTCTACAATCATGGCGTCCAACACAGGTAACTCATTTTGTGATGATTAAGCCAAAACATAAACCTGGGGGTGGGCAATATGATGATATTTTATCATTATTGTGATAAATTGTCATAATACACTTTTCCTAGCACATCATGGATATTGTCAGTACAGAATGCTGACTAAGTAGATATTTCATTACAAAGTGAGCGTAATTAGGCCAGTTTAGATTTAGTGCAGCACAGTTCGATACAAATAATTGTAGTTTTAGATTTAATTTTTGTTATTATTACAATGGTATTTTTATATGTAGAACTACATGTTCTATTTTGTCTGTTCCAGCTGAAAATGTCTTGAAGTATTGTGATATAATGTTTTTGCCATATCGCTCATCCCTACATAAACCTGTCCTAAGGTTATTCCCAAAGCCATAGTTTGATGAAAAATTAAATTTACACAGTTGGGCCAAAACATGTTGTTGTTGTTGTTGTTGTTGTTGTTGTTGTTGTTGTTGTTGTTGTTGTTGTTGTTGTGTGTTTTTTTTTTTGGTTTGTTTTTAAAGATAGGCCATCTGGAACGCTGTCTTTCCTGTACTTTTGTCCATTTGTACAGTAGCCACAGTATGTCATGCAGTACCATCTAAAATAAAAGGACCAGAAAGATGTCTATGTGCAATGCCACAGGAAAACCACTTTTGGTTCCCTAAAAAATCAAGTAATGCGTTGTTCATTTGAGAGCCACTTTTGTAAAAGGAGTGAAGAACCTTTTTAAAGTTTTCACACTCGAGTCCGCTCCCAGGACCAGTTCTGGGTTAGTTTCTGAAAGGGGCTCATTATTGCTTGTTTGCATTCACATACACAAGTGCTGTGCTCGGAATCGCTCCCTGTTACAGAAATAGTGTACTATTTAGTGTGTCAGCCATTTTGTTTTTTGTTTTTTTTTAAATCTCAATCATAAATTTCGTTTGATATTTAGTATACCCATACACTATCAAATACCCATAATTTGTTGCCCATTTTAGTGTACAGACAATGTACACTACAAATTCCAGCAGATTAACACGGCGTGTTTGCTGTGTGCTGTATATTCTTAGAGCAGGAGATCACACACAGACAGCAGAGGGCGCTATACAGCATTTTATATACACATGTAAGTAAATATATTTTTAACTAACAAAAACAACAACACTTAGTGACCAGGCAACACAGACTTTATATTAAGCAGTTTTACTGACAGATATAAACTTTAGGAGTCACAAATTGACTAAATTTATGACAGCTTATCAACTAGTGTAAGTCTTTTGCTTGCTCACCTTAAAGTTTCCTCTCAGCGTCCTCATGGTAAAAAATCACTGCATTAGTGAAACATCACAGCTAATGTTAATCATGCATTGCAACATAATATGCGCTCTCACCACCCCCCTCACCCAACAATGATTTATGATTTTTGATTTTTTTTTTAATAGTTTAAGTATTCATGTAATATTTCAAGGTCTACAACAAGTGTCTGTATTTTGCTGTTGGTGGTTTTGTTTTTTTTTTTTGTTTGTTTTTTTGGGGGGGTTTTTTTGTATTTTGAGTAAACAATAGCCATTTCAGGTCATAGCAAAAGGTTATTTAAAAAGGAAATAAAAACATAGGTGTTCTCTGGCCCATGCATTTTTTGAGATTTAATATGGCCTTTTTAGTGGTTAGGTTTGTCACCCCTGATCTAAGGTGAGTATAAATAATATGCTCATACTGACATTATTGGAAGAACTCATGAGTAGAAACAGCTTTCCACAATACACAATGTCCATCTATAGGGCTGCATGCTGATAGTTGATAGTAGTTCCCAAAGGGAAAAATGCTTTTCTATCACATTTTCTTAGTGTTAAGAATAAAGCATCTCAAATGCTCAATTTCTGAATTACTTCTCAATTAAATACTCATCAGGAGAAAAGAGGAGCTTAACAGAATTATTGTAAGAAGTTCTGTAGATAAATGAGAAATTTAGCTAAAGATCTCTTTCTACACTGATAGATGCTGAAAGGTTTCTCAGATGTAGGATTAGAGATGTAGGAATATAGATTTTGAAAAAATACTGGCAGTTGTCCGTTATTTACATAATACTTGAATAGTGAGTGGCAAAAAGGACACAAGGAACATTTTAATTACAGGAAACTTGTTGGCTACAACTGTCAGACAGCTGTCTAGCCTGCTGGTGAATTACAAGCTTGTGACAAAACCATTAGAATGTTAACCATCAAAATACATCTTTAGCTACAGGGAAGTTCACTCGAAAGAGGCCCTAAATATTCTGTTGTAACTCCCATTAGGATGAAGCAAACTGAACCAAAATAATCCGCTACATACCTTGACGTATGTGTAATCGATTGCATTCCATGCGATGCTGGAAGTGATCTCCGTTTTCTGCCAGACACATGAAGGGGTATGGCAGTATGCACCCGGAAGTTGCAAACGGAGGTTAAACGTCAGGACGGCTGTCCGGTGCCTACCTCACTGCTTCGACACGGGCATCCTGGCCTGTTCGAAGCTCCATATACTGAGAAGCTCATTGCACGTTGTTTCGTTCAGATTGCTTTGTCCTAGCAAGAGTCATTAAAGAATATTCGGGGCCTCTTTCAAGTGAATCTCCCTGTAGTTAGACAGCTAGTATTTTCCAAGACCAGTAAGACGAATCAACTGTTCATAGGACTCTCACATGTTTGATTTGCTCTTAACGGACTAATATTTACTTGTTATATATTCACTTTATAACTGGTTTTATTCTGCCCTCTGCCTAGCAGGCTGAACAGCTAGCTGGTTTACAGGCTAATGCTACAATAATAAAAATCATCCTCCAGTCTGAGCAATGGCATCATCTATCGGCCCAACCCTAATGTAAACACTCTAGTGGTGAAGAACAGCTCTTTTTGATTACATGGCATGTCACTGGGACTGAAGCTTAAAAAGGGAAGTTAGCTGATAAGTCAAAGCAGTCATGAACACATCCCCACATGTGGCACCAGGAGCGGATAGCTTCCACATGCACAGCAGACCACACCAGAGTTCACTGGAAGCAAACCCCAGACCACCGCTTTAAGGAGGATCAGAGATCAGTTCTCAGGACGGCTACTGTGTTTGAAAACAGCTTTCACACTCGACCAAACATACCGAACTCACAGAACAAGCAATCCTGGGTCCGGGAAAACTCCAATGTATAAACGCCTTTAAAGAATCACCACATAGTGTAAAGGTTCCACATTGTGTAATTGACCTATTACATTATGTAAACTTTAATCACATCTATATTTCAAACATGGTTCTTAATGGGACCAAAAGGGATGCTTCTAAGGGATCACTCATAAAACCATTCATGGCACTGTTTGTTTAACAGTGTAAGGCGGTCAAAGTTAAATTTTGAATATTCATCCACATTTAAATGTAGAAAATCTCCATTCAAAAGTTGAAAGCTATCTGCTGCGGCTCCTAGCTCCGGGAGTTCATACAATATCACACACAACATCTGCCGTACTTACAGAAGAGCATGGCTGTGCTGACTGTAAGTAAAAAAAAACAACCAAAAAAACAGTTATGGCTCTAATGATTAAAACTGATTACTTGATGAAAAAATGAATCGACATAAAATTACCTACTTGAAGAATTGGCTGAGTGATTTGTTAGCAGTTTGAATAATAAACAGGGTATTAGCACATCATTATGAAGCCATGTTTATGTAGAGCTGCCCTAAGTACTGTTAAAGCACATGTAGGAGGTGAAGGTACACCACTGTTAGCTTGGTGCTAACATAACGCCATATAAAGTCTCGCAGAAGCTATTTGAAATTAGTGTTATCTTAGTGGTGATACTTTAAAACAAGTCAATTTGAGATTAATTAACAAAAAGTGGTTTGAAGCAAATGTGTAATGATTTACGAAGCTAATTGGTGGGCTATAAGCTTCCATTACTCATTTGCTTTACATTAGCTTTGTAGCCCAGTGCGAAACATGTCATGGCTGTGTTTAGAGTAGTTTTTTTTTTTTTGTTTTGTTTTGCAGAACCATTCATTTAAACTTGGTATTTAAACCTGTTTCTTCCCGTTTTAGATGCTGTGATTTCTGTGGTTACGTGTTTAGCGGTGCTGTTGTTCTGCGTAATCTTTGGTCTGCTGTTCATCTCTGGGTTCGTCTGCCTGAAAACCCACCTACCCCGCGTTCTGGTGAGACACAGAATTTTCCCTCTCTTTGTTTGGTTTGCCCTCAGCATTTTGAGACATATTGCCGCTGTTAGAGCAAAACCTTGTTTCTCCATTTTGTATTTTTACATAATTTGCCAGCTGTTTTACATAATTCCAACTGTTGTTTACATTCTGTCAAAATTTCATGATGAAATGCTTAAAAACTGGGCTCAACACAGTTTTTTCAACATGGTTACCTAACCTTACTCAGGGCTACAGAACTGTTTGGTGGGATGACGTAACGCCATAGCTGTTCGCTGTTTGGTTCTAAGTTTATGTCTTTTTTTCCACCACTACATCCTGCTGATTTATTTCAAACCAAAATTAATCAGAAAAGTTCAGTTTCCTCGTGCGGACGTCATTTAAATAAAAGCAGCACACGCTTTTAATCCATCATTCAATAAATGTCAAAATTTCAATCTAACACTAATATCTAAATGTTAAACAGCACTGATCCAGGTGCGAGTAGCTGGTTACTCAAATCTGAGGAAGTGAAGTCTAGTGGCTGATGGAGGGATGGAAGGCTGAAATTGAACCTGTTCTGTGGTGTTTTTAGCTGTAGCCTCCTAGCAAAGCTAATGCTAGCTGGCTCTTCTCTTCCAGCTAGCCTAGCTTAGCAAATGAGATTCAAACACCCCAGGGTAGGTTTAATTCGACAAGCTGGTGCTATATTATCACAAGTGTAGAAAATATAAACTTATAACGGTGATATTAAAGTCGACTGATTGGTGTTGATGTGACAGAAAGCTGAAATCAAACCTTTTCTGTAGTTTGAGCATATGGTTATTCTGAAGCATATTTTACACTGTTGTATTCAGTCAAGCAGAGTCGGCATAAAGCGAATTGGTTGGGAAATGCTAGCTTTTTTTCATTTCCGTTTAGTTGACCTGCTTGTCTCAGGCTCAGTTTCAGTACCTGATGCTCAAGTAACACCCATTTAGAGGATAAATAGTCTCAGAACACACTAACTAGTGTTGGGATGGCCGACTAAATCAAACATGCATTGCGGTGGGTGCTGTATGTGTATATGCTGTTAGCCTGTTAGCAGTTAGCTACTCCTGTGTGTAATTTTTTCAATATTCTCTGGTTCTGATTTAGCAGCACAACAAATGGAAAAATAAATCGTAACCGAAATGACAAGTCCACACCAGCGCTTAACGGCACAATACGGCCCTGAGTACCATTTGGTTCGACAGTGGAAGAGAGGCCAAGGTTTTTTCTTTTCCTGTAAAATTACTTTTTTGGAGATATGATGTTTTGTTCTGGAAGTGATGACCTTGCAGTTTGTTCTATATTTGCAGGAATGAGGCAAAATGGAATAGCAGCAGGCAGACAAATGGTTAGTTAGATAAAGCAGAATAATGAGAAGAAAAAGATTTAATCTGAAGCCCCTACCAGTGACCCAGAGCAGATAAATACCCCCAATACCACAAAATTGTAGTAATTTAACCTGTAAAAGCCATGAGTTTCTGCATAATTCAGTTTTTGAGATGTAAACAGTCATTCAGAATGGTCCATTGTAGAGACCTCTTATCAGTGGTGGTGATAGGAACCAGGGGTTGCCATTGCTACAACACAAATATAGCCATTTTATTATGTATGTATTTATTTATTTATTTATTTATTTATTTTTTGGGGGTACTGTTTTGTCTTACCACACCATGCATGTGTCCCTCCACCATGAATGGATTTTAGGATCAAAATCTTCTCCGAACTATTTGTAAAACAATGTGTTAGACATCCGGCAGCATTTTCATAACCATTTCATGTAATAACTTTCTGTGAGTGAGCTTTAAGAAGTAGACATGCTTATGTTTGTTAGAAATCGTATTCATTTCCTTGCCCAAAGTGATGAAGCACTAGTTCAGTGCTACGTCATTATGTACAGCTATGGAGAAGAGAGAGAGTCTTTTTGATAGGAAAACTTATATGATTTTAGAGGCAACAAGGCCTACATAGATTAGATTCAGTTACGATTCAGTGAACGATTATCTTCTATACAGAATTTCTTTTTTTCTCACTGTAAGGACTTGGTACTTTTAAAGCAAAGTATTTGTAATGATCCATAATGAATTTACTTCCAATATCTTTTATTAATAAAACAAATGGAAGTGATGTGGCAAGTGAACTGGAAGGCTCTCATTCACTGCTCTTGTTTGGAGCATGTGAGACGCTAGCTGCCACTCATCTGTGATAAAATGCACTGTTACAGTGACATAAGATCCAGTGGCAATGGATGTCCACGCAGCACATGTTATACCTGTTTTTTTAGCGATTTTATAACTGTGCAACATAGCGCAAAAGCCTTGAGAAAAGACTGAGAACGGACGCAAATCCTTGGCAATAAAAGTTGTGATAGAATTTGTAATTCGCGTCAGAGTTGGGTGGAAGCTTTGACATAGCTTGCTCGATGGTCCTCTGGTTGGCAGCAAGTACGACTGGACGGAAAACGGGTGGAAACGTAATATGGTTTCTCATGTATGTCGTTTCAAAAATAGTTTAGTGTGACACAACTTGCATATAGTATGGCTCTTATCCAGGTCCCTTTTCCCCTGGCGTGCAGACTGCAGGTCACATAGCAATGCAGACAGTCTCGCCTAGCTAGTAGCTAATGAAAAGGCAAAGAGAAAGATTTAAGACGAACATTTGGAGACGAATGGATGGATAAATTTGCATTTAAAAGCACTGCAGTTGGTTTCCTGGTATGTTAAATCTGCAACAAGAGACTGTCAAACACTAAAAAAGTTGCGAAGATGAAGTCAGCTTCTCTTTCGAATTTTCCCCTTCCACCTTAAATGGTGTCGCATTTACATTCTGGTGTCTCAGGCAGAATTTAAGGTGGAACGGGAAAATTCGAACAAGCTGGTGAATAAGAAGCTGACTTCAGCCTCATAAAACAATCGAACCCTGAGAGACATTTTGCAAGAAACTTTTCTACTTCTGAGGAAAAGTTTCCTGGTGGAGATGGGAGGAAAGTGGCTATAGCTAAAGCTTAAATCAGAGCAAAGTAAGTCTGCGTTTTCGTTTATATACTGAGACATGTTGGACATAAAATGTTGTCACTCCCAGAGTGGTTTGAATTTTAAAAGGACAAAATGGCTCCTGTCGACTCCTGACCTAACCTAGCTTTTAATGCAGTGTGTGCCTGTTGTGTTTCTTGCTCATCCAGTTGTGTTTTTGTTATGTGCACATCACAGAGTGTCTGGGCGCTGCATTTCCGCACTTTCAAGTTCCGCCTTTTGCATTCCGTGAACATTCGTTATAAATTAAAATTTAGAAAATCGATTTTTGACATTTGTGAATCAATTCAGAATCGTCCACGCCCGCATTGTGATGCATCTAAGAATCGATTTTCCCCCCATCCCTTGTACAAACCCAATTCCAAAAAAGCAAAGTAGATAAAATGCATTTCAAACAGAAAGTAATGGTTTATAAACAGCGATTTACAGATATTTAATTGAAAAGAGAGAAGAGATACTTAATGTTTTACCTTGGCAAGACATAGCCAAGCAACATTCTCTGCATGTGTTAAACAGCATGGCTGTGTTATCTGAGAGTGTGGATGCTAGACTTGCTTGCATGTGGTGCAAATATGAAGCCCAGTATCCTAGGGCTGGACCTGAATATTTGACTGTTCGGATATTCGTTTGTTGGGTTGGTATTTGGTTTTTCATTTGGGGGGGCCAGATATTCAGGGTGTTTTATAACGCAGCTTTATTTTTAACTTGCTGAAAACGGCACTAAAAACAGCGCCTTTCTAGCGCCAACAGCTTAAAAAAAAACACAGCCTTCTGCTCTACTCAGGAAAACCCACCACCCGTATTCAGACTCTTCAACATGAGTCTTTGTATGAATGAACCTAAAACAGCCCAACATAAACATTTCTTCTCTTTAAAAAGTTTTGTCAGCACATCCTTTTACTATATTTATACTTTTAAATTGTCGTGAAAAGCTAGTTAACCTGTGCATGCACTGTGCTATTACTTACTAAGAGAGGCTAGCGAGCCTAGTAAACGGAGCAAAGGCGTGCTGTGAGTGCTGCTGCACTCTGTGAGGAAAGCAGCTAGCCTGGTGACTTGGATATTACAGCAGATGTGCCGTCAACAAAGGTGTCCGACACGAATTTTCTTCACGACTTTCTCAGCAACACCTCCTCTTGTCTTTGAACTGTTTTCAGTTGAATACAGGTTAAACAGTATTTGCAAATCATTGCTGTCAGTTTTTGTTTAACTTTTCTGAAATTGGATTTCCACCAGATTATTGTAGACTGGTAAAAACGCAAGATAACGTTAGAACACACGAGCCTTCAAGACTATGGGTTTGGCAAAATATTGTTTTTGGTTAGTGTTTGATTATTAGTGATTGTTAAATGAGTAGAGAGCATCAAAATTAAGTTCTTGCCCATTTAAGATTATATAACTTGCTCTACCTCTCTTTCTAGAGTTCCTTTCAAAGCCCATATAAAGTGCTGTTACTGGCCTTTCCCACTACTGAATCCCAAACCACTGTTTCACTGGAACTCAACCTCCTTAATAATGCCAAGGGAGGCAACGAGAGTGATGGGGAGGTGGAAGGAGAAAACGAGAATGAGGAGGACGAGGAGGTGGCATATGAGAGTCTAAGGGGTCAGACGGCACCTTCAGAAACAAGCTGCTCTTCCATTCCTCCTACCCCAGATGTCCAATACGAAAGTCCGCATGATGGTGGTCCTGTCAGTGAAGTTCCTGCGTCTCCTATGCGAGTGCCAAAAGCCTTATGTTCCACAGCTGCTACAGAGCATGCATTAAAACCACCCCGCAGGACTGGGTTTGGGTTTCATTGGAAAGGACTCCAAGCACCAAGCCAGATCTCGCCAGCAGGACTCTTGTTGCAAGAGCTTAGAAGCAAGGACTTCCTCGGACATAAACACCAAAGTAATGAGGGGCATGATGCTGAGGCAGAGGGTAACATCAATGTGAATATCTTCTCATTGACTCTCAGAGGACACAGAGAGGAGGAGCAGTTGGAAGAAGAGACGATGGGGAACTTGGAGATCCAGGAACTGCTGGTACCTTCATCTCCTCACAGAGAACTAGAAAATACAACAGACATCAAGCTCACACACTCTCTAGGCTCTGACAGGCACGTTACAGTCTGCGAGGAGAAGGAAGAGGAGGAGGAGGAGGAGGAGGAGGAAGAGTACTCTGGTTATATGAAGCGGAAATAGAATGGGCTTTTGGCGGTTGTGTTGCATTATTTTCACCTGTTTTGGACATTTATTACCTCAAAGGCCTACATGGCATATGGCCTATTAGTGAGTTTCAAAGGTCACTGAATCCACAGTATTCTTTGCTGTCGTTGAGTCATTTCGCCAAACTTGGAGTGAGCAGTGTTTTTGTTACTGCTCACTCTTAATTTGCCTTTTCATTTTTGCTTTTTCGTCCTCTGCTGTCTAGCCTATATCCAGGTTTCTAGTATTCATGTAATCAAAACAAGCTTGGAACTAAAGCTTTTTACTTGAGGTTTCATTTTGTGGTGGTCATCCTAAATTCTGCACATATTCTGTCATATTTTTACAAATTAGGGGTGCAACGATCAAATGACTTAGTCAACTAAAATCGATCACCAAATTAGTTGGCAACTAATTTAGTAGTCGATTAGTCAGTGATGTCGTCACGCGTGTTTCTCGCGTGTTTCTCTTGTTAATTAGCAAATGCATTAAACAACCTCAAGCTAAATTTAAAAGCTGATAGCTACATAGGAGTTATGGTGGTAATTGAGTGATTGATAATCCGAATAAACGATTATTCGTTTCAATAATCGATTGATTATTCGACTGTCAAAATAGTTGTTTGTTGCAGCCCTTTCACAAATAATCCATTTGTATACCAAATCCCAGATTGAGGAGACAGACTGGTTCAGAACATCACTAAAATCAAGAAAAGCCAGAAATGTACCACTGTGTTTGATAATGGAGCCGATCGAGTGCGATATTAATGGATTGGTACCGGATTGCTACCACTATATGAAATTTGGACTTCTTTTACGATTAGCCAATTGAACTTGATGACTCAGTTAGATTTATTAAAAAAACTCTCTTGATGAATTGGCAGTGATTAATTGGCAAATTGAATATCTGCAGGTCATTAAAAAGCCATGTTTAGCAGGCTGAAAGTTCTCCACAAGACGGTGCTATTAGCATTTAAGTATAATGAGATGGTTGAGTGCAAAAACACAATATGAACAGAGCATTTTTTTTAAATGCTGTACTATTTGCAAACACACAGCATGGTTTACACATACTACAACGCGTCCTTTGCAAAAAACAGAACACAGATGTAAAATGCATTAGCCTAGCACAAAACATGGCAGATACAGCACCGTTTTCTAATTGTATTTGTATGTTAATCACACTTAACAGAAGAATACAACATGTTACAAGTACAAAAAAGTTCTACGCCAGTTGCAAAGATTTTCTCACAAATACACTAAGACAATTCTCGGGCTGAGCATAATTTCCCCTCCTTAAGTAGATGGCACTGATGCTCTTACAAGAGGAAGCCATTGTTTGCAAATCAAGTTTTGTTTGCGAAAAGGGTTTGATGTAAAACTGCAAATGTAGTAAAGAATATATTACTGGGACATTACTGTTACAACCCACAAATGTCTGTGTTTAAGCTTCAGGTGCCGTGATTAAACTCAGAATAAGAAAGTTAATGCACACCTAAGAAGAGTACAAATCCCATAGAGGCACTTATCATGAAGATTAAACATAACTTAGCATTGTCGCAGTGGTGAGGCAAGGATGGCAAGGATACATTGAAGCTACTAATAAAGTAAAGGTGTGTGCACTATGCATTGTTGTATAATGATATGTGCAGCTGTCATTTAATGGCAAAATCCAAAAACTAATGAAATGATTGGCTCAAAACAGTATTACAGATTCTTCAATGTGGCATTAACTGGCCATACAGAAAGAAATAGAGCCCACTTCCTATTTTACAGTAGTGTTTGAGTTTGAATTGTTCATTGTGAAGTTTAAAAACAATGCAAACAGTACCTGTTTTAAATTAAATATATACACACACACACACAAACACAGACACGCTTACAAAGTAAGCCACAGCTCAGTTTTTTTTCGTTATCCATGTTTAGTTGGATATCTCTCCATGAACGCCAATTCAATAGTCAAACTTTGGTGACCATAATGGTTCAGGAGATCATAATGATACTGTATCATTTCCAGTGTTAAATTGGGTAGCTGTCAGTTTCATTTCAGGTTGAGGTATTACGTTTCTTTGGAAGCTTTGTTTTATCATTATGGTTTACTGGATAGTGTTTGTAAAGCTCCCGAGTGGCGCAACCGTCTAAGCGTTGGCCCTATCATCAGGAGATCGCGAGTTCGAGCCCTGGTGATGCTATAGCCATCCGTAGCCGGGAGTCCGAGAGAGCACAATTGGCCTTGCTCTCTCTGGGTGGGTGTGATGGCTGCCCTTCTCCCCCCATCACTCACTAAGCGCGATGCTAGTCAGCGCAGGCGTCTGTTAGCTGACGTAACAGATCTGGCGGTTGGCGCTTTCCTCCGAGCGCGTTCGGCTGTCCAATGACATTGCGTGAGCGGCAGTTCGAAAAGAAAGCGGTGGCTGGCTTCACAGGTCTCGGAGGAAGCCTGTGTTAGCCTTCACCCTCCTAGCGTTGATAGCATCGTGTGATTGGGGGAGTCCTATATATAATCTAATCTATATATATATTTTTTTATTTCACCCCGATTTTCTCCCCTATATATATATATATATATATATGTTTGTAAAGCAGGAAATGTAATGGTTTGTTGCTTCATGAGTGTACCAAAAGTTATTTTTGTTCATGGGTCATAAACATTTATCAGTGCCAACGTTACTCCTAATGATCTACATATATTGCCACATGTACATGTATTCTTTTATATTGTATTAGTTATTGTTCCTTATCAGGTTCAGGAAGTTCAGTAGTTACACCATTTTTATGCTTTTTTGCTCTGTAAACAGTAAATCTGTTATTTGGGTATTCCTCCCATCACTGAATTTACATTTTCAGAACTTTTAAAATGTTTTCATGTAGGCAGAAAGTGCTTTTTTTCATGCCAGTTGTGTTCCCATCATAGATAGTCTTGCTCAATAAGAAACTGCATTTCTGGAAAGCAGCTTTGGAGCAGAGCTTATTGTAGAAAGTACAAATAGCACTTAATTGAATTAAATTTTTTGTTCACTGAGAGCGAGAAGTCCATTGACTATGGGTTCATTTGAATGATTTTAAACCCTTAACCCCTTAAGTGGCCAGGACGTGTAATCCATGTAGTTAGTGAATAATGAGCCTTTGGATGTAATACATGTGGGATTTTAAGGGGTTAAATATGCAATATTTAAATATCAAATGTTTATATATTTAAAACATTGTAAATTCTCATCTCCCTCGTACAGTAAGAGCCTAATGGACACCGCATATTATGTATGTTTTTTTTTTGTTTGTTTTTTTTTTAAGTCTTTTGAAAGGCTTTGTGGTTTGTTTTTTTACAATAAAATATTTTGGAATCTTTGAGAGCCTATGCATTTGTTATTCAGAAACAAATTGAAGGTCAAAATAATGAGTAGATTACTCATTATAACAATAATTGATAGTTAGTGGTGTAATTTAAACTATTACATGTTTTGAAATGTTTCCTATGTAGAGTTCCCATATTTTTATTAGAAAATAAATGGCGTTTTCGAAAATCACTGCAGTGCTAAACAAAAATGAATCCATGCTGATCCTGCGTACATTTTTGGTGTTCATCCATGTTACGTGGAAGTAAGTCTGCTGACTTCAACAGTATTATATAACAACGAACTATAGCCTAAAACTGCCAAATAAACTTAACTACCATGTTTCATCGTCAATCATAAGGTCTGTCATAATTATTACATAATCACCTAATCACAATTATTTATGCTGACTGCAATAATTATTTCACATTTCTCATGTGAATTGGTGGGTTGGATTGAGACAAATAACTAAATATAAGAAAGCAGTAAATGCATTAATTGAGATCACAGGGCATATGAAAACTTATTTTAGGATTCTAACTTGGTGCTCTAACATGGTTAGAGGGCAGTGTTGAGATGTTCATTTGTTAGCTACAGTGCTGTGAAAAAGTATTTGCCTTCTTCCCAATTTTGTGTATTTTTGCATATTAGTCACACTTGAATGTTTCATATCATCAAACTACTTAAATGTTAGACAAAAATAACCCAAGTAAACAGAAAATGCTGTTTTTAAATGCTGAATTCATTTCATCAGGAAAAATTAAGCTGTTTAGCCCACCCTGGCCCTATGTAAAAAAAAAAAAAGTAATTGTCCCCTTAAATACGAAATCAACCAGTTAACCAAATTCGATTGACTATTTGGTTCTATTTCACTAGCCACACCCTGGCACGATTACTGCTGACCTGTTGAATCTAAACATCTTAAATAGAATAGAACCAGTCTGGCAATGTGAAGCAGGCTAGAAGGTCTCAAAAGACAGCGCATGATGCCATGTTGTAAAGAGATTCAAATAGAGATGCAAAACAAAGTCATTGAAATCTTCCAGTCTCGAAAGGGTTAGAAAGCCATTGCTAAGGTTCTGCAGCTCTAGCGAGCCACACTGAGAGCAAGACAAATGGAGAAAACTTGGAACAGTGGTTAACCATTCCAGGAGTGGACAGCCTAAGAAAATTTCAACAAGAGTGCATCAAAGACTCACGCAGGAGCTCACAAAAGAACATCGAATTACTTTTTCACGAGTGATAGAAGTTTTGAATAAATCTTTATCTGCAATAAATGGAATGGTCATGTAAAAGCTACATTAACTTATGTTGTCTTTATCTTATATTAAAATTAGTTGGATGATCTGAAACATTTAAATGTGACAAATTAGCAAAAATCGGATGGGTGGCAAATACTTTATTGTGGTGATAGTATGACAAAAACATTTGTCAAGGAAGGTGACAGCAGACATAGAGCACATTACAAGGGCTTTTAATCAAAACAGTTCCACAGTACTTTTCAAGCTGCTTTTCCATTTGGAGTTAAGATATTTACTTTATCTGGAGGTTGTGACTACTTCACACATGCAAACACATTGAGGAATGTGTTTGCACAACTCTGTGAAAGACTGCATGATCAAATAGTGCAACAATTCAAGAACATTTCTCAGCATAAAATAGCAAAGAACTTTTGTGTTTCATCAGTTACGATACATAATGTCATTAAAAGATTCTGACAATCTGGAGAAATCTCTGTATGCAAGGGACAAGGCCAGAAAGCAGTATTTGCTGGCCATGATCTTTGGGCCTTCAGGTGGTACTGCATTAACAATGGACATGACTCTCTAGTGAAAATCACTGCATGGGCTCAGAAATACTTTTGAAAAACACTGTCTGTGAAAACAGTTTGTCTCTGCATCCACAAATGCTAATTAAAACTCTTAAATGCAAAGAAGAAACCATATATAAACAGGATCCAGGAATGCCACCACCTTCTCTGGGCCTGAGCTCATTTAAAATGGACTGAGGGGAAGTGGAGAAGTGTCCTGTGGTCTGACAAATCATCATTTGAATTTCTTTTTGGACTTTTCCTCCAGGCTAAAGACCACTCAGCTTGTTATCAGTACACAGTTCAAGAGCCAGTATTCATGATGGTATAGAGGTGCATTAGTGCACATGGCATGGGTGACGTGCACATCTGTGAAGGCACCATTAATGCCGAACGATATATACATGTTTTGGCAACATATGCTGCTATCCAGATGACTTCTTTTTTTAGGGAAGGTCTTGATTATTTCAGCAAGACAATGTCAAACCACATTCTGCAAGTATTACAGCAGTGTTGCTCTGTATTTAAAGAGTCCGGGTGCTAAACTGGCCTGCCTGCAGTCCAGACCTGTCACCACTGATAACATTTGGCACATTATAAAATGAAAAATACGACAAAGGAGACCCTGAACTGTTGAGCAGCTGAAATCCTGTATCACACAAGAATGGGAAAACATTTCACTTTCAAAACTCCAGCAATTGGTCTCCTCAGTTCCCAAACGCTTACAGAGTGTTGTCAAAAGAAGAGGTGATGAAACAGTGGTAAACATGCCCCTGTCCCAACTTTTTTAGAACGTGTTTTTGGCACCAAATTCAAAATGGGCATATATTTTTCAAAAAACAATAAAATTTCTTAGTTTCAACATTTGATTAGTTGTGTTTGTACTATTTTCAATGATATATAGGGTTTAATGATTTGCACGTTATTGAATTTTGTTTTTATTTACATTTTGCACGGCATCCCAACTTTTTTGGAAATGGAGTTGTAGAACCATGAACACTTGAAGAACCATTTGCATGCTTAAAGCATTCTTCAGATTGATGGAGATGTGTTGTATATGATTCTATATAGAACCTTTTTTGAAAATGCTTCTATATAGCACCAAAATGGGTTCTGCATTACAACAGTAGAACCCTTTTAGTGCTATGTAGAACCACATACAACACATTATCCATCAATCTGAAGAACCATTTCACTATGCAAAGAACCACTCAGGCATGCAATGGTTCTTTGAGTGTTCACGGTCCAATATAAAACTATTCTTTATCAAAGAACCTTTGAAGAACCTTTCTTTTTTAAGAGTGTAGAATAATTTGTTTGATATTTTTGATAGTTAAGTACACTGAAATTTGAATACTTTTTTACTCAAATACAACAAGTACAATACAATACTCAAATACAGCAAGTACAATACAGCAGACAAATTCCTTGTTTCTGTTGATTTTCTTAGTGAATACAAGTTAACACATCACACATAACACAATTACTGCTTATTTACTGAATATGGAGCAAGCAGAAACCGTGGCCTGTGCAAAAGTTATAACACATTTTATATTTTATGTTTTTTCCAATATGGTAAACTGAACAAATAAGTAAAAGTTGCAGAAAAATGCTGTATTTAAGTCTGTTCTCTGTAGAGGATGTGTTCACTTATTTTCACTTAGAAAATCAACAAAACACAGAATGTGACTAACTTATACTGTAGATTTATATGCATATTCATATTTATGGGAAAAGTGAGGGCATCAAACTGATACATGGTCTTTTTAAGGCCTCCGTCTTATAAACTTTTTCTGGCTTAAGCTGATCATAAATGGTCAAGCATTGTTTTATAAACATGTAGGTAGCCTTCAAATCACGTTACTGAATATTCAAACTTTGGATTTTTCTTACCTCTTGATTCTGGAAAGTTTGTAAATATTAAAATGTGTACATCATTCTTATATTTTTGTATCAAATAAAAGCAACAAAACTTTGGCTTAGTGTTTAAGAGATGTTTCTGAGAGAGAGGCAGTACGTTGGGAAGTTTGTTTAGTGTGTTTTAGGCTCTGGGTGGTTCATGTGGTGCTAGGAGGGACTTGTGGGGAAATGGAAACTTATCTTGCTACAGAAACAGCTCAACCTGAAAAAACTCAACCTGTTGTCATGCACACTTTTAACTCTTGCACAACCTTACCTGAGATTGCTCCAGAGCTTATAGACAGGCCCACAGGTTTACAAACTCCCCAGATGTGGTCAGCCGCGATGGCTCCCTCAGAACACCAATGGATGCTAGTCTGGATACTTTTATTCTTTGTGTTGCACCAAGGTATGGAAATGTTTCACATTTATCTCTGAGCTAAGTTTCTTTTTGTTTTGGGGGGTTGAGTGGGGGTATTCGAGAGCTGTCACTGTTTCATTGGCAGTGGAAGTTGTTTCACACTGCAAAAAATGATATCTTGTAAAGTGAAATGATCTTAAATCTAGTAGATATATCTTTCTCATTTTCAGATTGCTGTCACCTTATTATAAGACTAGTTAACTAGTTAAATTTCTAGACATGTTTTATTGTTTTAGGTGATTTCAATATGTAAAATGATCTCATTGTATTAGAAGATAACTTGTCTTGTTTCAGGCATAAATCTTTAAAAAAGCAAAAATGATCTGCCAATAAAGTAAGATCATTAGATTTCACCTGAAATAACCTATAACAAGTAAAAATGTATGGAAATAAGTTACATGATCTTAAAAAAAGATGAATTAGATACATTGACTAGATTTAAGATCATTTAATTTGACAAGATACCATTTCTTGCAGTGCAAATACAGTTTTAAAGAAAACATTTATTCAGTTTTGTTTGATGTGGATCATGAATTTTATGAGCTTCACAAAGTAATCGTAGCAATAATTTTTTACTTACATAATTGTGGTAAAACCTTCTTTACTTATTACTTCTAATATATCTCTCCAGTGAGCCATTGTGCAATACACATTCTACATATGTGATATGCAAACACTAAGGACTCCATTGAGGAGGTGCAAATCGTTCTTAATATTTCTTTATACAAAAGCTATGCTCAGAATCATCTTCTGAAGAAGCAGTCATCTGAGAATTGCATGCATGCTTATTCATTACTTTCTTTTGTATCTTTTCTGTCTATTGACTTTGTAAACTACAGTGTAAAAAAGGCTCAACCTTAGATCAACCTAAAAAATTACTTTATTATTACATTAACTAGTTTTATTCAACATAAATAAATAAATACTTTGAATTAACGCTTCTTTCAATCAATGTAATTTTGAATAGAGTTGAATATAACATGACGTAATTAAGTTGATCTGATGAGCCATTTTTTACAGTGTAATAATGGGGCCTTGTCCTTTGTTTTTTGTGTATTTTATTATTTAAGACTGCATTATGTAAGTTTTGGGGATTTTTGGAGACCTCTCTGGTGAAAATGTGTAACTGCATGCAGCATGTGGAAGAACATTTATTAGTGTGGTTTGTACTTCTGACCCCTTCCCGAGTGGACCAATCTGATGATTGAAAAAAATTCAAACAGAGCTCAGTCAAAACGTGGTGAAGGATATGTATCCCTACTATACACTGTAAAAAATGGTTTGTCAGTTTAACCTAAAAAAATTACTTCATGTGGTAACAAGCAACTGAACTAGTTTTATTCAACTCAAAAAATTGCTTTGAATGAAAGAATTGTTCATTAAAAGTATTTATTTAGCTTGAATAAAGCTATTTAATTTACTTGTTACCACATGAAGTATCCGTGTGAAGTTAATATGTAAAGACAATGCAACATGATGTGAAAAACTCCCAGCCTGATGCCTCTGACTTTAAAATGATTAATTCAGGCTTTATGGAGCGACTCACAGCAGTGCACACTCAACATATTTTAGCCTGTATATATTCATTTGCAGGATTTAATATAGTGGGAAAAAAACATTAAATGTAAAAATACAAATATAAGCTGCACGTGGGAAGTATTTGAGTTGACCTACCAGTATTATTTTACTGTTCTGTTTTTTGTTTTTTTGTTTGTTTGTTTGTTTGTTTTATTTCCTCCTCCAGTGTACTGCCTGCTCCCAGCTCCACAAAACGTCACCATTGTCTCCTTTAATTTGGAGCACAAGCTAATTTGGAGCCCTGGCCCTGGAACCCCCACCTTCGCCCGTTTCAGGGTGCAGAGCTATCATAAGAAGTAGGTTAAGAATTTCATGTTACATAGCACAACTGGACCTGAGCTGCCCCATGAACTGAGTGGAGAAAAGCTAGTCTGGGTTTAGCCTTAAACTGAACCAGCTATAGCTTGCAACCTAGCGAGCCACACTGGGATACACTGGTGGAACCTGGCGAGTTGTAGCATAGATCAGCATGGCTGCTCCCTAGCAAAACCAGCATATGTTGTGCTTTGGATGCTGGTATGCTGGTCAACCAATATGACCAAGCTGAATGACCAGCAAAACCAGCACCAGACCAGCATAAACCAGATTGGACCAGTATGGAATTTGTGCTGCTCAATACTGTTTTTTTCAGCAGCACGATGAAATAAAACTGAACATATCTGGGACAACAAACATTACGTTAACAGTTTCAAGTTCTATGAAGCAAGTCGAGCACAGTTGGGGACAGTTTCTTTCTGTTTTATCGAAAAGCCTACTGTTCCATGATGACAGACTTTAGACAGAGTATAATTTTAGTAGTTTAGTCGTTATAAAAAATAAGTCACAGCGTAGCATTGAAAATGATTCTGGAAACTAGCAGAAACCAGTTAATGCTGTCCAGCCAACTAACATTAGCTAAAAGTTACTTCACACTAACTGTTTAGCTAACTGGTTAGACATTAACTAGACTAATACTAAGAAGATTTAAATTTTATTTCACTTTCATTGAAAATGTTTATGTTCACCTTTAGAAATGTACCCATTCCCAAAAGTAGTGGGGGTGCAGGTACTCCGCTTGCTTTATTGTTCAGCCACCTATGCTGTGAACGGGATCATACCTATGTTCCCGGGGCTCTATGTTCCCTATGTTAAGCTCTTTAAAAATTGTAAATCAATATGATACATTAAGGGAGCCTATGAAAGGTTTCTCAAGGTCATGGTGAACATCATGGTGGCATCTAAGGTCATACAGGGAACAACAAGAAGCTAGGCTAGCCTCAGTCAGCTAATTAGCAAGCAAAGCAAATTTTGTAATTCAAACAATTTTTTGAGTCAGAGTGTAGAAAAAATTGAAAATTGAAAATTTGCTTTGTCTGATTTAAGTGTGGTGCACTGTCCTTCTTTTATAGATGAGAGCAGCATATCTGTGTACTTGGCCCTTGCATAATACCCTGCCCCTTTTTGGGTAAAAGCAGCCCCTCTAATTTGACTGGTGGTAAATACAAATTCCAAGGTCTTTGACAATTTGATAACATAAATAAGAATACCCTGCTGATTTATAGCTATTGTGAGCCCTGGTGGCCAGAGGTGTCATGTCCTGACATATACAACTACCTTATTGAATCTCCAGGTAATGTATTCTGTCAAACACTCTTTTTCTCAGCAAGACCCTTTATTTTGTCTGTCCAATGTGACTTTGCTGTAAAGTTAACATATCATTAACAGCAAGCTAACTAGCACCCTGCAACTATAAGGTAGGCTATAACATAAACAGTAATAAATTTGGGAAGAAAAGAAAATCATAAACTGTCTTTTTTTTAATGTTAGTCGTGCAATATGCGACACAGCAGCTTTTAGGCATGGTGGCACCAATATTTCTAGTTTGGCACCAGCACTCTGACCATGTTTGTTTTCACCCAAAAGGGGGCGTGGTTGTTCGGACTACAGGCAACTGACATATGCCTGCTCTCATCAATTGTTGTTGCTAGCTGTATAGCCCTTAGTTTGCTATCTAGCAAGTTAGCAGAGTAAAGTAACAAAATTGAGATGTGGTGTAATGGAGAATTGAGGGCCAGTTGACAAAAGCATGTTAAAAGCATTGTTGAAATAGAGGCAGATGTTGTCATTGAAGATGTGCTCAAAGATTCAATTGTTAGCATGAATGCCAACTTTGGTAATGTTTTGTAAAGTGCAATGAGAGTATACAGGGTGATTCAAAAAGATTTATCCAATTTCAAAGCACCATGTTTTTACAACCATGAGGTGCCCAGGAACCAATCACATACCAATTCAAAGAGGGGGTCATAGAGTTTCTGACGGTCACCGGAAGATGGCTCCCTTCAGTCTGCGAGGTGATGGTGACCCCTGAGCAGAAAGCGTTTTGCGTTCAACGGCAGTGATCCTGCGTTCATCGGCAGTGAACCTCCAACAGCTCAGCGCATTCGTTGTTGGTTCCACAACACTGGATGCACTCCGAAATCGCATTGAAAGAGCCGTGAGTACAGTGACACCCTACATGCTCTATCAAGTATGGGATGAATTTGACTATCGCACTGATGTTGTCTGTACAGCTGTAGGAGGTCATATTGAGCTCTTGTAAAATTACATAATACGTTTTATGCTCACTTAAACCATTTACAATTTACTGCATTGTTGTGTAATGATTTGTGAAATAAACAATTTTGAAATCAGATGAATCTTTTTGAATCACCTTTGGAATTTGGAAGCAGTGTGCACATATATACAATTTTTTGACCCAACAACAGAATTTGCATTATTTTTAATATACAAGTTGAGAGAATATGATTGAGATAACAGAGCTATTTCCTGTGAAAATTTCAATGGGGGAATACTGGACCATGGGAACATAAGACTCTTTTCAAAATGATAAAGAGGGAACACTGGGCCTGAGGAACACTAAGCCCTGAAAACATACAGATGGTTCCTAGAAATTTTGATGAGAAAATTAAGAACATGAGACCTTGAGACCTGATTTTTAAATGATTTTGACAGTTAACTGTGGACCTCCATGTCTGTCTTCACCCTTCCCACAGGAAGAAACCCTGGGTGTCTCTTTTGAACTGCTCTGATTTGAGCACAGGGGAGTCATGTGACTTAACAACCTATTTCAACAACGCACACTGCTATTATTTGGCCCGAGTTCAAGCGTTCGTTCCAGACCAGGAATCTAACTGGACCAGTTCGAAACTGTTTTACCCCATGCTGGACAGTAAGAAATCTCTTCCTTTCTCTATTTTACTCTTCCTCCACCCACCAATACACCTGACACAAGAAATCAGCTTCTCCGCAGGCCTTGAGTCAGGAGGTGATATCCAACAAAAACATGTGGACCCGTTAAAGGGTGTCAACATTTCTGCACAGGTCAAGATAAAAAAGTCATTCTGAGTGGTTTAGTGTGAAATGGTTGATTGCAGAGACTCTTTACAGTGATGGTGAAAGGAACCGAGGTTTGTAATGTCTCTAATACAAAAATTAAATTTGCCTCGAGGGTGTCATGTACCTTGTAGCTGGAGAAGTGCCTGGATCTCACCGTCTCTTCTTTGCATGGACTTTACTGAAAAATTTAGATAGCCTAGCTATGTTCTTCCATACACATGCTCAAGCAATGATGAAATAGCTAAGAGACCAGAAAAAATTGAGCTGTTTTTATTAATCAAATAATGACTGGAACAGGAATTAGTAGAATAAAACAAAGACATGATTCTCTTTACAAAAAAAAAAAAAAGACCATTTTGAAAGTGATTCTGTGAAGAAACATGCTTTATGATGCCAATATACAAACTCAATAGGCCTCTCTAATCACCCAGGATTGGTCAGTTAGTCGTGCCCAGAATCAGAACCAAACAGGGTGAGGCAGCATTCAGTCATTATACTGCCAACTGCTGCAACAAACCCCCAGATGCTGCAACAAACCCCCAGATGTTGCACTTCATATCTACACTATTATATTTCTTTTAATGCCTTAATTTATTCCGTATTTTATTTTATCTTTAGCACTTTAATTTTAATTTTTTGTAACAATTTTTGCAAATGCCTTTCTGAGGTGCTAGACATCATAAGCTTTATTATTTAATATTATTTAATGCTTTTATTTCTGTGTTTTTGTTTATACTATTGCTATGCATGAAAAGTGCTACACAAATAAACTTGCCTTTTACTGACCTTTCCTCTCTTTATCCAGCAATTCTGGGTGCTCCAGTGGTGGAGCTCACAGGCTGTGGAAACTGCTTGCTCCTGCAGCTCAGTCCTCCAGCCAGCAGGGGGCACCGCAGACAGCTGGAATTCTTCTTTAGTGACTACGTTGTTAATGTCTCCAGGACTAGAGACAAGGCACAAGTGAGTCTGGGGATGTTCTTTCTCCACTTAACTTTTTTTGCAGACATGTTTCACTTGTTCTACATAATATATACACACACACACACACACACACATAGCTACGCTTCTATTACCAGGTTTGCGGATAAACTGTATTATATATATATATATATATATATATATGTAATACAGTTTATCCGCAAACCTGGTAATAGAAGTATATGTAATAATGTATGTATATATATACACACACACACATAGCTACGTTCCTTGAAATGAACAATCAAACCAGAAATTTGACATGCAAATTTCAGGAGGACGAGGGCGAGAAAAGCAAGGTAATAGTTTCCTCTTTCTTCTCTCTACTATATAAATGTGAAGAAAATAAATGTCTTCTGCTTGTAAACAGCCTCCGTTGTTTCATAAGATATGGGGATTTCTACTGGGTGCCGTCATATTCACATACACAGATGGGTTTGTGGTTGCTAGGTAGCGCATCTCGCACAAAGGTACGCTTGCACAAGCATTCGCAGAAAATGTGTTTTCTTTCAGGCAAAGCTTTTCAAGTTTTCGTGCAAAGATGAAGTGACACACAGATTTGTCTAAACTGTGGCTTCCATTTGAGAGTGGCACATTAAAACAAAGAGGGAGAAAAATTTACAAAGAGCAATAGTTCCCCGTCTAGGCAAAGTTACTCTGAATACAGATATACACCCATCCGCCACTTCATTAAAATCACCTCTTTGTGTCTACACTCATTCTCCATTTTATCAGCTCCACTTACCATATAGGTACACTTTGTATTTCTACAATTACCGACCGTAGTCCATCTGTTTCTCTGCATACTTTGTTAGCCCCCTTTCACCCTGTTCTTCAATGGCCAGGACCCCCACAGAACAACCACAGTGTGTGTTGCACTGGTACAAGTGGATCAGACACAGCAGTGCTGCTAGAGTTTTTATACTCCTCACTGTCCACTCCTACCTTGTTGGTCCACCTTATAGATGTAAGGTGACAATAGCTCTTTATATTTCTTACAACAAGCAAAATTATCTGCCAATATAGTGAGATCATTTTAAATCACCTAAAACAAGTACAAAATGTCCAGAAATAAAATAAATATATTTTAAAATAAGGTTACAATACTCTCAAAGAGGAGAAATTAGATATATCGACTAAATTTGAGATAATTTCACTTAAAAAAATGCAATGTTTTTCACGGTGCCCAGGGGCTGATAACTTGATTATCCAGGCCTGAGCATGGCCAGTCACCAGCAAACATCAGCAACATTGTTCTTCGAATTTCATGATGAATGGTCCAGTAGAAATGCTTCACAATTCCTTAAGGTCTAAATTAACTTACTTAAAAAAATCTTTCTCCTGCATGTTTGCATTTTGGAGATATGAGGTTTTGTTCCAACAGTGACGATGTGTTGTTTTTTGGATACCTGGTAATTTAATCTTGTGAAAGTATTCCATTGGCAGAAAAATGTACTTGTTTTAAGCATTACTTTTTAAAACAAGTACTGCCATTAACTGAATAAGACACTTTCACTATATAAAATTATTTAAAACAAGTCAAAACAACTAGAAAAAAATGTAATAATCTTATTATATTCCTGCAATGATCTCATAATGAGACTTTACCAATATTGACTAGATTTAAGATGTTTTCACTTACCAAAATATTTTTTGCAGTGCAGGTACTGTGTGAAATGAGACTTTGTGGTTGGGAGTGGACATGGGAGTGGACAGTAAAGGTGGTATATGCATCTTTGTATGTCTCTGAAATTTGTTAAAAAGAATTATCGACGTTAATTTGAAGCATGCAGTCACAATAACAGTATGACAGGAATGATAGTTGTCCACACCCTGCTATGCAGTTCCAAAAATATGTAAACATGTAAACAATAGATTTTCTTTCTGCAGAACAAAGCTGTATGCAAACACGGGCGGCACGGTGGGTAGCGTTATCGCCTCATAACAAGAAGCCAGGGTTCTTTCTGAGTTTGCATGTTCTCCCCGTGTCTGCGTGGGTTTCCTCCAGGTGCACCGGTTTCCTCCCACAGTTCAAAGACATACAGTCAGGCCAATTGGTGCTAAATTGCCCCTAGGTATGAATGTGTGTGTGATTGTGAGAGAGAACGTATATGTCTGTCTGTCTGCCGTGTAATGGACTGGTGACCTGTCCAGGGTGTATCCTACCTTCTGGCCAATGACAGCTGGGATAGGCTCCAGCTCCCCCTGTGACCCAGAAGGATAAGTGGTTTAGAAAATGTGTGCGTGTATGTGTGTGCTTGCAAACACAGATGTGGAATGGATTGGAAGAAAATCTGTTCCACGTCTTTCAGGGAACACTGAGTGAGAAATGTGTAATTACAACTTGATTTTATTATTGACAATTTTTAATGGTTAAAGGAATATATATTATGTTAAGAGATAAAAAGACAAAACTGTTGGCAAAGTAATGTGTCATAAATAGACCTGTCTGCTGTATGTTGCGTATGTTAGCTTCACTCTTAAAAAAGATGGTTCTTCAAGGGTTCTATAATAAAAGCAATGATTCTGTTCAGAACCATGAGTTCTGCACAGAACCATTTCATGCTTAAATGGTTCTTTGAATGGTGAAATCATTCTTCAGATAGATGGAAAATGTATTATATATATATATAGAACCTTTTTGAAAATGGATCTATATAGCACCAAAAAGGGTTCTTCTTCGAGAAGACTTGACTTCATAACAGATACAATAGCAATAGCAATACAATAGCAGAACCCTTTTTTGGTGCTATGTAGAACCAGAGTGTAGCTCTGGGTCAGATTATAAGTTATCTAAATTATGCAAAACTTCCACAGCAGAGTTAAACCCTCCTCTTTCTCAGTTTGTTATAAGGGCATCCTCTGGAAAGAATCTTATCAATTACCTAGAACTTGGGGTGGAGTACTGCATCACAGTCCTTCCAGTAACAAACCTGAATAACGCTGTTGTTCCCTCTGGACCTCACTGTACCTACACCAGCCCAGCGCCAGTCAACACAGGTACACATTAGGTCACTGGAACAGCATCAGTGACACATATCTCATGACAACCTTAATATTACAGCCTGTTAAAATGTGAAAGAACCTGAAACATGCTGTCACTTGCTTATTAGCCCAAATATGGACCATTCCTCCAAATTACTGCGGTCCCACAGTAAAAAACAACAAAAAAAAACTACAAATATTTCCAAAAAAAGTTGGGATGCTGTGCAGAATGTAAATAAAAAACAGAATGCAGTGATGTGCAAATTATTTAAACTCTATATTTAATAGAATATAGTACAAAGACAACATATCAAATGTTGAAACTAAGAAACTATTGTTTTTTTTTTTTTTAAATATATGCCCAATTTGAATTTCATGTCAGCAATAAAGTTAAAAAATAAAGGGACAGCATCAACAAAAAATATGGAACATCTTACAAGTAATTAGGTTAATTGATGACAGGTCAGTAACATGATTGGATATAAAAAGAGCATCCTTCAGAAGATTAGGAGGGGATCATCACTCTGTGAAAGACTGCGCAGGCATATAGTGTAACAATTCAAGAATATTTTACATTTCATGTAAAATAGGCAAGAAATTTAGAATTTCACCATCTTTGGTTCATAATATCATTAAAAAATTCAGAGAATCCTGATAAACCTCTGCATACAAGTGACAAGGCCGAAAACTAATATTGGGTGGCCATGATCTTCCAGCCCTCAGGTGGCACTGCATTAAAAACAGTCACGGTTCTGTAGTGGAAATCACTGCATGGGCTCAGTTACAGTTCTGAAAACCACTGCCTTTGAACACAGTTCGTCGCTGCATCCACAAATGCAAGTTAAAACTGTACTATACAAAGAAGATACCATATATAAACAATCAAAGTACATGAACAAGCGAGGGTCAAAAGCCTGAGTCCAAAAAGTCCAAAGTCCAAAGGAGAATCCAGAAGAGTAAACAAGGGACAAAAATGATCAAATAACACGGGAAGCATAAACAGGAAAACCACTCGATATGCAAAAGACAAGTCTAACAGCACTTTACATCTGATATGAACATATATATATATATATATATATATATATATATATATATATACAAACAGATAATGAGCACAGGTGAAAACAGTTAGGATCTGTATAGCTGGTTATGATTGGTTGGTGTAAGCCTTGTGACTGTGATCTTGGGTAGTGTGACAATTGATGATTAAAAATGAAACATTAAATGTAGCCTAGGCAAAAGTTATGCACTGGGTGAAACTCAGATTCCACCCTTTAATTAATTTAATTTTCAGTCAAAACAGCCATTAAGTACAATCCATACATTTTCAGCATTAGGAAAAAAGGCAGAAAACATATACTGAGCAGAACATTACACAGGAACTTTGACAACTAAATACAATATCATCTGTTTCAGTATTTAATGTGTCCACTTGTTACCTTTATTACAGCTTTTATTCTTTTCAGGAGATTGAAAGGTTCAGTCTGATCAGGCATAGTGTGCTTGTGTGCAGCAATTAATAGCATAGAACTGTTGTTATATTTTAAAGAACTTTTAAATTCGAATTATAGGAGTTTAAAACACCGCCTCATGTAAGCCAATGATGTCTGTGAGCGCGAACAGCCAATGAGCTGCTCCGCTCGCCAACCAGTCAGCACTCATTAGCAGTAATGCTAGTGTCCTCCTATAAATGGGAAAATAGGAAGTGGCCAGGCTCCTCATAAACTGGCTCTGACCATAGCAGCCATCTAGCAACACCCTAGCAACCAGGAGGCCATAGCAAATGCCTAGCAATGCCTTAGCAACCTCCGGGCAATGGGCTAGCAAGATGTTAGCACCTAAAATACCATAGTAACCATTTGTCAACACCTAGGAACTACTTAAGCTACAAAATCCTGCTGCATTTTCTTCAGGAAATGCACTTTTCTGTTCTTTTCTATCCTGTTGTTTTCTATCCTGATGTTATCAAAAATGTCTTCTGAAAAATGAATAGCTTGTACTTGGCTATTTTGACTGGGAATTAAATAAATGAAGGTCTCTTACTTTTGCATAGTATTGTATTTATTACTATAACACTGTATTTTGCTCACTCCCTGTCTCATATAGTGCCTGTGTTTGTGGGTGCACTCTGCACTCTCTTTCTCTTGGTGGCACTGTTCTCTGCAGCCCTGATCTACAGAGGTCAGCTTGGTGTTCTCCACAAGCTGCTACCAAGAACATTGGTATTTAAAAAAAGTTTCTTACTTTAGCACATTGTTGATATTTGGATTATGTTGGTGGAAATAAGAATAGTACATGGAACATCATTCATATCACTTATTTTATTTGCTAACACATTTCCCTCTGACACATTGTATTCTGTTTGTTTGTCTTCTTCTCACTCCTTTTCAATCTCTCTCATCTGTATATAGAGTGCTTAGGTTCTCCACTGGCTTTGATGTTTCCTGGACCCCTGAGTATTGCCAACATCAAAATGCAAATGCTTAATGACCCAGAGAGCTATGACAGCACTTTGCAGGCCAGGTTCTAAAAGTAGAATGTGATGTTCTGGTTTAAGATGTTCTTAAAGAGCCTCTGTGAGACACTTGTAGAACTGGATGTTCTGCTAGCCTGATTGGTGAAGATGCATGTAGATACATGTACACTGCCACTCAAAAGTGTGGGTTCACTGATTTCATTCTTATAAAACCAGTTTCTTTGAAGATATGTGTATAAAATGATTCTACGATAAAACCATTTTCTTACAATTTCAAACAGGCTGCAGGAACCTGTAAAAATTAAGACATTTTCGATGATAAATTGGGCTGTAAATGATTTCATGATAATTGAGAAATCTGTACAGCATTGAGAATGACATTCTAAAGAAACTGATCTGAGCTTCATATTTGAAAACCAAATCTCACTAACATCTATTTATAGTGTTTTTGTGACAACAGTTTCAGTAAACAGAAAAATTATAGCTTATTATTTAAAAACACCAGCATATAATTTTTTACTATGTCCTAACTTCATGTTATTCCCAAAATACTGTAAACTGTGAATAAAGTATTGGTTTTAGTATATTGTTTATAGAATTTGAATGTACGCTGTATAAGTTACTATTGTATAACAATTATTGTTATGAAAAGTGACCCCAAACTTTTGAGCGGTAGCATAGTTTAAGAACATTTGGCTTTCAAACATTTTTACTGAGTCCATGATCGTAGCTGCTACATTAACCCAATATAAGGTACAATTCGTTAGCTTCTGGTGTGAGTTCAATTCTATACTATACTCTTGAAGTATCACTCTTCTAACAATCATTTCTGCATAATTAGGTTGAAATACATCATTCCAGAGGAATTATACTATTCACAGTGCTGGTGATAAGAAGCAGACATCCACCTCTAAAGGCCCCCTCACATAAAGTTATTAGATGAAACGGTTATCAATAAGCTGCCTGATGTCTGAGACATTGTTTTATGACAGTTTTGAGACAATTTTAGCCTTAAAATCCTTTAATGGCGGAGGAATACATGCAGGGTGTTGTGAGGCAATATAATCCCCAAAGAAAACTGAATCAATTCAGATTTTCCACTATTTTACCATCATGAACATTTCGTATAAAAACTCAGAAGACACGTGTAGGTTCACTGGTGGTTTTGAATAGTAAATAAAATAGCTATATTTTTGATGTAGACGTGGCGACCCCTGGTTCCTATAGCTACCACTGTAAAAAAATCTTTACCATTTTAGGGCAAATCACTCTGAAGTTTTGAAAAAAAAAAATGGTGGAATTCCTCTTAAATGTGTGCAGTATGCTGTATATGTGTCCTGACAATAATTCCATTCACATGGAAAAGAAGATTAACTGAAAAAATAAACAAATGTAATATTGTTTTACATTAAACAAAAGCTGCACAGATCATCTCAGTTGCTTCGATGAAACTGCTGCGTTCATTGCGTAATCATACTGAAACTGACATTTTCAGCTTTTGTAAAATAAAAGTGTGAAAGGCAGACTAATGTTTTTTTCTGATGCATGCTGTGCTCAGTTTATCTGATTGAATGCCGTCACATTTCTGTATAAAACAGTACACATTTGAACATGAACTCCAGAAAGCTGAAAGCTGCTACATGACTCCATTGAAAGAAAATTATTACTCAGCAATTATTCAGCAGTAGAAAGTGTCTGTACTTTCTGTAGGCAAAGTAATAAAATTTCTATTCATTTATGTCTGGAAAAAACTTAGCCTGCAGTATCTTTAACTTCCCTGCCTACTCATTCACTTTTACATCAGCCTAACTGTGTTCATCTTGAGAATTTGATTCTTTTTTTTACTTTTTTTTTGCGAAATATTATATTCATAAGCAGAATTTGACCAACTACACCCCTTCCCTGATTCTCTATCTATAAAATCCCCCTATTTGTTTTTTGTTTTATCTTCTTCCATTTTTTTATACATAAACTAACACTATTTATTGTTATGTTTTCGTTCTTGTAAAACTATTCAACCTCGTAAGTTAACATATGTTACATAAAGTGTTATTTAATTTTCTATATTACATCTATTATGTCATATCATCCTGAACAAGATGCATTTACCTTGTTTAGGAATCCAAATAATTTTATTTCACCAAGTATGTTATGATTAAGAGGAATTAGTCTTGGTAAGTGCACACATGTATTACATGTAACATACTGAACGGACCAGACAGCACACAGACTGTACATAGAATAAAGATGAGAAAGCTATGAATGCCTAATCTGCTGTTTTTGATTATCTTTTGTACATTTGAACACTGTAACTACAATGCCTGACTTTTAAATAAATAAATAAATAAATAAATAAATAAATAAATAAATGCCTGTTTTGATTGAGCTGAAATGTGTCGTTACTGGAAAAGAAATACAAGTGTTAAGCGTTCAGCACTACTTTCGTTTTCTCGTCAAGACCCGCCCACAGTAGTAGGAGCCCCGCCTCCTACTCATTTACAGGAACAGCTCGCCTCTATGAGCACAGAGGTGTCCCGGCGAACTTCTTCTCTTTTCTTGTTTTTTCACTCTCTCTTAGACCCGGAGTCATGATTTTAACACTTATAGTGCTGATGTTGTACTCATGTGTCTCTGCTGAAGGTGAGGAACTGTGTTTTTGTACTTTTAATATCGTTAGATAAGGACTTTTACCGTGTTGACCGAATGAGTAACTACAGAATCAGTAATTTACAATACCAGCCGTTTCTGAGCTGAGCTAGGCTATTAAGTTCTGTTACATTAACGTTTATCTGGTGAAAAATTTAGTTATTCAGTTCTCCTCGTTGTAGTTTGGTATGTCATAGCCGGTAGTGTTTGGGGGAAATCCACAGTGTTCAGCTTACTGTAAATTCCTCCTCGGTTTCCGTCAGCAGGCAAAATTGAAGTTGACATCATCTTGTTCGCATTTTCCCGTTCCACCTTAAATGGAGCAGCCGTTAGTTTGTTTTTAACCGACTTGCACGGTTTCCAAAGCAGCTGTAGCCGCTAAAACACAAAAGCTAAACAGTTGGAAAACTTCGAAACTTTAAGAATAGAAGCATTTTGTTTTTCCCAAGAACTTCCTATTAGTGTTCAGTTTGCCTCAATGATCCACTGTTACATTCAGCACCGCAATGATACGGTTTGGAAAGTAACAATTCAATATTAGGCGATATTCTGGTTATAAATTCAGATCGATTTTTTTTTCCTGGCAAAATACAGTCGTGTTAAAAAGGTTGGGCACCCCTTGTCAAACTATGCTTTCTGTGTTAGTACATAATAGGAAAATCACTCATAAGTTTATAATATGCACAGTAAACAGTTCCATATTATGCAGATTATTGAGCATGAATGATCTAGTTCACACTGTAGTAGTGTAGCATACATACACTGCAAAAAGTATATTTTGGCAAGTGTAATCATTTTGAGATTGTTGTAAGCTTGGTATAAGATTTGTTATTATAAGATTGTTTAACTTGAGCTGCTTCTAAAGTTTTTCTTCTTTTTAGTGATTTTAGTAATTCAAATTAACTAGAAAAGTTATCTGCCAATATAGTGAGAATTTAAATGTCTACAAATGAGATATTTATAGATATTTAGATAGATTTAAGATATTTTCACTTGCCAAGATACAATTTTTTTGTAGTGTGTGTAGGTTCTAGATAGTGTAGATTGGTTTTGTTCTATTCAAGGTTGTTTCTGAGAAGCTTATTAGTCACCAGTACATCAGGATTACGTATTCTAAAGTGCAGTTGAACGCTTCTATGGAACACACCACATTTTGGAAAATATTTAATCTTTTGGCAAAATGCCATGAATAGGTGCTGAATTTTGCAATGCAAATTGATGTAAACTTGTATATCATTAGTGATGATTTAAACTGCACTTCAGAATATGGGACTGTTACAACCCCACATTTTCTCTCCAACCCTAGTCCTGGAGATCTACTTTCCTGCAGAGTTTAGTTCCAACCTGTATCCAATAAGCTGCTCCGCCCTTTACTTAACTCTAATACATCTGAGCCAGCCAATCAGAAAAGAGGTTGATTAGCTGGAGCAGGTGTGGCACATTGTGGTTTGGACTAGGCTCTGCAGGAAGGAGGCTCTCCAGGACCAGGGTTGGAGACCACTGCTGTAGGGCGCTGTGGGTTCAGTAACATATGGCATCAAAAATATTGAACTGGCGATGAACGGATAAAAACAGGAGGAACAGGCAAGTTTTCGAACGACAATTACAACACTGTGCTGTGATATCCAGTAGCATGCTTGAAGAATTAAACTGTGGATGGCACCAAAGAAACCAAACAAACAAAACAAAAACTCTTAACTACTCTGGAACAAAAAGTACTTGGCTAAAAGGTGTGAAATACAGGGGGTCCTTTGGGGTCTGGAACCTTCTATTAATATCTTTGACCCCTAAATGTTTGAAAATCAGAATTCTTGGGGGTCCATGAAAATAAACTTATTATGATGTTTCTGTAGCCATTAGGGAAAAACAGATGCCCAGATACAAATTCAGAGAAAGGTCATAGTTTTGCTGCTTCACCTACATTCAGCAAGCTATGCAGCACTGGTCTGCCTCAGGGTGGTGCTGTTTCAGAATGGTTCACCTAGTTGGTCCTTTCATAGCCTAGAGGTTGGTGAAAAGAGTTGTTACTTATTTCTAAAACTGAAGGCAGAAGAGAAGATGTGTAAAATCACAGTTAATGCGTGGAAGAGCACATTTCCAAACTAGAAAAGAGCATTTCCAAAGTAGAATTGTTAAACCAAACATTTTGGTGCCATTGAAGCATCAGCGTTGCTATAGCGAGTGAGTTAACAGCCAGCCAGCGCTGGAGTAGCCAGCCAACATGGTATCCCCAAATACCAGGGGTGGTATTTCACATGCTGCTTGACTACAGAAACAGAACTAAACCTAAAGCTAACCACACTGCACTTCCACTGAATCTAAAGTACATGTGACTGTGCCAGCCCTCTGAACTAGACAGAGTAAATGCATAGGCGCATCCCTCTTACCTGTTTGATAAAATCCCAGGTTAAGCCTGTCGCAATTATTACACAATCGCCTAATTGCAATTATTTGGAGTTATTTAAGCCCACTGCAACTGTTTTCTACAATTGTTAGATTTCACAGTGATATTATACTGCAACAAGCTAAGTGAATTGGATGTGTTGGGTAGATAAATGTAAATAAGACATAAATAAGACAGAAGTGAACTCATTTGAGGCACCATTGGGCTTATGAAAACATAAAAACTCTGTGAAGCTGGCCCCCCATGTAGTCAGAAATGGAATAAAAATACTACTATTCGTTTGTGCTGTGTTTGTGCCGTAGGTATCATCGCTTGTGCTGATGGTTTTTCAGAAATTAAGCGTTATACTTACTTATATTACCTGTGATGTCAGCCTCCCATTAACCTCTAAATCGCACAAAAATGGTCTCTTTCGTTTGTGAAACGTTTGTGCTATTTTAATTTGAGTTATAAAACAGTCTCATTTGTTTGTGCTGCTAAAATAAACGTTTGTGCTACTTTAATTTTCAAGTTATTAAGCAATAAGATTTGATGTCATGCAGCCCTCCATCAATGTCCAAATCATGCCAAAACGGTCTCATTCTTTTGTGTTGCATTTGTGCCGTTAAAAGAAATGTTCTTTTAATTCTTAAGTTATTGGATAAACAGTTTTTGTAACAAGCAATGACATTTACCACAGCACTGGCACTGGCTGATTTTGAAGATTTTCATTTATAGAATATAGGGTAGGGAAGGCATAAATTTAGCTTCAGTGTTGCACCCAGAAAAATTTAATCTAGAAGATTTATATTGTGATTTAATTATTACAACCATGCAAAACTTTAAAGCTGTGCTCCAAGTAGTTTTTATGTTATGATTCTTTAAAGTTTGCCCAACTGAAATAGCCAGATAACTCTTATCATCAAGAACTCAGCTTCTCAGGAGGCAAAAAGGCATTTCTCAGATCTTTAGCTAGTGCCAGTGATGTGGTAAATATGTCATCGCTCGTGACAAAAACTTTATCCAATAACTTAAAGATTAAAAGAGCACAAACATTTCTTTTAACGGCACAAAAGCAGCACATAGAAATGAGACCGTTTTGGCGCAATTTGGACATTGATGGGGGGGGTGGACAAGCCTTACATCACCAAGCGCAATGCGAAGCATTGAATGCAGTGGTGTAAAGCACGCCGCCACTGGACTCTAGAGCAGTGGAGACTGGTTCTCTGGAGTGACGAATTGCGCTTCTCCGTCTAGCAGTCCGATGGAGGAGTCTGGGTTTGGCGGATGCCAGGAGAACCGTACTTGTCTGACTGCATTGTGCCAAGTTTGGTGGAGGGGGGATTATGGTGTGGGGTTGTTTTTCAGGAGTTGGGCTTGGCCCCTTAGTTCCAGTGAAAGGAACTCTTAATGCTTCAGTGTACTAAGAGATTTTGGACAATTTCATGCTCCCAACTTTGTGGGAACAGTTTGGGGATGGCCCCTTCCTGTTCCAACATAACTGCACACCAGTGCACAAAGCAAGGTCCATAAAGACATGGATGAGCGAGTTTGGTGTAGAAGAACCTGACTGGCCTGCACAGAGTCCTGACCTCAACCCGACAGAATACATTTGGGATGAATTAGAGTGGAGACTACGAGTCAGGCCTTCTCGTCCAACATCAGTGTCTGACCTCACAAATGCGCTTCTGGAAGAATGGTCAAAAGTTCCCATAAACACACTCCTAAACCTTGTGGAAAGCCTTCCTAGAGGAGTTGAAGCTGTAAGGGTGGGCCAACATCATATTAAACCCTATGGATTAAGAATGGGATGTCACTCAAGTTCATATGCGTGTGAAGGCAGACAAGCAAATACTTTTGGCAATATAGTGTATAGTATATAGTATAGTTTATAGTATAGTATAGTTTTTGTGCATAATCACAACTAATGCAGCTTTCACACAGAAGATCTCCAAAAATGTACTAATACAGGTTATAATACAATGTTATGCACAGTGAAAGTGTCTGTGAGCTTTACTGAGCAAAGACCTTAAACAAGACCTTAAATAACCCCACTATGTGTTCATTAAAATAGTGATAACTAATTTAATAGATCTGGGACAGTTCTTTCTCATAATTACTGAAAATATTACTCTGGACAGTCACACTGTTGAGGACAATGATCAGAATATCAAATGACTTCAACTGCATTTTTCAGCTATGAAAAAAGATTTTCTAAATAGGCATTTCCTATTCTCTTATCATATGATATCATATTTTTTGATAACATATTTTATGATATTTTATGATATTTGTATTGGATTTTGACTTCTGAAAACTTTACACAAAAAATGCATTACAATTAAACAGTTCCAACAAGGCTCGCACAGAAAAAAAAGTGAAAAAAAGTTCTTGTTACAGAATCATCTGATGCAAGAGATCAAGGAAACAATATTAAAATGGCTGCTTGGTTTGACCCCATAAAGTTGGAGTAGGTGATTTATATTAGAAACATTTTTTGTTTTATATTTCCTGAAATACTCTTTACCACCCAATTGCAATTAATAAACCAAGTGCTCTTACAATAAAATTAAAGAAAAAAAACGTTATTTGTGAAGGCCACGACTGTAGATATCCTGTTCATTCATTTTATTTGGACTGAGTGAAATGATTGGATGGCCTTTCTGTTTGTCTACCTACCTCCCTCATGACCTGGCGAAACCTAAGGGAGTTGAACGGCCCAGAAAGTGACGACAAGGTTGCTAATTTTCTGTTGGACAGGTTATTATCTGATTTGTTTATGGGGGAATTTATTTTCCTGAATTATGTAGCCAACGTAGCTAGCAGCTTATGTGGCTACATTATGTATTAGTCCAGCGCTGAAGTTAGTTAAGCCCTAGGTGAAAGCTAGCTAGCTATGTTTATCTCGTATCTGTGTGTCTGCATAGTAGTCAGGCCATGCATGTTCATGTGTTTTGGGGAAGTAGCTTTAGAAGGAGGGCTGAAATTATTTGGTTGGATTTTTTCAAAACTCGCTTACACTTCCTGACTTCTACAAAATCATTTACCCCAGCTTTAATACATGGCTTCCATACCTTGTAGAAGTGGTCTGTATTAGAATGGTGTGCACAATTTAAAAACTTCAATGCAATTAAGTCCCTTAATATCTTATGCCAACCACTCACAGTTGGCATTTTCCCAGTAGTAAAATATTCTTCCTTTTTGCAAAGGTAAGTAGGCTATATTGTACAAATACTGTTAATATAGTCAAAGTATGAAAAAAATTATTGCAAACACAAGTATCAAATAATGACCTTCCTGTAAGATATGGTAAAATGAAACCCCAGTATCAATAAATAAATAACTCATACAGTAATTGTTCATATGATGAAAAGCAACCTCACAACAATGCATGTCTTGAAAATAAGAAAATTTAATGAAAGTGAAGATGTTTAAACCCTTTATTTTTTGTTTTATCACTGTCATATGTAGCAAGAACTCAAGTGCCTTTGTCTGTACTGCCTTTATTTTTCTCAGGTCAAGTTCCCTCACCTGAGAATGTGAGAATAGTTTCACAGAACATGGGGCTGGTTTTGGAATGGGATCCACCCCAGAACTCCACTGGGAAGGACTTTACTTACAGAGCGGAGTACAAGTAAGATAAAACTAGTGGTTTGAGAGAGTCTAGAGGAAACCAGTGCCCTGTAATATTATATTTAATGCAATATTTAAAGGAAAAAAAAACAAATTTGTAAAGCACTTTCAGCTGCGTTTTATGAATGAAAAGTTCTCTGCAAACTAAAGTTGTAGTTGGTATTTGTGTTGTAGGGGATGGAGTTCATTTGTGTCCGTTTGTCTGAATGAATCATCACGCAGATGTGATTTCACCAGTGTAATCTCTGTCTTTGGGACTTACAAGTTTCGTGTGCGGGCAGAACTGGAAGGAAAAAGCTCTGATTGGGTAAAGACTGACACCGTAGCTCTGGATGAAATAAGTGAGTGTGCCCTCATTGTAAACCCAGTTTACAGATGTTACTATGGGTAACATTTTGGTCAATTTAGTATGTGGACACCTGACCATCACGTCTATATGAGCTTGTTGGACATCCCATTTCAAAATCATGAGTATTAACATAAGGTTAATTACCAAACCCAGATTTGTCCATCAGACTGCCAGATTGAGAAGATTCATTAATCTAGAGAACACGTTTCTAGTGCTGCAGAGTCCAGCTTTACACCACTCCAGCTGACACTTAACATTGCATAGTGATCTTGGGCTGCTCAGCCATGGGAACCTATTTCATAAACCTCACAGTTCTTGTGCTGATGTTGCCTCCAGAGGCAGTTTGGAACTCTACAACATAGGATAGATGATTTTTACACACCTACAGCCCGCTCTGTGAGTTTGCATGGAGTGCCTCTTCATGGCTGAGCTGTTGTTGATCCTAGCAGCTTCCATTTCACAATAATAGCACTTACAGTTGACAGTTGGGGCAGATTTAGGAGAGAAGAAATTTTAATGAACTGACTTGCCTTTCTAATTACAGTGCCGTATTTAAAGTCACAGAGCTCTTCTGTAAGACCCATTCTACTGCCAGTGTTTGGCTGCGGAGATTGCATTGCTATGTGCTTGATTTCATACACCCTGAACTCAATAGTTCAGAGGGGTGTCTGCATACTTTTGGCTGCATAGTGTAGATATAGCACCAAAAGGGTTCTGATATTTTTATGCTATCAAGTTTGTAAAAATAGCAGAATCCTTTTTGGTGCTATATATAACCATAGACAGCACATTCTCAATCAAACTGAAGAACTATTTCACCATGCAAAGAACCATACTTTGAGTGTTTATGGTTCTAAATGGAACCATTGTCTTTACTAAAAAAACCCTTGAAGAACCATCCTTTTTAAGAGTGTCTGATATAGTGCAGTATATGCCATTTAATATGTTTGTACAGGGCAGGTTCTAGTAGTTTGTTCTATTTTATGTTGGAGCAGCTCTCGTTAAGGGCCTCAGTGTTCTATGGCAGGTTCTCAGTTCCAGCACTAACTGCTAATAGTCTTGTATGATAATACACAGTGAGCATTGGACATGTTTTAATTTTAATTCTTAATGGTTATTTCATTATAAATACTGCACACATATTCCGTTCATTTAAAAAAATGACATTCAGAATGTATGTTTATAGCTTAAAACATTTTGCAAATTTTGAATGCAATTTTAAAATAGTCACAAAATGCAATACCAGCACTTGTATATGTATATATTGGTATATGACAACAATCCATGGGGATTTCCAGTGAGTTTACACTAATGTTGTTATTTAATTGCTGATTAGCATTTATTGTTTTGACTTCCATTTTACTATTGTAAGAGCCGCCTCCTGTCTTTCATCTGCAGCTTTGATAAGCGCACCTAATGTGATGCTGGAAAGCACCAGGGGGGGAGTCGAGGTTGATATCACTGATCCTGTCCTAAGAAAAGGAGATCTTAAGTCTCTGTATCACCTTATTTCTTACCACATTCATTACTGGATTGAAGGGGAAGCGAAAAAGGTAATAATGCCACATTTTAAAATTATTTATCTTGTCAACCTTCCTTTAACATGGTCCACTGTGTCGGGGAGCCCAGGGCACAGCCAGACATGGAGTAAAATGTCACACAGATTTTTATGTAGACATTATTATGTAGATTATTAAGAAAGATTTTGCTCACTTTCTTGGTGGCTGTAAAATAGCACCATTTTGAGGCACGTAAACAGCTTACAGTGAGAGCTAGCCAGGCTAAAGTGCAGCCTTTATACGAGGGGCTAGTTTAACATGCTGTTACACCCCAAAGTAAAAAATGAGAGCAGTCCATTTCCTCCTGTAAAAATAAAAAAGGCGTTTTTTGGATTCTTTTTTATTCAGTCATCAAAATGTACTATAAAAGGATATACATTTTATTCTTCTGATATTTGCCATTCTGCTTTGTAGTCAAAAATAAATTGGCTTTTCTGCAATTGGCTCTTCCCCTCTCCCTTCCCTAATTTTCAATTTTGTACCATAATGTCTGATTTGATCGGTGAGCCAAAGAACTGAGAAAGTTGTTGAAAAATCCTAATTGACCATTAGTCTTGTTGACCATTATTGACCATTATGCTAAACTAAAACACCATGTTTTTTCAGTTCTCTTCCAATAGCCCTGTTACTTTGTCTGAGCCATGTTCTTTGATTATCTGCAGGAAGAGCTGAAGACAGAGCAGAGCAGGGTAACGCTTCCAGATCTTACACCCAGGGTCCGGTACTGTGTGCAAGTGAAGATAGCTGTGAGTGGTAACAAAACTAGCCTGCCAGGCAATGCAACCTGTATACTCAACACTGAAAGCGGTAAGCTTCTGCCTAACAGTAGTGGGCTGTAAGGGCAAAAATGTATATCACGGTATAATTAAGATTGCTGACAGTTTTGGTATATATCGCAGTATAGTGTTTGTACGTGTATTTTTTTTCAAATAAAACCATTTTGGATGCTCAAGTAAACCTTTTCTATAGATTAACAATGGTGTATTATACTGGATGTCCCTTCATGTTTAATAAGAACCATATTTGACAATTTAAGTAAATCTAAAATATTTTTATTGGGTGAAATAGAAATGAACAATACATAGACAGATGTCAGTATTGCTTTCTAACCCTAAGGTTGAGTGCATGTGAAGCCCACAGCAGCTTTTCTGAACATGGCAAAAACTGGGCTATAAGTTATTTTGTGAAAGTCATTTCTCTCATATGTGCTGTCTCTTACATTCGAGCTTTAACCTACATCGGACACTGCTGGAATTTAGTAAACATAACAAGCTGTTTACGCTATCAGTTTTAGCTGAGAAGCTGCGGAGCCTCTTGGCTTGTAGGCCGAGACCATGGCATCGCCTGAAGCAGCTGACCTAGTGAGTGGCGCCATAGGTTGTGCACACGGAAAGCCGGCAAGTCTCCCTTCTAGGCTAATGGCTAACAGCTAACCTCAAGAGCCTGGCTTTTCATTGCACTCTCCTTGTCTTCTTTTCTTATACTATGTGTATATACACTGCTGTTAAAATTTAATCACTGGCTCATTTAAAGCTAATTTTGTACTGTCGAAATTTGTGAAGCTTGAGTCTAATATATAACTTGTAAATTAGTTGGTTTCTGTCACAAAAAATTAAAATTAAATTAAATGTACCTCTGTGAACCAAGCACATGCAAAGCAACAGACTGCAGATTAAAAATAAAAAGTCAATTTTTAACAATTTACATTAAAATGATGTAATGAAAATCAGATAAAACAACAAAGTAATGATAGATCATCCACATGTGCACCCTGCCAGCTGAACATGTTCTCTAAATAAACAGAATATTAATGATAATTTGATGAAATTTATTAAAGTAAATTATATATATTTAAAAAAATGGAAATCGTTTTGCATGACATCATTGTTCACATCACATATATGCACTCCCAACACACCTTCCCGAGTCCCTGAAATTGTGAAACCAATATAATCACATTTGTGCATTTTTAAGCTGCGGTGACATGTTTAACCACTTCTGTTATTGTCAAGTTTTCTAACATTTTTTATCCTTGGGTTCAGTTTGACCCCAGCAATTTAAACCTCTGGGAAGTATCAAAGGTCTGGTGGGAATTATGTTCTAACCTTCCCCATGTGGTGTGAACTATCAGTGGTTCTCATACTACTACACATATGATTGTTAGTTTAGGGCCCTGAAGCAGAGGGAAGTTTTTTTGAAGATTACAAAATTGAATGTTGAAGTGACCTCAGTATCATCCAAAACAACCAAAGCAAATGTGTGTAAAAGAGTTGATATTTCTTATGTTTTATACAGCTAAAACAGCCTGAGATAAAACTGATCCCAAAGAACACCACTGAGTACAAAATGTGTACAGTTTACAGAGCCAAAGTGACACAAAAGGCCACGGTCCACTTACTTACAGACTAATATCTGTGTATTATTGGTTGTTTAGGCATAAGGAAGTGCTAAATGAAACACAGAAGTGCTTTAACCTATTTTCACAGTAGCCATAAAATGCATGCTGATTCTGAGCTTCCTCTGTTATTGCACTGTGCATTTTTTGTTGTAACATCGATGGAATATATTTTTATGATGGAAAAGTGTGTGATTTAGAGAACTGGAAGCAAACTAGATTGTGTAGGTAAGTGTGATTTGTTTAATTGCTCACTAGCAGCTCAACAACATTTCAAACACAGAGACAATAGTTCATCTAATAACAGAGTTATGGGGCAAATATTTTATTAATTAAAAATTCATTTATTCATCACTTCGCTTGAGTCGATCCCTGTGCTCATTGAACGGAAAATAGGACAGGCCACCACTCCATCACAGGGCAGACACACACATTTAGGGAAGAACGTGCAAACTCCACACAGAGAGAACCCCGGTTGCCCAGCTGGGGAGCTGCACCCAGGCCCTTCTTGCTGTCAGATGACAGCGCTACCCACTGCACCGCTGGGGAATGGCAACTGGGGGTCACTGCAGAAAGTAATTGAGAGTACTAAGATACAATTACAAAATTGGTTCATTTCAGCTGTTACATTTAACTCAAGGTCTCTGCACATTTTGTAGTTTTAGCTATGCCTTTTTATGTCTCAAATCCTATATGCACTGAGGCATTATGTATGCACTGTTGGGATGACTGTATTTTCAGTCTTTTAATGAATGTCTCTCTCCCTCTGTCTGTAGAAGAGGTGCAGCCATGGCTGATAGTGGGTGTGCTGCTGGCCAGTTTCGGGGTGGTTCTGGTTTCTGTGGTCCTAATTTTCTTTGCGGTGTGGTACACATACAGGGGAATCAGATTTCTGTGCCCACAAGCCAAACTGCCAGAACACTTTAAACAGGTTTGTGTGTGTTAGACAGAGAGAGAGAAATACATTGAGTATCTGCACTCACCAGCCTCTTTGTTAGGTACATCTACCTTGTGTCTACAGTCAGGGCCAAACGTATATACCAGCGCAGGTACAGCGGAAAACGTGCCTCAGTGTAACCACAATATGCCCCACAATGCACCTGAATTTAACATTCAGTTTACTAAGGCTGCAGCTTATCACGCAATCTTTTCCCCCACCCAACTAACCGCTCGCTCCTGAGAGTTTAAAAGGAGCATGAAATAATGAAGCTGTCAACAAGTTGGAGACAAAACAGAAAATGAAATTTCAGTGATGAAGAGAGGGAGATGCAAATAACAAAGTTCTTCCCTCTAAACATGCTAAAGGGGTGTAATTTTACCCCTTTACTATTACTAAGACAACAGTGGTTGTGAATTGATAACATGGACACATCACTGCATGTTTTGCGTCCACATCTTTTCACACTAAGGCTGTATGATATTGACATAAAATGTGACGTTGGATAAACCTGTCAGATATGATGATATGAGAAGCAAAAAATTACAATTAAGAGTGTGCCTCTGACTGGATGTAACGCAAGCACAGATGTCTAATCTCTCCTTTAAGCAAATAGCAAAATACAAAATTACAAAAGCACTGTTCACTATTGTGCAAAATAAAAATAAAATAATGAAACAAAATGCTAACAGCTACTTGCATAAGAACTGAGAACACATTTTATGTGCACTGAAAGGCTGAGAAACAGTCAGCATTAACTTAACAGCTGTTTCCATAAACACTAATAAATATATATTTATTTTTTATATGGACACACAAAAACAAATATTTGTTTATTTAGTTAGCTTTGTTCAGTTGTAGTCATTACTGCCTTGCATCGAACTACATCAAACAATCCTTACGTTTGATTTGTTACTGGCATGTAGCCCAGCATGGAGGAGTGTTTGACCTATGCATGTGTGTGTGTTTTTAGCTGAATGGTTACTTGTCCCCTGTGTGGGAGAGCAGGATTCAATCACAGTGCAGAGAGGCACTCATTAGGCTTCTAACGGTTTGTGATGCAAACATAGAGATAACAAAAAAATACGATTTAACGTACAGCCCTATCCCTCACACATGAGAAGACAGTATTATTCTGATAGTGAACCTTTTTTATCTCATCTCATGTCAGAGGCTTGTGCCTCCTCTAGCTGCTATATCTGCTTCTGTTCTTAGAGGAAGCCTCTCAACAGCACATCTTTTGAGTCCCCAACTATGCTTTAGGCAGCTGTCAATAGTATAATCAATCGATGACAATTTACATCTTTCATTATTGTCAATCAAGTAAAAACGCGCTGTACGCGGATTTTTCATGTTGTGTTGAATTCCAACACCTCTGCTGGATCCAGCTCTCCTTTGTGTGCATTGGGGAATATGAATATATATTGATCATTCTACTGAACTGGTTAAAGGTGAAAGCTGAAAACACATTTGGGACTTTTAAATGATCTTGGACTTTAGACTAAAATCCTTTTTTCTTTGACTGACTTTATACCTTAATTATTAGTTTATTTTATTTTAAAAATTATTGAACATTTCATTTTGTCCCTACCAAAACAATCATAACACTACTGAAACTTTACCAAATGTTTCATTAGTAACTGTTTTGTTAGTGACATTTTAGGTCATTGGAGCACAACCCAAAACACTAACAAGTACATGACTAGCAAACACACACACAAAAGAAGTCATTGAAAAAAAAAGTGTACATTTAGGGGTTAGGGTTTGGGACAGACCATTCCCAATAGAAAGTACCTTATAAATTATGATTTTGTATATATTTAGTATATTGCTATCTTTGAGTTTAAAAAGATCATAAGTCCCTGTAAATGTCTAAGCTCTGAATATTTCATTTTTAGAGTTTTTTTCTTTTTTCCTTTTAAATATATCTTCAAAAAATCAACATTAACAATTTATAAAAAAAAAAAGACTACAGACACAAAACAGCTGTGTTCATCTACACAGTTTTGTTCATGTTTATAGCTCACAGTGAGTCATACTGTGCCCTAAACCACATTAACAAGTCTGCGCTACCTTAACAACGAGCCTGGATGTGGTTTGAGTGGGTCGAGAAACATTTTTGGGGATGCGTTTTCACAGAAAATATTTGGGTAACTATTGACATCTAGTGTTTGTCAGCAAAATTAACGTTAAACTGAACAAGCACAGTTTGGACACCGCATGTCATGGCTGATCAGTCACATCTGGATTTAGTGATTTTACTGGAACAGTAAATTACTCCATTTTAATATTTCCTGACTAATTGTGGTGTAAAATATATATTTATGCTCAATTTAAGAATATACCATGAATTCAAAGATAGAAATTATTAAATAACTTTCAAACAAGGTAATTAATCTCATGTTTCCAGATCCAAGATTTTAAATCTTGACAAGCACAGTACAATTTGCAATAAACACTAGTGCTAGGAATGGAGGGCACAAATTTGTGTATTTCTGTGTGCTGCGGTGTTTTTTGTTGCTTTTTTTATTTGTCATCCATAGAAGATCCATCAATCTCATTCTCACCGATTTTCTTCCCTTTTTGTTACTTGCAGTACTTATCTGAGCGTCCCAAATCCTCAGAGTTCCTGGCCATGCAAAACAGCCTTCAGCCCGAGGAGCGTTACCATGAGGTCAGCATCATTCCATGTCTGGAACACCCCACTGCATCACAAGACCTCCAGAAGACACAGGGCCCCAAATGCACTAAGCTGTATGCAAACATCTCTTCCAAACCAGAGGAGGCCCTAAACCAGGAGAAGAAGCTCTGTGACCACAAGCAGAGAATGGACAATGAACACACAGAAAGGAATGCAGCCCTGTCAGGTTGTCACGATGGAGAGACGGAGCTGCTTTTGCGATAGTGTATCACATATGTTTAAATACTGTATAGTCGTGTGTAAAGGTTTATGCGCCCCCGGTTAAAGCTCACAGGTTGAAAACCACTGCTTTACACTTTTGCAAATTATAATGCACAATACTGTTTATTTGCTGAACGTAACACATAACAGAAACTTAGTAAATCGTGCAATAAAATTTGCAAAAATCTGAGCTGGAGTGTTCAGACTTTTGCATACGACTGTATACAATATTTCTCAGTTAAAACATAATAGTAAATATCACTTTATATCATGTCACTTTTACAGAGGATCAGCTCTGGTGTGCGCATTTCTCAGGCTGTTTACAGGTTTACGTTAATAATGTATTTGCATTTTTATTGGCCAAGAAGTAGATGAGCTGAAAATGAATATTTTTATATGATGTAAAGTGTGGTGTGATGGTATGCTGTGTTTTCTTTTCTTTTTGCATGTTAAATATGTTTTTAAATATCCATCCATTTAAAATTATGCACATATGCATCAAATCCAGAGGCAAATGCATTATTCATGTCATACTAGAGTCGTCAAATGTCTCATCAAATGGATGATATTGTCCCAATATTATATTACAAGATTTGATCATTAATAATTTGATTGTATAAGAGAAGCAAGAGCTTCACAGAGCTTGAAGATACTGACACATTATTGCTTTTGCAGTAAACCTTGTATTGCTTTGAGGTCTTTAGATGTCATTTGTGGCCCATGACTGTAAAATATCCAGAGGCTGTCCTGGCTAAGACGACATGCTGCTACAGTCATTGCAGTGCAGTTAAACAAAACAACAACTGACAGTATTAAGGTCATACTGCAATATCAAGATAATATGAAATTCCTCATGATCGCCACTATCATAAAGCAGTAATCACTCACTGTGCAGTCCTGCTTACAGCCTGTATGTGATGTAAACATTACATTTTTCAATCTAAGCACTGTGTCTGAATGTACCTCAACCAGTAAATTTGCTTTATGCTCATTTCTGGGTAGAAAGGCAATGACATATTACATCTTAGTAAATGTTAGCGCACGTGTATGTCCGCTCTGTTTGTTCTCTGCCTGCAAAAAATGTTATCTTATGAAATGAAATGATCTTAAATCTAGTTGATCTATGTATTTCTCATTTTGAGATTGTTGTAACCTTATAATAAGACTAAGTAACTTATTTCTAGACATTTTTACTTGTTTAGGTGATTTTAGTAAGATAAATAATTTCACTATGCAGGCAGATAATTTTGCTTTTTGTAAGAATTATGTTTGACACCAGTGGTGGACGAAGTACACAAATCATGTACTTGAGTTAAAGTAGAGATACTCAAGGTAAAATATTACTCCAGTAAAAGTAGAAGTCCTCCATTTAGACCTCCACTTGAGTAAAAGTACAAAAGTATTTGCCTTCAAATGTACTTAAGTATCAAAAGTAAAAGTACTAAAAGGTTGATTATGACTCTACTGTCCTATTACCATTTCTGTAACAAGACTCTTGCTTCATTAACTCATTTTAGGTGAAATTAGTGTCACTCTTGGTAAACCAATCTTTTAATACAATGTCATTAATTAATCTGACACAGATGTCTATTAAAATTATCATACAAACAAAACACTGAAGGCAAACCATTTCCAATAGGTAGAACCAAGTGGCTATGAAATAACTTTTTGCAAACAAGCAGTCTTAGTTTAAGATTTATTTGCAACTTAGTTACAAGTTCAATAAAAACTTGCTTTAAACACAGGTTCACCAATGAGTTTTCCTTTACAGTATTGCTTCTGTAGGTCTCTGTTCATAAACGTAAACTAGCAAAAACAAATTTACTATAACATGAAATTATACATAAATTATACAAATTAATTGTACAAATTCAGAAACAAGACACATGCCAGTCACAAGTGCATATATGTGTACATATTTCTATATTGTGGTCTATTTACACAGTTAGGTTAGTTCCATCATTTATGTTGGCATAGGCACTCTCGAAATTTTACAGTGCTGCACTGACATTGAACCGTACAACAGCGTTTTAGGGCCACTGTTATAAAAATAGTAGACTTTGAGAATAAAGTCGTTTTACAGACAATGAGAATGATAATCAAAATGATCGATCCAAAAAGAGACAAGAGTGTGTGGAACTCTTGTGCACCAGTACAGCAACCGAGACCCAACGTGTTATGGCAGCCCCCTATAGTTAGCCCACTTTATTCTCCAAATATTAGAAAAAAAGACTTTTTTCCTCGCAATATTATGACTTTATTCTCAAAATAGTATGACTTTTTTCTCTAAATATTACGACTTTATTCTCGGAGTCTACTATTTTTATTTTTTATGAACAGTGGCCCTAAAACGCTGTCATAGAACCTTATGCTTGCACTGGGTAGGTGTGTCCAACCGGTCAAAACAAGCTCAAAACAAAGTGGGCTCTGTACCCTGATTGGTGTGCTTGCTTCACGCTTCTTTCGTTTTGACTTTGAAAAATATTACGTTTTTATGCACACATAAGCCAAAAGGAACGACAGATTTCGCATAATGTAGTGGAGCATAAGGTAAGATATTTGACTTTGAAATATAGTGGAGTAAAAGTAAAAAGTCACCCCCAAAATGGAAATACTTCAGTAAAGTACAGATACACGAAAAAAGTACTTTAGTAAAATAACGAATTACATTTAATTCGTTACTGTCCACCATTGGTATGTAGCAATATTACCATTCAGGCTCTTTAACGAGCTCGTAATACAGAGGATCCAGTGATATTTGGGAGAAAAATATACACAAGACATAACCTATTAGGTTCTGAACATTTTTATTTAACATGGTGCGATAGAGGCGAGTTTTCAAAAACACCATTCATTCTGACCATAGAGAAATGGAGCTTAGATCCAGAGTTCCTATTATGGGCATAACGCAGACTACAGAATGACGCATGACTACAGTGGTCTATGGGAGGAGGTCGTAACAGAGCCGGTGTGGTGCTCAATCTCAAATCCCCATCCTGATATTACATCCCCTAGTTTCCGGTCACTGTTTTCGCAGTGTTATTGGATGAATCATACATATCATCGCCATTAATCACTAACTATGGTATGAACCTCAAAAGGCACAAGTAGATATGTATGTGACTTTTTTGTAAACAAATATATTCAGAAACAAACTCAACAAAGCTCTCACACAACTGAAATAAAACAATGACACGTTTTACAGTGAACTGCACTGGCTTGCATGACTATGAAAAAATGCTAACTTGCTAACTCTGGCCAAGGGTCCTTGGGAAATTATATCAAAAACATGAGTGCAAAACGCAAGAGGGTGCCCACGAGCGAGTCCTCAATGAACAGGGGTAAATACAAAAATATACATACCTAGATGCCACATTGTCTGTTGTTCTCTATCTGAGGCCATATGTCTGCACGTCTGCCATATTGGAGCGGTCAAGATACGCTTGTGAACAAATTCACTTGTATCGAGAGATGAGTTCTTAGGATTAAATCGGCCTTAATACTCAACCGATTTTCACCAAATTTGTTTTGTTATGATTCCCAGACATAGACTAATCTAGGTTGCATGGACTGCTCTTGGTAGCTTTTATTTCTTTAATAACTGTGATCGTGCTTATTAGCTGTCCGGACCAGCAGGAAATTATTCAGTCTGCACCTGACATTAAAAACCGAGTTTAGGGTGAGCTCCGGTAGAATCATAATTTCACAATAAGGAAATTCATCAATGTGTGAATCACTTCTAACCTTAATACACATAAAAATAAAATAACCCCCCCCCCACAACACAGTAAGAAGGACAAAGCTGAAGTTAGCTTCCATTCGAATAAGAAGCTGGCTGATGCACCATTTAAGGTGGAACAGGAAAATTCAAACAAGAAGCTGGCTGATGCACCATTTACGGTGGAACAGGAAAATTCGGACAAGAAGCTGGCTGATGCACCATTTAAGGTGGAACAGGAAAATTCGAAGAAGAAGCTGGCTGATCCACCATTTAAGGTGGAACGGGAAAATTTGAACAAGAAGCTGGCAAATAAGAAGCTGACTTAAGCTTTGTGTAAGAAGGTGCTAAAGTTAATCTATTATGAATACACAAATTAAGGAATGCTATAACTTACCTAGCTACAAAGTATTAACCATCATTGTAAATAAATAATTACTACATAAAGTTAAGATCCCCCGAATAGACTATTAAATGAAATAAGCTTAATATATAACCAGAAGAAAAACAATCACATCAACATGTTCTTTATGCATCACCAACCATATCTACACATAAACATCACTCTGCTGAAAATTGCTTAAATTCTAAGCTGGTCAAACTGGTCTAAAGCTGGTTTAGCTGGTTGACCATCTTCGTCAAGCCGGTCAGAGCTGGTAGACCAGCTTTATTCAGCTACTCATAGTTGGATGAACAGATGGCTAAGCTGGTGGGCAAGAGTTCAAGCTGGCACACCAGCTGGTTAGGGCTAGTAGGCAGCTTAATCATTTGGTCAGAGATAGTAGGTTAGCTTGGTAATTTCCTGAGTTGGCTGGACAAATTGATGAAAATGGTAAATGCAGTTGTACTAGTTAGCTAAGTTATGTGTGTTTACATCCACTTTGAAATATATGATCTCCATTTGAATACATACAGGCACATGAAGCCAGTGTTTTCCTCCTGGCAGAAATTAATGCAATATGACATACCATACATACATATAAATGTATTTAAAGTCCTTTTCAGAAAGATTTATCAAAGATATGTCTGCCTATGGGAAATTATAAAAAAGAAAACCAAACTTCAACACTCCTGAACACTGAACCGCAGAAGAATATGCTGAATTGGTTCATATGAACTGCTTAAAATGGAAAAAATAACATTGAAATTTATTTATATTTAAAATAACAAACATATTTAAAAAATGTTGGAAACATTTTTAATAATAAGAGTTTAATACACATCTATGAGCTTTTACTTCATAACTATATACTTAGGAGCTCCAAACTGATGACAGACCAAGCTCAAGCTCAAATAAACAAACATTACTCACTGCTGCCCTCTACAGGTGTTACAGCACCAGTGAGAAATTAGAACTTTGATGTCTCAGTAAATACATTTTCTGTTCACTTTTATTTACATGTATTTGCTGCAACTCAACTGATGAAAACACATCCAATTCACATTCTCTTACCTGTTATATAAAGTAATTGTGACCACCTCATGTAACTAGTGATCAGGTGATTTTGTAATAATTGTCACAGGCTTAATTGTCAGATTTTTTCTTCTTTTTAATCTATTTCTCTACTCTTAATCTGTTCTAAATTGTTCTCAGTCTTACTGCTGTAAATTACCCAAGATGAAATCTGTAAAATCCACACTAACAGGTATTCAAATCAAATCAAAATCAAATCAAATCAAATCAGATTTATTGTCACATCACAAGAGTACAGGGACACAGGTGAGTGAAAAACTTGAGTGCGAGTTCCACAAATTATGCAGAGAACAGTATTTACACATAGTATTATGCAGTAATTGGCTTGTGCAGTAATTTCTTCTGAGCTCATCATGTTATAAAGCACAAGGTATAGTAGCTGTGAAGCCTCTCATCATCTGTAAGACATAACATCTGAACCAAAGAGTTTCAAAAAGGATGAAAAATCTAATGGTGGTCTTCATGATATCTACATGGGAGAACATGGGAGTAATGACAGATGTCCCCATACAAAGTATGAGAACAAGTGTTTCTTCATCTCAGCAATGGACATGCTGGAGCCTATTGCACAACAGTCCCCATGCCAGACTCTCCCAGTTCAGTCACAGTTCATTCTCCCCTTACTTTACTGATCCCTCAAATATTTCCCTTATTTTCATGAACCCTCAAAAATTTCCCTACTTTACTGATGCCTAAAACTCTCCCAACATTACCAACCCCTAAAATCCTTCCCTATTTGACTGACCTCCAAATCTTCCCCTACTTTCCTAACCTCTCAAATCTCCAGTTGAAGATCTTTCCTTAATTTACTAACCCCTCAAATGTCTTCCTAATATATTGACCCCTGAAATCTCTC